AGGCTTTGGCTTTACACGTCCGCCCATACTCTTGGTTGCAATCGTGATCATTACTGAACTGACTGCTGTGATAGTAAAGCAACCCGTTGAGTCATCATTACTCGTTTCTGGGAGTCATTATGACAATTACAGCCCAGAGTCGGACAGTGTGATTTGTTTACCATAGGTACAGCCTCCATTTCTTTGAAGTGTAAGTTACATGTACATGTGTATGAGTGTGTGTCTTACACCTGCCTATAAAGTACCTGTAGTCAAAAGGTGGCGGGGACGGAGCTGTGGTCCATGTGTAGAAGAAACCCAAATAAAATAAAGCATGTATATTGTAGTATGTATGCGGTAAATATCGTTTCGCGAATATCTTGGGAAGGCCGATCTAGACATGGCAGTTTATGCATGTGTGTAAAGCATTCAGATACTCGAGGCAGAGTAGACAGATGAAGAAGAGTATGAATCCAGCCCGACAAGTACTGGGTAGTAGCCTGCAGGAAGAAACCGGGGTAAGGGTTGATAGAATATCACCGCGGACAACCCCTTTTTCTATCACTTTTTTTTTATACCAAAATAGGTGTTTATTTGCGATTTAAACGGCCTATGTACCTTGTCTCAAGTAAGGCACCAGAAATTTTGATGCATGCAAGATGTCCGGCCCTCAGTCCAAATTTATGATGGAACATTCTGTTAGCGAACATATACATATATGTCGATGGTTTATACGCTGGATGTGTGTATATAGTGGTATGCCTATGTTTGGTGTACCTAGACCTGATGTGCATCTCCGGGTAAAACGGGTTCCAAATTCTCTAACCACCAAGGGTAACTATCTTCTATGATAGCGAAGTACCTACTGTAGGTAGAGTATGTAGGTACCTACCTACATATCTAATTTCAGAAAAACTTGTTGGGCCAGGAGCTCGAGTTCAAAAACCAACCGCGCGATGTAGTGTCGGGCTTGCACTGTAATGCCGGCGACGGGGCATCTAAGAAAATTATGCTGGTGACTTGTACAAAGTACTAACATGTAATATACGTATGATAATGAAATATGCCGACTATTATATCCATCATGTATCCGCATCCCGAACCGGGGTTTCTGTGCGGGCCGACTAACAGCAAATTGCAGATCAAAAGAAAATCAACCGGGAAGGTGGTTAGAGTAGCCACGGGTCCAGATACCCTTCTTCATGCACAGCTGTAGAAACAGGTGCGCATGGAAGAATTTAATCCAAACCCCAGAGCAGGTAGATCTCGAACTGGGCTACTCAAGCCTTGTCGAACCATATATGTACATATATGTACATATACTCGCAGCAGGTAACAAGTACCCGAAAATGCACGTCCTAATCTGCAATTTCCATTGGAGTAGAAGTCAAAAATACACCAAAAACTTGCAGCTGCATATTCGGGTACTTCATGCCTGTCGCGAGTACAGTTTCCGGTAGAATTATTGCGAAAGTCAGAGCTAAAAGAGTGGATTTTGTTGGTCTGTGCTCGTAGCAAAAATCTTTTAAGGGCCAATAGGACTATCGGGTCACGGGGAACCCACTTTCGCAATAATTCTACCGGAAACTGTAGTAAACACATTCGTCCGCAATTCCAACTTTGGACAGATGTACATTACATATGTATAGTATTCTAAGTATATGCGTACATATACGTTTCCAAGTGCCTCAGCACGCGAAGTTTTCCTGTTCTCCAATTAAACCCGCCCATGGGCCCACCATGACCACGAGAACAGCATGTCGACGAGAGCCGCAACGCATCGGACTCCTGAAACCTCATCCTTCATCCAACTGTGTTTCGAGGTGTTATCCTAGAGTAGAGTAAGTGTAGCGCTGCTAGTGGCCCGGCATCCCCATTGCACAGCTGGTCCAGGACGTTATCTGGACAGTGCGTTACGTCTATTGATGGCCCTCGATGCAACCCCCAATGGGCCAACGTCGACAGCTACCTAATTAGCTCCAAAAGGCCATCATTTCAACTGCACAGCACAGATGCTGCACAGCGGCCGCGGTCAACATGCGCAAGGACTTTCCCTAGAGTCCCATAAAGAGCATCTCCACTGCTGCAGAGTGCACAAAATTTTTCTCACTGGCTCCTTGAGCCATGTTTTTCAGATGATAACGAACGCACTGGCTACCTACCCCGCCCTTATTCCATTTCTCGTACGTCCCCAGGTCCCAGCTTGCGCCTCAAGACAGTCTGAAACAATGATTTGTGTAGAGAGCGAAAAATTGCCTCCCGCGTCACGTGATGCTTGTAGATCAATGCGTCTCCTGTCGTCCGGAGTCATGGCATCTCACTCGGACTGGTTGATGACTGAACCAAGCTCAATAACATATACCTACCTAGTGTAGGTGCTGCACGGAGGATCCGTCTTGAAGGGGAGGGGTCGCACTGTCGAAAATCGTAGGAAATAAGCATACTCGAAAGACGGCTGACGATCTCTGAATCATCGATTTTCACTACACTTCACGATCGGTTTACAAGGCGTTGAGCAGCGGGGTACAGAAAGGATCTTAACCCGCTTGTAAAAAGGAACGTTCGAAACGCAAAATGCTAGGTTAAAGAAAGAAAGAAAAAAAGCTGGAGAAAGCTCGATCCCCCCCACGAAAAAGTAAGGGGAAATCGAGAAGAGATGAACAGAAGGTCCTTTTTCATGTCGGATGCAGCCGGTAGGGCATGCCGATGTTCCAGGAACGGGGAATCAGGTCCCCAGGACACATGAGAATTTTTCCAGACCTGGTTTACGAAACCGTAAATGTCGTATGTTGGCCGAGACTTTTATTAAATAACACAAAGCATAGTCGGTTTCTGAAGGTCGGCCGCGGGCAATGGCATATTTTTTCTGGGTTTGGCAATCTCCAGGCATTTTTGTAATCCAGCCACTGCCCTTTATTTCCGGTTGCTGGTGGAGTAGAGTGAAGAATATTATCGCCAGAAACTCGCCTCGTGTCGATCATTGGTCAACCAGTCTAGAGTATCTAGCTATTAGGCTCAAGTACCCACAAGATCTTCTTAGCTTACGAGGAATCTCCTGTAGAAACCAAGATGCTCTGCTTTACAATTATCTGATACAACATACCAAGATAATGCCCTAGCTTTGCAAGCAATACTTGAATGATTGCCACAGTGCATCTCGACTGCTAGTGCCCTATGCCCTTCCTTCCTCCTGCCATATACGGACATAAACAGGTCATAAACCATACTACACTAGATCAGTATTTAGGGAGCCTCAGGGGATCCAAAAAGATGGGCGGTCCACCAATATATGCATGTCAGACATAAAACAGATCTGGTTCGTCCTGGCCACGGCCTGCGCTGTGCGGAATATTAACCAAGGTCTGAGGATTGGATTAGCGGCCGGTTATCGAGGGAAAGACGCGTCTGACCCTGGGTTAACAAGCTTGCCGGCGCCTGCAGCTCATCCGATGAGTTAGTTAGACCCCAGCTCAGATCATTGGACTAGGGCTAATGGGGGTCGAGTGCCAGCACAGCAAGGCAGGGAGTTCGGTCAGACGAGAGTTGGGGGATCCATGATTTAGACGAATCGCGAATTGAACGAGATGGTGTATGGGGAGGGGAAAGCGGAGAAGTATCCAGGGGGGGGGGGGGGGGGGGGGTGGTCTCAGCGATGGATCACCATAATACAAGAAATAAAGAAATAAAAGAAAAATACAAGACGCACTACACCATTATGTCGTTGATCGAGGTGATCGAGGTTTTACAAAGATTAGAAATTGCATGTTCTTGTATGTACCCCCCGATTCTGAATTCCATCCAATGCATGTAGTTTTCCGTTCGCCTTGCTTTTTGAATGCTTGGAACTATAGCATCGTCTGATTTTAATCCTCAGAATTCTAGAAGGATGCTGTCATAGCTATGTGCGAATGGATTATGGAAATAACCAGGAAATGGGATTCGAGCCCAATGCATGTAGGTACAGCAAAGAGGCCGTGGAGCACCATCCATACGGACGAAATGCCGAAAAGGATTTCCCCAAGTGAATATTTCGCCTCAAGCAAACGACAGCCTTGGCATGTGGTATTAGTCCGTTTTTTTAGTTCTTAGGAGGAGGGTGTTTTGTCGTTTTCCGCCTTCGGAGTTTTTTCGGGTCAAAAAAATCGGAGGAGTATGTATGCAGGCTGTCTTAATCTGTAACAAGTGTCCATATTTCAACTAGAGTAGAGAGACCCTCTAGACAACGACTTTTGCTTTCTTTTTTTTTGAGTCGCTTGGACAAGTGACATAACCTATCGCCACTGTCTGGGACGCGCATGCGTTCTAAGTTACACTCCTGTTAGTTACAGCTCATTTTTCCACCGTGCCGCCTATTCTAGAGCAAAAGAAAAAAAAAATGGAGGTAGGTAGATATGTAGGAAGCTTGAGGAGAAGCTTTGTGGAGGAGTAGAGAAGCGACAACCATCGTGAGAGTAGGTTAGCTCACTGCTATCATATGATACCCTGTGATGGAATACATGTCGGCACAGCCGTACGTACATACAGTCACATAGAACGGCAGTAAGATATTGGCTCACGATCGGAGCATCTAGTCGTATCATGTATGTAGATTCTAGGGAAAGTCTCATAGGTGTAGGTACATGTAGACGGGAAAAAAAGCGGGGGAAACATTGAGTTAAACGATGTGTTTGCGGCGTCTGTCACTTCTGTCTCGTCGTCATCATACCTCCAGGAATCATATTCGCGATCTCTTGAGGATATCTATGAGCTGTAAAAGATATGATACCGCAAATGTGGAGTAGCGAAATATCAGGGTCAATTTACAGGCATTCTAGTCAACTAGAAAGTTAGTAGGCTAGGGTTTGGTTTAGATCGGTCCCAGATGCACTCCCTGCCTGAAGGCTGCGGTACCGGCTTGAGAGGGATGGTTGATACCGGCTCGATCGACTTCACGTCAGCCCCACTACTGCAGTAGACTACTTCTCGAATTTCGTGAAGGAAACGAAAAATCCCCCCATCACAATACCCTACGCTATCGCAAAATGTCTGGTCGTCAAGGTTTGTTGTTTCCGCGCCTCGTGTGTTCTTGAGGAGAGATTATACATGCTAAAATATACGGACGAATGCAGGAGGTAAAGCGAAGCCTTTGAAGGCCCCCAAGAAGGAGAAGAAGGAGGATGATGATGAAGATAAGGTACACACACACCACTTCCACGTGCGGAAATCAGGGACGGGAGCTAACGATGAACGTCAACAGGCTTTCAAGGAAAGACAGAAGCAAGGTACGGTTTTTTAGGCCCGAGCATTTCCCGGTACCACAGGGCGCATGGAAAAACGATGATGCGGACCCGCGTGCGTGTGAGGGATGGGTATTCTTTTACGCAAGATTCTAACGTTCACTCTAGAAGCTGCCGAGCGTAAAGCTATGGCCGAGAAGGCAAAGCAGAAGGGTCCTTTGGTTTGTGCACCCCTCGTGGTTCCTCGTGCTCGATCACAGATCTCTCTCTATCATGCACGAGATACTGACGGAATATAGGGCTCTGGTGGTGGGATCAAAAAGTCTGGAAAGAAATGATCAATCATAGAGGCGGTGTATTACACAATACATCGACGAAATAAAAATATGATTTCCCTTTTCAGTTTTTCTCCCTTCTATTAACTCTTTCTTACACTGGAGGTTCCTCATCTGGTTATATCCTTTTCTTATGCTTGAAGTGTATGCATAATTGAACGTATACATTCTTGGTTTCGATCTCTCCCGCGCTGGCATATGTATATGAATTCATGATCTTGGTGTTCCATTATACATAATGCATCGCCGGAGAGTCATATATCCTAGATGTGTCAAATGAGGTGTCAGTAATGATCGAGTTCACCTAGGCCTTCCAAGCAAAATTCGTAGAACGTTAAGTAAGTAACCTCTTTTTCTTCTGTTAGGTTCTCCTTTTTTTTTTTTTTTTTTTTTTACAACAGAGGCCCTTCATGTCATTATACCCTTTTTTTAAGTATGCATACATGTAATTGACTGCATGAACCCTTGGTCTTGATATATATTTATTCCTTACCCACAGCGATGAGCTTCGGACTATATTTATCGGCATTATATGTATGCATACCCGATCTGTCGCAGGAACGATAGCTATTCGTGCGCGGAATAAACAAGGAGTGCCACTCCAGATTGAACATATCCTCCGTGCAGATATCTGTAAACTCACGGTCCATGATCTCCATAACTAATGTTCCATTCTGCCCAATGCGCCGTTCGAATCTGATATCGGGGTTCGATCCGCAAACTCCCTAAAACAAAACAAAACTTTTCATTCCAGATCGGTTATTGCATGGCATGGCCCCCAGTATATAATCATCTGCTGCCGGCATTATAATGACCGCCGTTGCCGGCATTCGATGTCGTCGTCCGATATCCAGATACATAGCTCAAGCATGGTTACCCTAAGCTCCAGCCAGACCGGGCCCGTGCACTGCGGCTCAACCTCCATTGAACAAGGGTTCCCCACCACCACCCACCGCTACTAGTACTGTACCTGTAGCTTGTTAATGGTTGGATCCTCAACATCAGCACAATGTCAACCTCCGATAAGAGAGACCGCGGCGACCGAACGCCCACGCGCGGTGGAATGGGCATGCGCACGGCGTCGTGGCGATCCAGTAGGTTGAAGCCGGCGGCGGATGATTATGGGTTTGTGAGTAAAGGTCAGTAGCTTCAGTTGTATACGGCGCCCATAATAGATATGTGGGTAGCGCTGGCGGCTGGTATGGCTAACGCTGGAGGTCGTAATTAGGAGATAGTAGGTTCGTTTGCCTCTCTTGTAACAGTATCTGTATCTGTATCTAACCTAGGAACCGGAAACACAGACTCCTAGACCACAAGAACCAAGAGAAGTCCGTCCCCACCGTCAGCAGCATCATCCCATAAAATAGGACCCCCCACTCACCTATCTAGATACTACACCACCATCGTCGAAAAATACCTAAAATTCTGCGGCTCCGCCGACAACTCCAAAACGCTCGACCACGCCCTCTCCACCGCCCTCATCCTCCCCACCCCACCCAACACCGACCCCACCACCGCCGCCGCCTCCACATCCAAAAACACCCGCTTCGCCGACCCCTCCAACAGCGTGCTCGCCTCGCTCCTCCTCTCCATGCGCAAGCTGCGCGAGGGCCTTGTGGCCTCCTCCCGCCTCGACACCTTCACGGTCCAGGCGTACACGTTCATCATCCGCGCCAGCATCCTCATGGCGCACGCCGAGTCGTACCACCCGGCGCTGCTGCACCTGCTGTACACGCTGCACCCGCTGCACCCGCTGCCGCCCATGGAGCTGCAGGAGTTTGCCGGCTACCATATGCTGCACCTTGCGTGCGGGCTCGAGGACTACGCCGGGGCGTATGAGGCGGGGGTGCGGTTCGGCGTGACGGACTACCGGGTGAGGCAGGCGGTGGGCGCGCTAGTGCATGGTGATTATTGGGGGTGGAGGGTGATTAAGCGCAAGGTGGATCTGTATAAGGGGAGGCTGCTGGAGGGCGCGGAGAAGAGGGTCAGGGTGCTGGCGCTGAAGTGTGTGGGGAAGGCGTATTTCACGGTGGAGGTGGGGTATGTGGAGGCGGTGATGGGGATGGAGTGGGAGGAGGTGAGGAGGGAGTTTGCGGTGGGGTGGGAGATGGGGGAGGGGGAGGTGCTGACGGTAAGGAGGCAGAAGGGGAGGGCGAAGCCGGCGGTGCAGGAGCCGGTTGTGCAGGCGCCGGTTGTGCAGAAGCCGGTAGTAGAGCCGTTGGCGGTGGAGCCGTCGGTGGACGTGGGGAAGAGGTGGAGTGCCTGGGATGATGATTGAAGATAGGGGGCTCTCAGGTTGGGGCCTAACAAAAGTTACCCTTCTAGTATTGTTAGGTAGAAACCAGGGTAATAACGCATTTACGAGGAATGAGCAATCTTTTAGCTGTAGATCCCTTTCCCGAACCTCAGGCCTTTAGTTTAACTAGCACCAGGCTCCTAATTATTACAATAGTAGCAGCAGTCCGCTTCTGGGCTACTATACTATTATTGTCTCGAGCTAGTCGATTCGCTACTGGCTGTGTTTCTGGTTAGGGTTGGATCAGAATAGTAACAACTCCACCATTCCAGCCTAGTATGCCGACACACCAATGATCGCTCAACCATGTTTTTTTTTGCATCGTAGAATTGGAGTCACAGACCATCACTCGCATATCCACTTCCTTCCATCCGCCCGTTAGTTAGGGCAAAGGGCAAATATTTTTTTAACAATCTCGGCACCACGTGGGAGACGGGCTAGCATATCTGGCAACAACGTGGGGGCCATAGCGCGTGTCTGCGGAGGGAATCCGAGGATGCGAGAATGCGGTGATCAGTTCAACAATTGGCGGTTCGCTCCCAACACAATTCACCCGCTGTATATGTATATATTGGGAGCCATTGATCCGCCCCCATTGATATTACATTACTTGGAATCAACACATATAGACTACAGACGACAATATATACAATCACAATGGCAGTGCGCAAACGAGCCCCGCAGACAGTAGCGCAGAAGGTCAAGAGCGCGGAAGAGAAGATTGAGCGCGCATTTACGGTGATGTGGGACGAACTGCGTATGTGCTTGATTTATAGCTAAGTTTGGAGTGTTTATGGGATCGGATGGGTTGACTGAGTTTTGTGTTTTTTGGACCGGTGTAGCGTTGTGGCAGCAGTGAGTAGCTCTTGTTGTAGCTGTTTGAACCTAGGGAGCTGTGGGCTGACTCTGTACTGCTGTTACTTAGGGATAACCATTATATCCTCTCCGGATACAGGTCTGTCTAGCATCCCGATATCGTTAAAGCACCCGCACTCACCCGCCTAGACCCGAATTCCTCTCATTCAAGAAATGCTTCATCTCACTCGGCTACCTGCACAACGAGACTGGTACCTCCCTCCCGCCCGCCCCCAACTCGCCCTCCCCTCCTCCTCCTCCTCCTCCTCCTCCCCGCACCCGGCTAACCTCCCCAGTGAACATCTACTCGCACCTCCTCCCCGCGCTCTCCATCCCCTACCTCGCGCTCCTCCTCTACACGCTGTACCACCCACCCTCCACCGCGAACCTCCTCGCCTTCAGCACCTTCCTCCTCTCCGCCGCAGCATGCCTCGGCATGTCCGCCACCTACCACACCATCTCCTGCCACTCCCACGAGGTCGCAAAGCTCGGCAACAAGCTCGACTACCTCGGTATCGTCATCCTCATCATGGGCAGCTTCATACCCAGTGTGTATTACGGCTTCTATTGTGATTCGACACTCATGTGGGTGTATTGGTCCATGGTACTCCCTTCTCCCCCTCCCCCCCCCCGGGCCTCCCCCCTCCACCACCGGCACGGACTAACAATCGCGGTAGATTGCCCTCCTCGGCGCCGGCTGCGCGGTCGTCTCAACAGTGCCCTCCTTCCGCACCCCCGCCTGGCGGCCCTTCCGCGCAGCCATGTTCGTGGCCATGGGCGGCTCGAGCGTGGTCCCCGTGCTGCACGGCCTGCGCCTGTACGGGTGGGCGGACCTGGAGGAGCGCATGGGGCTGAGCTGGATGCTGGCTGAGGGCGCGCTGTATGTCACGGGCGCCGGCCTATATGCGGCGAGGGTGCCCGAGAAGTGGGCGCCCGGTAGGTTCGACATATGGGGGAGTAGCCACCAGATTTTCCATTTTTTGGTGGTGGCGGCGGCGGCGTGCCATTTGGTGGGGTTGGTGAAGAGTGCGGCGTTCTTGGAGGGGAAGACGGTGGAGGGGCTTTGTGCGGGGATGTAGACGGTTTTTTATGGGTAGCTAGCTAGATCTAGACGTCATTGTAGAGTGGGCATGGCAGTCGTTGGGCGTGCGGTTTGAATACCGTATATAAAGATAGCGATCCGAGCGAGATATCGATTTTTTAATAGCTATAATATTGGCTATCTCGTTCAATCACTCGACGATCTCTTGACTCGGCAATCTCTTGACTCCGGGCATGACCGAGTCATATTCTGTGACGCTGACCCACCATAACCTACACATAAGTACAAACACCGCACGCCCTCTCCCCACAATCTCCCGCCCCAACTCGCAACCCAAAGCGTCGGAAACCCGGCCAAAACTCCCTCCCCAGCACACCCCCACCAAACAACCCTAACCCACACGCCATCTTAAATCTTGGCACAAATTAAAGATTCTCCAACCTCACTTCCGATAATCACCAAGGTCCCCCACCCTACCCGCCCGCGTCCGCCGCACAGCACAGGACACCACTCAATTGCTACCGAAAAACCCACCACACACCCGCAAACATGTCATCCTCGAGACTCGGCCTCACAGCATTCAAGCTCCCGCACTTTAGCGCGCAGCACCTGCTCCGCCGTCCGGTACTTGCACCACCCCCGGCGCTGGCAATGGCGCTGGGGGCCCAGCAGCACGTCCGCGGCATGGCGGCCGGTGGCGGCGGCCGCAGTAAGGGGAAGAAGGGCGGGAAGGATGAAGGAGATCTGCGTGTCCGTCCGTGTCCCCCCACTCTCCCCCACCCCCCTCCTCCCCTCACTCTGCCATTGCTGACACACTCGGGGGGTGACCAGGCATGATCCGCTACTCGCTCTACCACCCGCTCACCCCACGGCCGCTGCGGTTCGGCACGATGCGCATGCTGCGGCACTGGGCCATCCACCGGGCGTGGCAGATATACAAGCGCAACATGCGGCGCGCGCGCGAGGGCGAGCTGGAGCGCCAGTACAACAAGATCAAGGAGGCATGCGAGGAACTGCGCAGGACGGATCTGAGGCTGTTTAGGATCGCCGTGTCGAAGAAGGGCGTGGGCGTGCCGCCGATCGAGATGAGGATTCCGACGGATACGCCGCCGATGAAGGGGTGGAATCATGGCTGGACTAGGGCGGTTTAGATTGGGAAAAGGAAAGGGGGGGGTGTAGATAGGAGAGGATAGAGCTTTTTTAAAAAAGGGAATTTTAGAGGTTACGTGTGTTTGTGTGTGTGCTGGTAGTGTGCTGGTGCTGGTGAGATGGTCTGCTGTGGGCTGGAGTCATGGAAAGTGGGCCCAGTGAAGAACTTCAGAACCAAGCTGGTTTAAATTCATGTCGATATTTGAATAAAGCCCTGTCAAATAACCAGGTATCATTGGCAACGTATGGGAATGCCATAACATTCGTAGGATATGCCGAGCAGTAAGTTAGCTCCAGGCGAGGAAGTTAAAGGAGAATGTGACTTCGGTAGCGACATCAACTATCATATTTGTAACCATCGTTCACGCCCGGCCACCACACTAGTGACGGGGGTAGCATTTCCACCAGGAACTCACCCACATGTATACGTTCCCGAGTGATGTCCTATGATTGCACCACTCATGCATGAAACATTGGAGATCTGATTATTGGCTTTACCGCCCGCCGCCACGGTCAACCGTAGCCACTGTAGACAGGTCAAATCTCAGATCAATATTAAGCAGTAAGCTTTGATTTTATCTGTTCGACGATAAGCATTACTCGGGCTCATATATTCAGTCAATATCCCAGGCAGGCAGACTTAACGCTGACTCTACGGGCCTATCAAGCCCAATTATGCGATGCTGAATTCGTTTATAATCCGTCTTTCAGTTGCCGCCCAGCCTTTCTTTGGCCGCTCTCTCTAATAGTGTAATTCTTGAATGGTATCACACAATCCGTGCCGGCCAGCCGACCGCACGCAGCCCAAGAATAGAAACAGCCACAAGGATAACCGCAAGCTCTCCGAGACTCTTATGGCCAGCCATGCATTAGCCAATCCACTACTCTAGGCCGCCTGCCTCCCGCTGCAGTAGAAAGCAGTTCTGGGCGTTTGTGAACACCGATGGTTAGGCGTTTCTTCACTGACGGGCCGGCCGCGCGCGTGTCTGTCCATGAACCGGCAGAGCGATGGCTCTCCGTTCTACCCATCCATTGGAAAGGGGGTGGAATATGTAGCTAGCTAGTGCCATGCGGTATGCGAGAGGTTTCGCGTCGTTTGTGCCATCTAATATTGATGTGCAATTCCCGAGGCGAGCTCTCTTCGCTGGGCCCCCCGCTGGCGGATAGGATCATTGCATGGCTGGCGTATGTATCCCATAGATCTTTATGTGTAGACACCTCAATTGCAAGTGCGTTTCTTAGACTGGTGCTGTTCCGAGCTGATAGATGGTCGATAAGTTAGTAGTAGTACTCCAAGAGTGTTATACCCTGTTATATCGATATATTCAAGCCAGTACGTGCGTGGGATGTGGGTAGAACGAGGGCACCTCACGATGTTGGTGAAGTGGGTGAAGTTGGTGCTGTTACCCAGACTGATCTATTGAAAAAGGACAAGATTGAGAAGTAGTATAGTTAGTACACGAACACAAGTCTGGAGACCCAGCTAGCTCTGCTTGTAGATTGAGTACACAAAATTATCGATATGACTTTACAGTTTATCTAGCATTACCGGGATGTGTACTATTCGAGTGATAATTCATGACCGGACTTACGATGAGGAGAACCTCTTGCCAGTGGATTATCCCGACTGGCTGTCGAACCTAATTTTACGATCTACAGGCCTCTATCATGAAAATCGTCTAGACACATAGCCGCATACATCCGACCAAGGTAGCCATATATTAGCTAGTCCATCAAAGACCCAGGACGTAAAAGGGCTGCTGCATGCAGGCAACGCCGCTCACTCTAAATAGGCCCAAAGGGAGAAAGTATATAGATAGTACAGTACAATAGAAAGAAAACTACTCCCTGAGTAGCCTAGGTTTGTTACGCATAATATTCCTGGATGGCCCGAATTTCTGGCTAGTCTAGGCTCCAGAGGGGGGCCAGATATTTAAACTTTCCGGCTCCCTAGAACGGATAAGGGCAGAAACACATTGACGTACAACCAACCCCGAGATCATCTTGTAGCTTTTAGGTTCTGGGCCATACTTGTGAGCGGGAGTAGCTGTCCTCGGTATCTGGGGCACCCTTGGCTTTGGTTGTGTGTATACCAACTCCTCACCCGTCCTGGGGGCTCTGTGTAGCTGTCCAGCCGCTTATATACGACCCGAGCCCCATTGAAGACATCGTGGCGTGGTCGAGGGGTAATAGCCTCTACTACGTTGCATGACATCTCTGGTTCAACCCAGGATGGAAGCAGTGATGAGAATGCCCAACATGGTAGCGACGCTCTTGAGGGATGACACTCATCACATAAGTCTTTTGTTACTCAGTATTTCTTTTCTTTTGTACCTATACCACCAGTGATGGTCTAGGAAGTGAGACAGGCTTGATGGCCACAGACTGTGTGTTGGTATCACATAACTACGGGCTGGCAGGTAGATTTACATGTAGATGGCCCCGGTGTGCTCAAGCAGCAAAAGTTCCATCCGTGAGATACCACCTCGAGACCTGGAGGAACAGAATCGCTCGGGAGATATGCACAAAGTCCTTCGCTAATGCGGCCTATGCCGTATAGCCAGGTGTCACTAGACCCGTTACTGGACCGACGGTACCCGAATGTAGGGCGGAAAGATGATGTAGCATATTGGGAGTCAGCTACGGATATACCGGCAACAGTCCTACTGGGCAACAACCGTACGCGCGGCCTAAATAACTGGCACCCCAAATAATAACAGGAATGACGGGGAATCGGCTAGTAGGAGTGGGAGGAGAGGTCATGCTGTATATTCCGCAATAGGGTGGGCGTTCACTTAAGCTTTAACCTGCCGGCACTCTTGATGTTTTATCTCGGGGCACTTTATGGCGTGGGCGTGGAATGTTTAATGTTCTGGTACTAGGAGAAGAGATATGGAAGAAGCCGGACCTGTGTTGTTGAGTTGGGTTGCATCGTGTTGCGTGCGCATGGCTATCCGAGTGATGATCCATGACAGAGAATCGCTGAACATCTCAAGCTACATTACGCTGTTTCGTGGTTTCATATAGGTACAATAGTTTCTAATTTACACCATAATATTTACTATAGCTTGGTATCTTCTATACCTTGACATTTACTATATAGCATCGAGAATTTCAAGTGGGAATAGTTCGAGCACACGTAGGACGATTTCTCTCCCGCGGTGATCCACAAGGTAAAGGGCTCACAATGGCGAATTATAATACCTCGAGGCAATCAGATTGCTTTGATTTGAGGCGTCTCGAGTATGTGTTTCCCTCCAAGCACCCAAATGCCAGCTCACCTATATGAAACCAAGCATCGATACATGTACATACACACCTCTTTACTCAAAGAGCCTTGCCGACATCTCGAGGCCGGGATATATAAAGGACCGACAAGACTAAGGTTGAGCGCCTTGTATGCCGCATCGACGGCCGGCTATACCTATTAATTGTGTCTTGAACACTCCCCTCGAGCTGTCACCAAAATGCCGACCCTTTGTGGCGGGGTCAAAAGCAGTGATGGATATTCTAAGTGAGAGATTGGCTCAGATTGAAGCGGGGATGAGACCGTGAATTGACTATGTTGGTTTAAATAACTTTCCAATACATACTAAACGAAAGTCTCAACTTAAGTAGAGCTATGTAGCCAGAAGATGTCTGACCCCCTAGAAGTGTAACTGCCTCAGTGCATCATTCTTAAAGTCTAGTCAAAGCCATTAGCAGAAAAAAAGCTTCATGTTTAGCATTAAATTACAACTTAGCAGTATTTATCTACTATTGATGGATTAAATTCACAAAAAGCTATTCTAGTAAGAACAGAAATTTGCTGTGCACCCGAAATCTCTAAAGATTCCACCGAATCTCTTTAGCAGCTCCTCACGACAACAATCACAACAGACAGAAAAGCGAGAAAAAAAAAGTGGGTATTTCATCCTTATAAAGGAATATGTAGAACCGCAAACAAAGTAAGCTAATGATAGCGGTGATGATGTGAGCACTATGAGGTGCGTAGCCCTGACAAGCTCTAGAGCAAATACGATGCTCCTCTGAACCATGATTCCCCAACATAATTCACCGAATCGCCCAAGTCGTCAATACAGCATGTAACACATGCTCTGCAGAAAGAAATGCGTAAAGTGAAATACAGATGTAGCACCCTTTAAAGAAATGAACAGAATAATAAAAATACTATGCCCAACACAACCCTGAATCCGAGAAGAAACTTTTTCTTGCACTACGATTTAAAAAGAAGGAAACCCGTTAGTGGCTATCCCAGGCGGAGGCCCTACAGCCGCTTTAAACGGATGTGTAAAGCCACCGCCTGTCGGTGACCCAATTTCCCCTGGATGAAGGTGGTGGTTATGATGTCCGATGGGTGCCACAGGGTTTTGATATATACAATTCCCATCCGCACTCTTTTCCTCATCATCCTGGAACTTGACCAATGTCCTTCCGTTGGTATCGTGTGTGGTAATAAAATTTCCACCGCCATTCAGAGCCTCTCCTTCGACATCAAGTACATCCATTACCTCTTTAATGGTGACTACCATCTCGGGCACAGACTGCTCAATAACCCGATGCAGCGTTGATATTTCGACAAAGCTACTATTCTCTCCTCCAAGCTCGCGGCACTTGACCGTGGCGAGGCTGCGAATCTGTTCATGCCTGTTCGGCCGCCGGCGGTTGAATGTACTTCGAGCAGCATCAGTTTCAGACCAGCCTTACTTCATTAGTATATAAGCATAATGAAGTGAATATGCTGGACATACCTGCTCCTGACCAAGTGGAGGTTGGGAGAGAGTTTGAGATATTTCCCAATGGAGTTCCCAATGGCGCAGGATTAGACCATGAAGGCTGGGGAAATCCCATGTCTATCATTAATATGCGGATTGTTAGTGTGTTTATAGGAAGCGTAATGGCCAAATGAAATCAATAACTTACGAGACATAGTAGGATCTATAAATAAAGGGGATCCAGCCGGTAATCCCCTAGTTGGTCTTGGTGAAAATCCCATAACACTGCTCCCTCTTCGATTCGGCGATTGTGCTTCCAGCATTGAGTCGTCTTCATCGTCCTCCAGCAGTGCACGGCTACCCATGACCTTGGAAAGCTCATCAACACTATTTGTCCCATCCTCTAGATTTCTAGGTGGAGCTACACTCGAGGGGCGTTGAATTGGTGTGGGCCGCTGAATAGGTTCGAACGAGCCTGACAACGCCCGTGTATGGGAATGTACACCGGGTATAGGTACCGGTTCCACTCGATTCCCTATGAACGGCGATCCTGGTGGCATGCCTGGTGGCATACCTGGTGGCATGCCCGGTGGCATGCCGAGAGGCATACCCGGAGGGAGTTGATGCTGCATGACGGGCGCAAGCTCGCCCATAAAGATCCCACGACCTTGTGGCTGCATTGGGCGCATTCCTAGAGGAGCGGGGCCCTGCATTGACATACCGTTTGGGGCTGCAAACCCCCGATATTGCGGGCTCGAACCCAGAGGCATTTGTGTTGGTGCATACATCGGCATCCCGTTTCCGAAAGGCTGTCTTTGAGGCATTCCGGCAAGAAACGGTTGGATTGGACTTGGGCCACCCATTCCCATTTGGTTCATCATATGAAAAGCATTCTCTAGCGGCGGTACACCTGGCGGAGGGGCAATGTGATGTGGTAATGGTGAAGTGGGCATATGTGACGGATACTGAAATATTTTATTCGGGGGGATTATTGGACCAGGAATGTTTTGTTGTAGAATGGGTGTATTTGGGGATACTGAAGACCCTATTCTAGGGGCAGCTTGAGGGGTCTTTGGGGAAGAAGCTACAGATCCTTGTATTGATCCTTGCTGAGAGGCATTCCGAGTACGAGCAGGTGAGTTTCCCACCGACTGTTTAGGCATTGCCGGTGTTGCAACAGAGAGATGGGGCGAGCTATTATAAACTCCATGAGGATGTTGTGGTACGGATATGGACGTCTGTATTGAGACTGGGGGTCTTTTTGCAGCAGCTGCTGCCATCGCCGCTGCTGCCGCATTCTCGGCCTTGGCCTTTGCTTCTTCCTCCTTCTTTATACGCTCCCGTTCCAGCGCTTCCTTTTTGGCTTTCGCTTCCTTTTCTTTTCGCTCACGATCCTCGCGCTCTCTTTTCTCCCTAGCCTCCTTCTCCCTAGCCTCCTTCTCCTCCTTAGCTTTTTTTGCAAGCTCTTCCTTTCTCTTTCGTTCCCTCTCCAAATTCTCTTTCCTTTTTCTTTCACGCTCAGCATCCCTCTCTCGTTCTTCTTCGAGTCTCTTCTTTCTCTCCTCCTCCTTACGGCGTCTTTCTTCTTCTTGAACCCTTTTTTCGGCTTCCCGCTTCATCCGCTGCTCCTCTTTCCGTCTCCTTACTTCTTCGGCTTTCTTTTCCTCAATCGCCCGTTGTTTAGCCTCCTCCTCGGCCTTTTCGGCTTCCCGCTTCTTTCTTTCATCTTCTTTGGCAAGCTTTTGCAGTCTCTTCTTTTCCCTCCTCTTCTCCTTCTCTTTGGCCTTCTTCTCCTCACGTGCCGCTCGGAGCTGGTCCTCTTCATCTAATTCCTCAAGAAGCTTATCCTGTCTTTCCCGAGCAACCTTTTCTCGATAGGCGGTAAGAACACGTTGTTCAAACATTCTGGCAGCAAATATTTGGAACATCCTACGGCCTTCTTCCATGCGCTGTTCTTCAGTCATGGTGTCCTAAATCGTGTCAGTGTTGATTGGCAGTAATATAATACATGATAGTAACCCACGGGCTCATCCTCCTCCTCTTCATCGTACTCTCCGTCATCCTCCTCGTCATCTTCGTCATAATCCTCATCATCATAGTCTGTTTGCGAATGGGTATGGCTTATATGAGTTTGCCCTACCGACATACTCTGGGATGTGTGACCACTGGAAGCAGCACTTGCTTCTTCTTCCCGTTGCATTCGGCGCTCTGCAAGTTGTTCCATCATTTCAATAAACTTTTTACCATCGTTTTTGAGCAAATCATCAGCTACAGTTAAAATGCCACCTGATATCCGTAAGGAACGTTAGCTGTATACTCTCTCTCCGTATATTTTCGAATGCCTATCATAAAACAAAGAGGACCCCACCTTGAACAGTGAGACTGTTCCCAAAGTTGAAGAAGTCAGGTTGAGGATCGTTCTCCGGCAAAGGTTCATCCAGAACATCATCGTCCTCATCATATTCTTCATCTTCGTCGTCATCATCCTCAAATTCATCATCGTCAATCTCCTCAACGCGATGTCCTTGATGTTTGTGATGATGATGCCCAAGATGTATAAGATGATTGCCCGGAGGAGGACCTGGCGGAGGCGGAGGGGGGGGTATTCTGGTGGTAGAATACGATCCGGGGGGGTGACTATGAGGTATCTGAGCAGCGTACTTTGAGTTTTGTTGTTGATGAGCATACTGTTCCAATTCCTCGTAGTATGCATCGTACAGAACCTCCAGCTCTTCTTCAATGGCTGTTCTTTTTCTTCCGCAAACACTACATGAGCAGGAGTGCTTCTGTTGTTCTTTCATTTTCCGCAAGACCGCTTCCTTCTCTACTTTTACTAAAGAGCGGCGTTCTTCTTCACCCAAAGAAAGCCAAAAATCCTTGATCCTTTCACGTTCCTCATTTGTCGATGTATTCCAGATCCGGTCTTTTTTTTTTGAGGGCCCACCAAGCTGTCTCACAGGCGATACTTCGGAGCTCTGGTAAACTTCCTGAGTACTATTTACCCCCTTCTTTTTCTTCTTTTTGTTCTTTTTTTTGCCGGTCAGGGGCGCAGGAGCTTGAATTGGTGGGGTATAAGAATCATCATCCTCATCGTCATATCCTTGACTGTAGTATCCCCCCTCTTCCTCTGGATCAACAAGTTCCGGGATAGTTTCCGAGGGATGGTCGTCATAATCGGGTCTATTAGTTTTAATATCCTTTTGATATTGGCCAACTCTTTCATTAACATGGTTATAGCGGGCCTCGTTGTAATAGCCATCATGTAAATGGTCCTTGTGATTGTTACTATCGTGGTCGTGAGTATGACTGTGGTTATTAGATAGTGTATCTGATTCTTGTTGCCGTTCCTGCTGCTGCTGTTGCTGCTGCTTTCCCTTCTTCTTCTTTTTCTTCTTGCCGCCGATATTGTTTGAGCCAGTGTTGTGGGGGAAATCCATAGATGCGGAGGGCACTGTGGGTGACAGCTGATTGGTTATTTGGGCGGAGTGGTTGTTGGTCGTAGCAGTAGCAGCAGTTGATGTGGGTATAACGTTGCTAGTGCTAGTGCTGCTGCTGCTGTTGCTAATATTGCTGAGTGATCTGGGATCGGGATTCGACACCTTCCTAGAAGGCACGGTAATCAGTTCTGCACCGTCCTTGTTGCGTATGTGGGTTGCCTTGCTATTGGAAGAAGACAAGAGGGACTTTCGGTGATAGATGTCTGTAGTTGATGGTATGTTGCGCATGGGACATTCAGCGGACATGGTGGGGCGGGAAAGAATGCTCGGCAACAGAAGACGTAACCGGGGGTGGACAAGTGGGCAAGTGGGGTGAAGGGTCAAAAGAAGGGTGTGTATGGGTGCGGGGGGCGGGTAGATGCAGGAAGTCTGCCCTCTTCTGCTCCTGAATTTGGCTTGGGGAGGTACAACTAACGCTGTGGAAGGACTTACAAGTGGTAGTCAGATCCGATCGACGACAGTGGAATTGGGTAGATTTTACCAGGCGAGTGGTAGATGGGAGAAGGATTGGCGTTAGGAAAAGGGAATGGTACCCGTTCAACAACAATTGAGAGAGGGATGAGGAGCCGCAACAATGTCAACTCAGACCCACAGGCATGTATGTGCGAGAGAGATGCTTGGTCGTCTGCGCGGAGATGTGACAGGTGATGTAAGCGGCAAATGGTGGTTGGTGGAGCAGAGCCTCACGAAGGTCCGGGTAGTGCCGATTGAGGTTGTGGTAATAGTGGCGGGCGGTCAGTGCACAGCGGCCAAAATAAATGTTCAAATAAGTGATGCGTGCGGGCAGGCGGGCAAGTAGTGGGGTGTCCAGTGAGCAAAATGGGCGGGACGGTGTTGGAAAGCAGCTTTAGCAACCGTTGGGGTGGTGCTAGCGGTGTGGCACTGTGGCAGTGCTAGCGGCCACTACATGTACAAATTACGGGGGCCAATGACACTTGGAACAGTTGTAATGTTCCCTTGGTGGTATGCAGTGTTTATTCGTATGAAGCACTACATGTATGTACCTCCTTTGTGTTAGAGCGTTCACTCCGTTCAGTATATGAGTCTATTGACAAGGGCCTTCATAGGATGTTTTCCAGAGTGCTGGTTGGTTCCGCGGCCAACGTCTCGCTGACATGACAGTCTGCATGGTCAGTCAGTTCTCTGGGTTGCGCGGGGAGCAGGTAGGGAGGGGCACTTTAGAAGGCAAGGGAGAAGAAGTACGTGTAAGCAGCAGGTAGTACAGGCGCAAGGCTCACCCTGTCGTCTTATGGCCCTAACTAACGCACGCTTTATTTGAGCGCAGAAAGACTTCGTTGCTCACCCTCTCACTCACTCGCTCACATACGCCGCAACACCTACTGGGCAGCAAGCCTTACACTTCTGTTCTCTCTTCTCCTCTTCTCTCCTCTCTCCCTTCCCCTCCTCCGTTCTCGCCTGAGCTTCCTCCGTGCCGTCTCCGCGACCAGACATCGTACCCTCGCTATTGCACTTGTCGTTCCCGGCCTTCTTCCGCTCTGCTCTAATTGCTCCGAGACATTTACTCCTACCTACCTCTCTGCTTCGCCTTCCCCTTCTTTACTACTACAGCTACTGCTGCTCATCCACCCTCTTCTTTAACCCTCCAATATCTCCCTCTCCCTCGCCTCCATTTCTGCTACAATCTTACACCCACCCCCTTCATAGTAGCCTCTCTCTTGATCACACTCGCCAACCAGCTCCACGAGTCGTATCCAATCTCTATCCAATCTTCAGCCTCAAGCGACAGAATCGTCTTGCACCCCTGCTGTTACCGACCACTTCACTTTTGTTCTTGTCAACTTTCCTAACAGAACAATGGCTCAGAACAACGCCCAGAACGTCATTCGAAGGTACTCTATTCACTCCTCACCCTCGGTTATTATCCTTCCGTTGTTACTCTCATTTTATTGTTTCCGCTCGCTTCGGGAGCTATCCATGTTGGGAATCGCTACACCACCATGACATGATGTGTGGTTACCAAATTTAGATTCCTCCCCTAGACAATTTGGATTGAAATCTTCGATCTCAGCTCATCTCCCGGTCGTCGGAGATGTCCGCAAAGCTTTTTATAGTTTTAGCTAACATTGAACTCTTTTTGGCACAGGAAGTTGGTGATCATCGGCGACGGCGCATGTGGGAAGACGAGTTTACTAAGTGTGTTTACTTTGGGATACTTTCCTACGGTATGTTAAAGGTTCCTCTAGAATTGCTTTCAAATAAATGGCGCTATATTGCTCCTAGTCTGCTTTGCCAAAATGAAGATTTTTCGTACTGACGTTCCTGTTTAGCATTACGTGAGTTAATTCTATATGAGCCTTGAGCGTTAGCCTCAACTAGATATTCTCTAACAACCAAATATAGGTACCCACTGTTTTTGAGAACTATGTTACAGATTGTAGAGTATGTTCCGCGCCTTGGATACTCTCATTTATCTGCTAACATAATCAACAGGTCGATGGGAAATCTGTTCAGCTGGCGTTATGGGATACAGCCGGTCAAGAAGATTATGAGGTAATTTCTTCTGTTTCTTTATTCCTTTAATAGTCCGAGACTTTGAAGGATTCTGCTAAAACTCAAAATCCAGAGACTGCGGCCACTAGCTTACGCCAAAGCCCATGTCATTCTAATTGGATATGCCGTTGATACACCCGATTCGCTCGAGAACGTTGCCAATAAAGTAAATTTCATCATGGCCTGTTAGTACGTTTTTGGTAGACTTGCTAAAAGAAAACCTGTGTAGTGGATTGAGGAAGCCCATGAACGCTGTCCTGGCGTTCCCAAAATACTTGTTGGGCTCAAGAAGGACCTCCGCGAAGATGCCAATGCTCGGGAGGAAATGCGCAAGAAGTCAATGCATTTCGTGCAAACCAGTTACGCCGAGACCATCGCCAAACAGGTCGGCGCAAGGAAATACCTAGAGTGCAGCAGTTTGACCGGGGAGGGTGTGGACGATGTGTTTGAGGCTGCCACCAGGGCAGCATTGTTAACTTTTGAGAAGGAGCGTGGTGGCGGGTGCTGCACCATCTTGTAAATGCACATGAGTACCGATGGAACGAGGGACGGGGATGAAGAAAATCCATGAAACGATACTACGATACAGCAAATGGGCACTCATTCCGGATTTAGTCGACCAATCGATTTTTTTTATCAACGAAGGGAAGTTGGAGGAAGTAGTGGTTTACAGGCATCCGAACCAGAATGAAATCCTACGAACACGCCATTTTACGAATCATCGCCGAGAGCTTGGAATGAGGGGCCTCAAAATCCAGCCTGGTGTACCATAATAGGTTTCATCTTCTCCTCACATACTCTGTTTTTTATTTCTCCATTAATTTCCTATATTCAACAGTTGTCTATTGCATCTGTTCTCCAAGCTCGTGTGAAGGAAGCCTAAATTCTCCCTGCTTTTTTTTTTTTCCCTTAATCCGGGTGGTTTTCCCAGGTCTTTCTTTACTCCGAGTTTTCGAGTTATTAATCTGATATTTTCAGCGATTTGATTGTTTTGTACTTTTTCCTAGTCTCCGTCCTCTCTAATTGCTTAGGATTATCTTGGGAGTGGGTGGATTTGTGAAAGGGCTGTTTTGCTTTTCTCTTCTGTTGCTGCTACTGTTATTTCTGTTTTACTAGCATTCGTTTTTCTGCTCCGTTTTCTTTGCTCATTTGGATTGGGTGGTTTTTTTAGACCGGGAAAAATTTATTCTTTTGATATTGGCGTGGGGCCGGGTTTACTGGCTGGTTGGATCAGGTGGAAAATCGGTAGGGGCTTGGGGAGGGGTTCTTCTACTCAAACAGGAAAATGTGAGAATTTTAGTAGTTTCTTGAACAGAATCTGTCTTGTTACTGCAGAGGAAAGTTCTCCTAGTTCGGTTCGGTTCGGCTGGTAATCCATCGATGGGATTGAAAGTGATGAAAGAATAGGGGATGGGATGTATGATAGTTGGGCTTAGGTTAAATCAGTAACATGGGGGCGATGGTTGAAGGGATGTGTTACTTTCATTGGAAGGGGCCCCGGGTTGCGCAAGTCGATCACTCATCAAAAGTTTATTTTGGTCCTCGTTTCCTTCAACATGTATGTACGCGAGTTTTGACATGCAACACCTTTTCAACCCTCTATTATGTCGGTACTGCACGGCTTTCGGTGTGCTTACTCCTTTTAAACACCATTTCTCACTCACCCTCTTCCTTCCTCTTGAATGAGATTTCAAAATGGCCGAGTGCGACGCCAGCTGAAAAATGTGGATATTTATGGAAGTGGAAGTCAATAAACCGAGGCTTGGATGCTTGGGGGCGAAATAATAGACCGAGATACATACATGTATGTAGCTGTTACTTTTTATTTAGAGTACGATTGATGGCTTGCAGTGCACTGCAGCTCATCCAGCAATCCAACGACGTCGAAAAGGATACAATACCTATTTAGTAACTAGCTCACCCGCAACGGCGTCATGCGGGATCACTCGTGCAACCCAGGGAGAAGTCACATTGTCGACACGCTCACAGCATGCCTTTTTCAACCCATTTGATTCTCTACATATTCAAATTCATGTGCAGAAATAGGAAATTGCCAGCAAACATCCATGGACTTAAATCTGCCAGCCAATCTTTTCTCATTCTCTCATCCACCAAGCAAGATTAGCCGCAAAAGAAACAAAAAAACATGATTATAATAGCATATGAAGTATTCATTTGACAAGCTTCATTCGACGCACACGTCCGTTACCTTCTTTCGCAATTTTTCTTTATTTCCGACACGTTTTACCCCAGAACCCGTTTTATTTGTTTGTTAACTATTGAAGGAAACCGCACCAACCTAGGCAGAAGAACAGATAGAGTAGAGCCCCACTAAGGAAGAAACATTAATCATACTCCTTTTTTTCATTCCTCCCCCACCCATCAACCCCTCCACCCTTTGTCGAAGTGTAACCTGGTCAGCTAGCTAGTCTTAGAATCGCAACACCAAATCCATTAGCAACAAATAGCGCAGCAAACTACCAACCTAAAAACGACGTCTTTCGTATTCATCATAACCCCTCGGTGGTGGCCCTCGTGGTGGACTCCTGCCTCTATAAGGAGGACTCACCGGACGCCCTCTGTGGGGTTCATCATAATGCCTTCTGCCACCTCCACCTCCTCCTCCATTGGCACCTCCGGCATATGTGTCGTCATCGTAGCGCCTGGGGGGCGGGTAGTCATCGCGGCCTCCGTATCCTCCACCGCGCGGGGGTGGGTATTCGTCGGCCGCTGGAGGTGCGCGCCTAGGCGGGGGGGACCTGTCACGGCCGCCACCACCACCATAGTATGGTTCGCGACCTCCACCACCTCCACGAGGAGCGGGGGAACGCTCACGGTAACGAGATGGGGGTGAATCGTAACGACGCCCATGACGGGGTGGGGAGTGGTAACGGCCACCGGGGCCTGGAGAATAGCGGCGGCCTCCGTAGGCTCGGGGAGAGACAGAACGACGAGGAGGTCCATGACCGCCGCGTGGTGGTGCGTCATGGTCCGGCTAGTTTAAGTCAGCACAATATCTTTTAGCTGAAATAAGGAGGGTGGGAAATACATCGGCGACACAGTTCACATGTGCGCCCTTGAAGTCAGTGCCATCGAGAGAACCGACAGCTCTTTTGAGGTCTTCGTAAGTCTCAAATTCGACCATTCTATAACATTATAAGTAAACCCTCTATTAATTCTATAGGGAAGAGTGAAAAGTTAACTTACCCACGGCCATCACGGTCACGGCTGACCTCGGAGAATACAACGTCGACATTGGACCTGCGTGCGAAGTCTTTGAGATCCTAGGTAGAAGAGAACGTTCGTATGAGTTGAAATCCGAAACAAGACTCTTGTGGGCCTGTGGCTCCTCCAGTAAAAGCAGACGCGCATGTAAAATATTTTCCTGGACAAAGATCTGGCAGGTAATGTCGGGGGGTAAATGGGTTCCTGGCTCATTGGGATACATAAAGATCGATACGACAGTCCAAGCCATAATAATAGGAAGTTATTTTTCTCCAACAATTGGGACGCCCAAATCCTGGGATAAAGCAGGCAATATAGAGGCCACGGAGCAAATTCCATCGGGACCAGGGAATGTTTTCTAGCCAGGACTGGCAAAGGATAAAAATATGGACAGAGGGGTGGGTGTAAAAAGACTTGAATCGGAGTCACGAAAGCCTATGTTGCAGCAGGAATGAGGAGTGCGCCCACCTGCCAGCTCGTATCGGGTTGAAGGCCAGTAACATTCATTCTGAAAGCAGTGCGCCTGGGGCGTGGGAAGCTGCGATCCGCTCCACCAGTATATTCATGGCGAGGTTGATGACGATTACCACGGGCAAACTGTACAGTAAGAGTTTGGCCCTTGAAGTCGCGCCCATGATAGGCTACAGATTCAAGAGAGAAAATGTTAGCTTGTTAAACAGCCAAAGCGATAGAAATTGCCGATGAAATAATGTGATAATAGAGAAAGGAAGAGGTGAATGCGCACCAGGAACCACATCCTTCGCGTCAGCCTCGTTATCGTACTGAATGAAGCCGAAGCCATTCATGAGTTTAACCTCAACGATGTTTCCACTGCCGTGTTCCTTGAAGAAATCTTCGACCTCTTGTTTCCTGGCTGTTATTTTTCATGTTAGTGAAGAGCGATGATCAAGAGGGTTTAGGCCGAACAAAGTTCGCGCGAAAGACATCATCATGAGTGGCGGGCGGTCAAAGCGACGACAAAGATGTCATTGAGTGAAACGAAACGAACAAAGTGAAGGAGACAAGAGAGCGAGAGTAGCATACCATCTTTGTGAAGATTGCCCAAGTAGAGGCGAGTTCCCGAATATTCAGCCATGATGATTACAGCAGACTGGTTTTGATATTTGGGAGTTGATGTTTATCGGTGATGTCAATGGATGGTTGTGAAGTGGAGGGATGTGTGATGCGTGAGTGTCTGTGTGTTTTTTGGGGGAGGGGAGGGAGCGACAATGATGATGGATGTGATGAGATCGACGGCGACCACAGCAGCCAGAGAAATAGGCAGCCAGAGAGGAGAGACGCGAACTCAAGAGGAGGCAAACGGATGGGGCTGACGAACGGGTCGGGACTCGGGAACACTTATATATACCACAGCTATCGCAGATATTGTATGTAGGTCGCCAGGTACTCCACAGTTTTCACTTCTCTTACTCTTGATGACTGGTGCCTGGTTTACTACCAAATAAACGATGTCTTGGAGAGGGGGTGCCCACTCCACACTCCTTGCGGAATTTGGAACACCTTTTTAATTTATTTTTCCTATGGACAGAGAGATGAGGCGAGGAATAGACATACATGCACATACATACACTACGAGGCGAGGCGAGCAGGCACGCACTCACATGCAGCAACTTACAAGTAACGCAACACGACGCAAACTGAGCACAACAGCTCTATGGGAAAGCACTGGCTCTTCTGTGGCTCTTCCCCCCGAGGAACAGGCTAAAGCGGGGAAGGCGTCGAGCGAGAGACGGCCGCTTCTCTTTAAACGGCTCGTGCCTTGGCCTCTAGGACCGAAATGTAGTCACTACACGTACCTGCTCTATCTTCTTAATGCATGCTGGACATCGAAAGTATCTCGCGAGCTCCAAATACAGTACATACATAGATCACGAGCCAAATTACCAGTTGTCCTGGTGAGTAAAGTTGACCATAGATTGTTAAGTTATGACTGGTTCTATTTATTGTTGACAACAAAATCTGATTTGGTCTACCCATGTTCTCAGTCGATGTTGCAGATACAGAAGCAGTTACCACGGTCCAAAAGTAAGATATTCAGATCCACTTGCAGCCTGCGTGAAGGTTGAATTGACATTCCAAAGCTGTTAAATCACCATGTACCTACCTAGGTACATGTACAAACCTGTAGCAAAGATGCAAAGTATATATACGACTACCCCCCTACTGTATTGGATTTAAAATGCTGTCCTTGATTTATAATGCGCTTCCCTCACTCAAATCTATCTACTCTAGAGGCGTCTCTTTTAACATCCAGGTGTATGAGTACCATACTATCTTCTACTAACTCTTTATCTCAGCCTTCTTCGTCGATCCACGAAGAAATGTCGAAGATAATCCCTCATCTGACCAACCGCTGTCCCCTGTTGCAAGCCACAGAACCGAGATGCGCGTCAATCCAACTAACAAACATAAACATAGAAACATAAGACCCCCCTCTCCTCTCCCACCCCGCATGCTCAATTATTTATTGAGGTTGCCTTGCAGATAGTGGGCGGAATAACTACCAGAAGTATTGGCGATAGTCTTTATCTATCCCTAACTGCCGCTGTCGGCATGTTTATCTTCTATTTCATTCTTTTTTCCTCCCTCTTGGTCATAACTGAGTTGACTGAGTTGTTGTTGTGAACGTTCTTGCTGTTGGCTACGCGTGCCCTGGACCATGGAATGAAATCACATACCAGGCTCATAAACATCTCCTTTTCTTTCTGATCTTCCCGCTGAGAAGAGGGGCAGAGGGCCATCAAACTTAGTACTCAAGACTGTGCAACATATATCACTTGGATCTTACACTACTTAAATACGGCTACAACTATTGACCTACTATCGTTAACCTATCACCTATTTAAACGGAATCGTTCAAAGCCTGGAAAAACCAAATACCAAATCTACCCGGAAAAACCACGAGATAAGCCAAACTAGCCAGCACGCAATCAGGACATCAATGCATGGCGCTCGAGCCCGCATACATGTTGAGACATTCAAGACTGCCTGCCTAGCTTTCACTGGGCTGGCTTATTAAAGATATATATCGTATCTGCTCCTGAAACGTGTGGACTCGCTATGTGCCCACATGCGTGTGTCCAAGGAAAACATTGGTCAGATCTGGAAGCACCAAGGCTTAGGAAACGATAGATGTGAAGGGATTGGGAATATTATCACCAAAAGAGGGAAAGAGAAAGTACGATAATGCAGGACTACATACGATGCGTTGACTACGATCGCTTTGTAGTGTAATACACTACCTATGATCTTAGGAAGGTTTAAACACATATAAGGGGGCCATATCTGGGGCTATCTTTCGCGTGATCTAGTCGAACATTGATTGCATGGGACTCAAGCGGGGATAGGATGGTCCTAGATACGCTGTGAGACGTGTATGGTTTCTTTGAGGAACTGGAGAGGTACCTAGAGAATCAGGGCCAACTATGTACTCACCCTGTAGCCCAGTTCAGATGGGTCCAATTCCCGAATCAAACTGGCCGCCTACCATACATAACCAGTGGAGTCGGATATTAGAAGGCTGCCATTCTGCCCAAGGGCATAATCCTAGATCTAGTACCGCATCCAAACCCGAATATTATCGTTTATCCCAACCGTTAAGGGGGGAAATATGTTGCAAATTATATATTGAAAAACTCGATGTACATAGCTTTAAGAATTTCTCCATCTAAATACTGATTGCCGCTATCTACTGCCTGTGTTATGGATCGAATGATCACAGCTGATCACTCGTAAACTCTATGCCCAGTATACACACTTGCATTTCTATCTAAAAAAAAGGGTACCTGTAACCCACAACTCTATCGATGTACTAGGGGTGTACAAATAACCTGCAACTTCAATTCACGGGTTAGGGTCTAGAAAAGGTATTCAATATAGAAAGACACGTGATCTTAATATTTCTAAAACACTGCTCCTCGTGTGGCGAAACATATTTTCCGAAAGAGCTTGTACATGGTGCATAATAGGATGATAGGAGTGTATTATTGGGAGATCAGTATTGGACGCGATGTCACTTCAAAACTCAAGGAAATGAAGAGCTGTGCACTTTAAAAAAGCAAGCTCGTCTGTCAGGACCTCATGGCAACGTGGTTAGAGTGATAAGTTGTGAAGGGGTCGGGTTGGTTGCCCTGCCGATCCACCGAGGCGTCATCGCTACTTGTTCTAAAATCGCTACTGCGGTTTGTGTTGCGACCCTCCTAACACAGATATTCAACCAACTCCCCATCCGTCACCCATCACACCTGTCCTTCCATCGATTAGCGACCATCAACTCTTCCAAACTGAAACCTCGCCTCGACCTCTCATCAATCCCCCGCATCTCACTCCTCCCACCCCTTTCTCGCACGGTCTACTCATGGAGGATCAAGCGGGCCTTCTTCAAGATGCTCTCGGGGTCGTGCGGCAGCAAACGGCCCTGATGCGCAAATGCCTCGAAACTCCGGGGAAGCTTATGGATGCCCTTAAATGCAGGTGCGCAATTGGAAATCCGTCTCTTGAGATATTGGAAGCGCTGACAGTGTGAATGGGGTTGCGATTAGCTCAACGTTAGTTTCCGAACTGAGGACTAGCTCCCTGGGGCCGAAACAATATTACGAGCTCTATATGGCTGTCTTTGATGCTCTGAGACATCTTTCAGTTTACCTAAAAGAGAGTCACCCGGTGAATCATCTGGCAGATCTATATGAGCTTGTACAGTATGCCGGTTGGTTTTCGCTTGACATTGGAAGGTCATCTCAGATTTCTAATGTTTTAACGCATAGGAAACATTGTTCCACGTTTGTATCTTATGATTACCGTCGGGACGTAAGTGTTTATAGCTAAACCGTTACTGTTTAATAAAGCTAAAAACTCCATAGAGTATACATGTCGATTGAGGATGCGCCGGTAAAGGAGATAATGAAGGATATGATGGAAATGAGCCGCGGCGTACAGCACCCTATCCGGTACGAGCTCGGATATCGATTTTGGTCCTCTTGCGGATTTTGTCTGACATGAACAGAGGGCTTTTCTTGAGATATTATCTATCCGGACAATCACGTGATTCTCTTCCCACAGGGACAAGTGAAGGGTTAGAACTCACAGAAAGCCTCCACAGCTACGCACCAAATTACTAACTATCTTTAGACCGGAAGGAAATTTTCAGGATTCTATATCCTTTATTATTACTAATTTTATCGAAATGAACAAGCTCTGGGTCCGTTTACAACACCAGGGGCACTCCCGGGAACGCGATAAGAGAATCCAAGAAAGAAAAGAGCTTCAGCTTCTTGTTGGAAGCAATTTGGTCAGGCTAAGCCAGCTTGTGGACCTTGAGACTTACAAAAATATCATCTTAGCACCATTATTGGAGCAAGTTGTACAGTGCCGTGATGTTTTAGCTCAAGAATATCTCCTTGAAGGTATGTATCATTTCCAAGAGAGTATGGGAAAAACGATGCAAGTTCTGAGCTTCTATAGTAATTACTCAGGTTTTCCCTGATGAATTTCATTTGCACACTCTGGATCAATTTCTTTCCGCTACAGCACGGCTCAACCCAAATGTCAATGTTAAAGCTATTGTCATTGGTATTATGGATCGCTTATCGGCATATGCAGCTCGGGAAGCCGAATCCGAAACTCCCGAAGAGAGACTAAGGAAAGAAGAGGAAGCTGCTGTGAGATTGCTTGAAAAACTAAGTCTCAAAGCAGCAGAGAAAGCCGAGGAAAAGGCTTCCACAGAAGTTGATGGGAATACAAAACCTGCCGCGGAAAATGGTGATGATGACGCAACTCTGGCTTTGAAGGATGATGATCAGACAACAATAGCTGCATCTGAAGGTAATGAGCATCAGGAAACTCGAGGCGAGGACAAGGGCAAGAATGATGGTGAGGACACAGAGTCAGCATCCGGTAAACCTGCAAGGGGAATACCGGAAGACGTAAAGCTTTACGAGATCTTCTACGAGCAGGTTTTGAACCTGGTGAATGTAAGGGCACACACGAGGAGTTTTAATTCCGGTTCGAGTTCGGCTGATTTCCACGTTTCTTCGAAGGCCCAAAACCTACCAATTCAAGATATTACAGCGCTTCTGGTGTCATTATCGAATTTGGCATTGAATGTCTATCCCGACAAACTAGGTATATGAATTGCATTTCTATCTTTCGTTTTAATTGTGCTAACTGAATATTTCACGCAGAATATGTCGATCAGATCTTAGCGTAAGTCCAATCCCAAACATTTCAGACATAATATTAATTATTCATAGATACACCCATCAAAAGGTGTCTGAAATGGCCAACAGTGCGGATCTACACTCTGCACCATGCCAGCAGAATATTCTTAGCATTATGCTTGCCCCAGTCAAGTCATACGCATCTCTTTTTACCGTGCTTGCGTTACCAAGCTATGTCCCCCTCTTACACGCACAGTCTTACCCCACTCGACGCTCAGTCGCTGGCACAGTCGCTCAAAACATACTCAAAAACCAAACCCAGATTTCTACCCCTGAGCATGCTGAAGGAGTGTTCGAACTTTTACGCGTTTTGATCCGTGAAGGTGCCCAACAAGCTCAAGGATACCCTGGAGTTCAAGCCCCTCGAAAGAGAGAGGCCGAGACCGATGAGACGGTAGAAGAGCAAGGACGACTAGCAAGAATTGTTCATCTGCTATACAACGAGAACAATGACACTCAGTTTAAGGTGTGTACTATTCTTACAATACACCTAAAGTTGTGCTAATCAATTTCAGCTCCTCCAAGCCGCCAAAAAGGCCTTCGCTGAAGGTGGTGAAAGAGTGCGCTACACAACCCCTGCTCTCATCACCGCTGGCATCAAGCTCGCCCGTCGCTATAAGACCCGCGAGCATTACGACGATGAATGGCAGACAATGTCGGCTGCACTCTATAAGTTTCTCCACCAGAGTGTATCTGCGCTTTACGCCCGAGTTGGTATTCCGGATCTGTGCCTCCGCTTGTTCCTCCTCTGCGGACAAGTAGCAGACCAAACTGAGTTTGAGGAAGTTTCATATGAGTTTTTTGCGCAAGCGTTCACTGTTTATGAGGAAGCTATCAGCGATTCTCGCGCTCAGTTCCAGGCGGTATGCGTCATTGCGAATGCTCTACACTCGACAAGAAACTTTTCAAAAGAGAATTACGATACACTCATCACAAAGTGTGCTCAATATGGCAGTAAGCTTTTGAAGAAACCAGACCAGTGCCGTGCAGTGTACCTTGCTAGTCACCTCTGGTGGGCTGTCGAAATCGCGGCTAGAAATGAAGATGAGAAGACGCCACTATACCGGGATGGAAAGAGAGTACTTGAGTGCCTCCAACGTGCGCTCAGGGTTGCAGATGCGTGCATGGATACAGCAGTTAGTGTAGAGTTATTTGTAGAGATTCTTAATCGTTATGTGTACTACTTTGACAGACAGAATGAGGCCGTAAGTCAAGAAATCTCTCTTAGGAATTTGAGGGGTAAATGCTAATTCAGGGCGGATTTTATAGGTCACGGTGAAATATCTCAATGGTCTCATTGAGTTGATCCAGAGCAACCTTAGTGCGAACGACAGTTCCACGACCGAGACGCCGAGGAAGCACTTTGAAAGAACTTTGGACTATATTGCATCAAGGGAGTTTGAGGGGGTGATTCTTGACCCGAAATGAGTGGGTGGCTATTCCACAAAAGATATGAATGCGTTGTTATATGTTTTTATTAGGTTCAATTGACAGAATTAGTGGAGTGGACAATACTACATGTACCTATTGTCTTTTCCAACTGTAAGAAAGTGAATAAAACCGCCCCCGAAATCCTTCAACTAGCTAGATCTTAGAAAAAAGTACTCTCTACCTTTGGCTCTGTTTTGGAGGGCATTGATGTGAATTAAGGCCACGGATAGATGCAGTGTATACATGTATGTATGTATGTAGCCATATATTACATTTGTTTTATCTACTTGCTAGATCCTTTAGACATGAGACGCCCTGATTTTCGAATACTCAAAATCCGAGTTTATCCTATCAGACTGATGCTTCAAAATTCCAAACATTAAATGTGGGAATATTCATATCTTATAAGTTTGAGAAAACTCCCCAAGCTTAATAAAAGTGAAGATTAAAATAGTTATTCATATATAGTGTATTCACCAAGCGGATTGTTGTCCGCTTTGGAAACACGAATTAAACAGCATAGTATGTACTAAGAGAATAAACCCTGGCAGCAGGACCCGCACTCTCACGCAGATACATGTACCTACTAAAACATCGTATATTGCTTTGGCTTTGGTAGTATATAAAAGATTCCCCAGAACCATACTATCATAACCGAGTGAGAGCACGCCCCGGTCTCGCTCACAGGAAGTGATGGTGACAAAAGCAGCTGAGATTACGTCGGTGAGGCACATCGCACACAGCGCATAAATCGTCATAGACTACGGTCTGCATACGATTAATGAATTAGAAAAAAAAAAAAAAAAAAAAAAAACAGCGCATAATCATGGGCTATCACTCGATACTTGTTACCATTGACCGATCGAAGGCTATAACAATAACTGTAATATTTCGTCCCTAGAACACCCATCTAACCGGTACCAATACTCTCAAACGAGGAAAAACTAAACAACTGTAACTATTCTGACAATTTTGGTTTGTCTCTCTTTCCCGTCTTCCATTATCCGGCCCTGTATAATAACTACAAGTCTGGGTTCTGAACTTATATTAAACAGCTTCTTTTCCATAGTATGGTTGCCAAGACACTCGTTACTTCCGTCCAACATCTACGCTTATCCGAGCGGACTTCAGTATTATAGCTCTGTTTCCCACCACTGTCGTCTTGTCCATCTATGAAGCACGGTTATATGTACGGTCATGATCATGAACTTACCCCATAAGTTCATTGTTCTTGCTAGCCTGGAGGGAGAGAACGACGGAGAGGAAAATAGATAAGCTCATGGCATTTTTTCGTCGTCCCCTCGCCGAGAAGCCAGAGGGAGGCGAAAAGACAAACCAAAAAGCTCACTCATATTCCTTCATCTCTCTTCCTTGAGCTGTTGAGAAATAGAAGGAGAGAGATTGGGGGAGCAGGAGGCCTATAGGAAAGAGGGGGCCAAACCCCGCAGTTTTTTCTCCCTCTCGTCCTCTCGTTATGAAGCTAGGGGACGAGCAAGAAAGCACCAGTAGATAAGCCTACTGATCCTCATTTCTCACCATTTCTTTCATCGTCCCCCCGAGCTCCCCAGAGCCAGAGGGGACAGCCCAAAAAGAAAAAGAAAAAAAGAAAAAGAAAAGAAAAACCCAAAAAACCCACAGAGAAAAAGCCCAAGCCCACACTCTTTCCCCCATTTACCCCCAGAGACAAAGCGCAGAGAGCTAGAGGACCGGCCGTCAAACCCACAGAGACTCTTTCCACATCACTCCCTCGCAAGAAGACAAAAACCCCAACCCAAAAAAGTCCGCGGCCGTAGAAAGGCAAACGCAAGCTAGATCAAAGCCATTCATTCGTCCTCACCTCACCCCCCAACCTCGCCCCCTCGCCTGGATTCTCCCTCTTGGGCTGACGACGTCTCCAGTAAGTATTCCGTCTGAGACCCCTCCCAGAGTTGTTGGGACTCTAGATTGTAGGAGAATAGACCTACTGGGGCGGGCCAAGCCCCGGACTAGTTGGCAGTGTGGATGTGGATTTAGTGATTTCTAGTGTCGATAGAATGGTGCCAAGGCGGCTGGCTTGGAGGGCCGTTTTAACGACGAGACGGTTAGAGGTAGTCGGGGCTTGGCCTTGTGGCGAGGAGTTGAGTTTGTAGGTAGGACTGCATTGTTTGGCTGCGGCATTGAACTGCAGCGGCGGTGTGGTAATCATGAACCATCACTCGGTGCCAAGAAACCTCGTTTTATGTTTAGAGTGCCGACAGAGGCGACTTGAGCGCATGAGTCTCGTACATATAACAGTTAGAGTATATGGCTTTGAGAGTATGATTGGATCTTTATACAGATTAGTCCTATCTACAGGATGCGATGAATGGCTAGGAATGATAGTGAATCATGGGCGATCACTCGATAGCCAAGCCTTTTTTGGAAGGATGGTTGAGAGGAGATGATGAGGTTTACTTGGGATTTGTATGATGGGCGCACTGAATAGGCTTAAAAACTATATTCCTATAGAACTCCACTCTCTACGACTATCAATTCCAAATACTTCAAAGCTCGTATACATAAACATAAACATTAACCAAAGGACCAGCCTCTACTCCTACATCATCCCAAATCATTCCCATTCCACCCTCCACACTACACTACAAAACATATTCCCAAAACTAAACTTAAAACCCAAGCGCAGCATTAAACTTCACCGCCACACTCGCATCTCTCACATTCAACCCCGCCACCACCGCCTTCGCCGCCTGACACGCCGCCAGCGCGTCCGCGCCCGCCTTACACGTGTTCACCAGATTATCACAGATAAAGTTCGCAATGATGTTCGGGTTCAGCGCACTCGACTGGCCGCCAAACTTGCCGTCGCTGTTTGTGGGGAGGAACGAGTTCTCGGTGGCGGCACGGCCGTCAAAGCCGCCGCCAAACTTCATCGTGGGGTCGGTACAGATGCCGAAGTCGAGGTTCTTGCTTCCGGCGACGGCTGCTGCGGCGACGTCGTCTGCGCAGGGCTCGGTGGTGGCTGCGGCGGCGGCAACAGTGGTGTCCTCGTCGCAGGGTGGGGTGGGTGTTGCGGCAGCCACTGCGACGGTTGCGGTGGAGTCGTCGCAAGGGTCGGTGGTAGCTGCAGCAGCGGCCACAGTGGCATCGTCGCATGGCTCGGTGACTGCGCGGGCAGCAACAGTGGCGGTGGCCTCGTCGCAGGGGTCAGTGGTGGCAGCGGCCGCGGCTACGGTGCTGTCGTCGCAAGGCTCGCTCATGGCTCTGGCAGCAACAGTGGCGGTGGCCTCGTCACAGGGGTCGGTGGTGGCAGCGGCAGCAGCTACGGTGCTGTCATCGCATGGTTCGCTCATGGCTCGGGCGGCGACAGTAGCTGTGGCTTCATCACAAGGGTCCGTGGTGGCTGCGGCGGCGGCCACAGTAGCGTCGTCACAGGGCTCGGTGACTGCTCGGGCGGCGACAGTGGCAGTGGCAGTGGCTTCGTCACAAGGATCTGTCACAGCTCTAGCAGCTACAGTGGGAGTTGCTTCATCACAAGGATCAGTCACAGCTCGGGCAGCGACAGTGCCAGTAGCTTCGTCACAAGGATCAGTAGCAGTGGCCGCGGCCGCCGCAACAGTCGCAGAAGCATCATCGCAAGGGTCGGCCGCAGTATCAACCGAAGCAGTGGAAACACCAGCACCGCCAACAGCAGCATTAAACGCATCTGCAGCAGCCTGTCCAGTGAGCGCCGAGGCTGCAGTTGCGCCTGACTTGCAGGCTGCGACTGCGGCATCTGAAGCTTTGCAGGAGCTTGCCAGCTGGCTACAGATAAAGTCCGCAATAACGCCAATCTTCAAGGCTGACCCGTGGTTGAAGTCGCTTGAAGCGGGCCCAAATGACGCCTCTTTACGGCCGTCGAGCCCGGTGGAGAAAATGATGGTTGGGTCGGAGCAGGAGCCAAAATCCAGAGCTTGACGCTTATTATTATTGTGTGTATGGACATGAGCTTCTGGGGCGCGCTTGGCTACTGCACTTGCTGTTGCTGTATCTGCGGCGGCGGTTGTGTCTGCTACTGCTGTGGTGTCCGCTGCGGCGGCTGTGGTGGTTGCGGCCACTGCGGTGGTGTCTGCTGCTGCTGAGGCGGACTTGTGCTTGCGGTGGGGTTCTGGAGCACGTTTAACTACTGCAGTTGTAGCTGCTGCTGCTGCTGCTGTACTGTGCTTTTTGTGAGGCTCTGGAGCACGTTTGACTACTGCAGTTGTGGCTGCTACTGCTGCTGCTGCTGCTGTACTATGCTTCTTGTGAGGTTCTGGGGCACGTTTGACTACTGCAGTTGTCGTGGCTGCTGCAGCTGCTGCGGTACTATGTTTTTTGTGAGGTTCCGGGGCACGCTTAACCACCGCACTTGCCGTATCTGTTGCTGCCGCAGTAGTATCCGCAACAGCAGTAGTATCCGCGACAGCAGTGGTATCTGCCACCGCCGTCGTATCTGCCGCTGCAGCATCCGTAGTAGTAGCAGCCACATCCGTCGCCGACGCCGACGCCGACTTGCGTCTACGATGTGGTTCTGGGACCCTCTTTTCCATTTCGGGGGCACGCTTGACCTGGGCATTGTTATTGTTGTGCGTATGCACATGGGCTTCGGGTGCGCGTTTGGCGTGGACTTCGGGTGCGCGCTTGACTTGGGCGTTGTTGGTATGGACGTGCGGCATGGGCACGGCGGAGACCATGGCCGCCGAGGCCATGAGGGCGGAAAGGGCGAGCGTGAGCTTCATGATGGATATTTTCAAAGGAAAAAAAGATAAATGTCTATCAAAGACTTTGTTTAAAAGAATGGGTGAAGAAGAGAATATAAAATGAGCACAGCTAGAAAAAGTTAGTGATCAATGGCTAGAATTGTATATCAATCAATAAGAAGCGGGAAAAACAAACCTCTTGGGAAGAAAGGAATATGATGGAATGAGAAAGAGAACTGGAGAACTGCTGGAGAGAATAACTATTGGAAGGAAAAAACCCTCTACTTATAATTATGGAGAGCTGGTTAATAGTACATGCAGTAGCAGTTTATTTCTAGTTACTACAGCACTGTACTACCACATGTTAGTAGATGTTCTCTTTTTCGGAATACTTACCCTCGTAACAAAAAGAGTCAAACTCCCCTTCCCCCTCCATCCAACCCCGTAAGCGTTTAGGTTAACATATCCCTACATGGGCACGGTTCTTCTATCAATTCTGTTAGTTAGATGTAGCTTAAACCCACTTCCAACCATCGAGCTAACTGCAGCAATGTATCTACCCTCGCTAAGTATTGTAGACAAAGAAGGTCACAGGCGGTAGTCAGTAGCAGTAGTAGTAAGGACCCGTGTTTCGATGTCGTCTGAACTCTTGGTACTGCATAAGTCGCAACTATATCACCTCCTTGGCAACGCCCTACACGCCCGCCCACAACTATTGGCGAAAGCTACAGGTAGACTGCGAGGGGCGTTTCGAGCACTTAGGCGCTGTGTCACCTCCCCAAGAAACAGAAGGAATTCCAAGCAATTCGGGAAGCGAGCCGAGACAACGGGGAAAGCTTGTCGCGACCGCCGCCCAGGCGCAGGGATCACTGAAACCCAGTGCGTCTCCGGCATCCCATATCCGCGTCTGCTGCTAGATTCCGGATTCCGAGACTGACGCTTGGGAGTGCCGGCGATGGGGATTGAGGGGAAGAATAGCCTTGTGAGTGGGGAAAGAAAAGCCTGCTGGGATCGGTAGGCAATACTGTCAATGTGGAAAGCGGCATTATGTTGCTTGTTTGAATCTTTCACTTCTCTCCCCCCAGTTATAGCGTCTGACTAGCGCTAGCGTGTGTGTCAATGAGTTTTTTCGAATCACTCGGAGTTTGGAGCAGCTCTTCTGTGGATGTTCTGGAGCGCTGGCTGCGCTTTGGGTTGCCAGTGTTGAGCTTGGAACGTTCGGTTATTATCAATCGGGAGGCTTGGGAGAAGAGATGTGAAATATTGATCAGCAATGTCTCACTTCAGATGGGAACGTCAGTTTTGGAACCCACTTACTTTGATTGTCATTCTCTTCTTTTGGGGATGGTTGTTGCAATTCAGGTAGACAAGCGAGTGATACCCCGTGATAGCGTAGAGATCCATTTAGGCTTGGCAAAGTGTCCCCTGGGCTCCCCCAGAAACGCTAAAGGCAAACTACCCGGTAGCTTTTATCCTGTTCTACTGTTAGTGTGATACATTTCAAGCATACTGGCCCTGCTACAAAACCCAAAGACTCCGTGGGAAACATGTCTATGGTTGACATACATCCCTTGCATCCGAGCCTCGGTGCCTGTGATGTCAAGAACAGACACCAACCCGATGAAAGGAGTGAAATTGTTAATTTTGTCTCGAAGGAACGATGGCTATATGTATTTATATCTTTATCCAGCGGCGTACGTCACTTGAATAGACCAACTACGTTGCTTTATCCAGCCCTTCCGGGTCTTAAAGCCAGATCGCTCCATTGAGCGTCACGTTGTAAGCTGCAAGGAACTTCTCCAAAGTTGTTAAAACATGGTGGTTGGCGGCTACAGAAACATCCTCAAGATAGAGAGCCCACGGATTTCCAAGCTCGCAACTCGATGTTCCCTCATACCGAGATAGAGTGCGGTTAGTCATAGCCCCACTTCTTAACCAGATTCTAGCTAGAGTTGGAACAGAACTTCGAACTACCACAGTAATTCATCTCAGCGGACGCTCACATTGACATTGAAATTCCTTGATCTGGTCACTTGAAAACGCCCCCCTAATCTTCCCTCATACGCGCTGTAAAAGGCAACTTCGACGTCTGTGTAACCGTCCGCTGAGACGAATTACTAGGGTATGCTCCTCCACCGGCTACTGCGGAGCTTTCGGGCGCATCTATAGGGAATCGGCTGATGGAGTCAGTTCTAGTAACAGTCGTACCCTCACGCAAGCTTTAGCTGAAAGGTAAAGTACTTGAACGGAAACAGGCTGTGGCGGTGAAGATGTCGGGATGTACATTTCGAGACATTTAAGGTTACGGTGACAAGATAGGCCCCTAGAGAGCGAGAGTCGATGTATGTTGTGATAGATAATGATGGGTAAGGAGAGAGCCGAATAAATTATAACATGTGAATGTGTCCCAGTATCTATTCCATGTATGGTTGATTCAGGCCTAGTTTAATTTGGGGTATGGCCTTTCGTCATAAAATATCACTCGGTAGCTAGCGTGTAGCTTACTAATAACGATAGGTTTGCATGCCAACCTCAATGAGGGAGCCAAGCTCTATATAATCGCAAACCAATTTTCCTCGATTTTATGGGCAAAGTTGGCATCGCACAGAAGAGTAGCGATTGCAATAACCTACGGGCTGTAGTCCGGAGATTACTAGCGGGGGCAAGTTTGTAATACAAACCTCCACAAAAACCAAAGTCCCGCCGCCTAAGTATATATTCCTTAGAAATTGAATCGTTACTTAGTCGAGTTTACCACAGCAAAGCTAGTATTTTCGTGCATGCAGCTATGTGTAGACTAGACGCGGTGCTGGACATAGTCAATACACCGCACTTATTCCTGACTAGGCTCTTTGTGCAGTTCATATAGTAGACCTCGTGAAACCAGTATCCATGCAACCGCGAGACCATCAAAGTTTCTATGGTTTCCTGTTTATAAATTTGTGCTGGATGGGTTTAAGTTCCCCCACCTTAGATATTTGCCAGGTTCCGAACTTCCGATGATCCCAGGGGAGCGCAACGAACATCCAAATAACTCACATGTTCAGTGATAAGACCAGAGCTGTGTTTACTGAGTTATATCCTTCGAGTGACCCTTGTACCAGTTATTATGAAGAGAATCTCTTGATACTGAAGTAGTACAGGGCTTAGTCTTGTAGTCTTATTTCTTAGCCATGGCTGCTTGTGTTGTGATATAGAGACTAGAATCTGAAGTTCCTCATCATTGACTCTTAGACTGCTTCGGTGATCATAGACTCGGCTTTCCATAGCATATACATCCAAGGTTATGTGTTCGCTGCCCCTATAAAGATCCCGGTAACATTTAAGTAGGAGTTGGACCCCTTTTCGTTTAAATACATTTCATGGTGACGGCCGAAAGTATAGCAGCTATGTTGATTTATCCTGGTATTTGCCGCGCTGAATAAGGTCGAAATCTTCATACGTATTCCCTGCAGCTAAGATGCTGTCGGTGGCCTCCATAGCATTGCATCTGTCCAAGATCCCTAGAACCCTAGCTTGATGTGGTGTTAATTAACTACTACCACTGTGCAGAATGGCCTCTATGGCCTTGATTCTACCAATATTGCTTGGGAGAACCTCTACGGTTTAACTCTCATAATCGAGGCCCTGTCGCCGAAAAGATTTCTTAGGTCAAGTATTCCCTGTAATTGGTATGCTGTCGGTGATCTCCTCTGTCCAAGATGGTTCTCTGGCTTGCTGTGATATTAACCAACAACCACTGCTACTCCTCGAACGGCCTCTATGGCCTTAATCTTGTCAGTATTGCCTAGTAGAACCTCTGCGGCGCTACTCTCATAATCGAGGCCCTGTGGCCGAAAAGTTTTCTTTAGCGGTTAATGTCTCACTGGCTTTACACAGCGTGGTTTTCCAACAACTTCCTGTTGCGTCTGATGTAAGTTAGTAATATGCGATTGTTATCCTTTCATCGCAGGCCCCTGATTCTAACAGACCTAACGGTCTCTGTGGTTGGTTGCTGCTGGTATCAAGGCGATCTTAGTAGCCCGATATCAACTGTGGATAATAGAATCACATCCATCTATTTATTATGGCATGTCTCTGCATGTGCCATCAAGATCTTCTTGGTGGCCGTGGTGATATGTTGTCAAGTCAGCTGCATCTGCCACTACCAAAACATCTTCGGTCGAGACTTTCCCGCGGGGATAGTGCTGTCTTTCGTCAAGATACAGGGAGATGGGAAGGACAGGTAGAAGTGAAGGACGAGAAGATGAGAAAGACAAGAAGATGGGACGGACAGGAAGATGAGAAGGACAAGAAGATTGGAAAGATAGAAAGATGGAAGATGGGAAGATGGGAAGATAGGAGGAACGAGAAGACGGGAAGACGGGAATACAAGAAAAAAGAATGACAGGCGGGTAACAGCACAACAAACAGAAAATGTTGTTTTCGGCGTCTTTTGAACTGCTGCCTACATGTAGTCATGTGCCGGTAATGGCGGTACAATTGTTATTGAATTCATTCTATTCATCCAACCAATCTCTGCGCCTAGATATCCTTGTTTGTGCTGTTTCAATTGATATCTGGGCACAGCACTACGCACGTTTAATTCGCTTCTAAGTATATACACAAAGGAAGACCTTAAGAAACCATCTACAACACCACACACCCCCCCCCCCAATCACACGCCATCACTCGCCCCACCCCACGCCTCCTCCAACGCCACCTGCCCCGCCCCGCCCCTACTCCCATCCCCCGTCACCACCTCCCACACCCTCTCCCTCCACCCCCACCTCGCCTCAAACCTCGCGCCCTCCACCCCCTCCAACACATCCACCACCTCCCTCCCCAGCACGGGCAAGAACTTATACGCATGCCCGCTTCCCCCCGTACACAAAAACAGCCCCCTCCGCTCCGGATGATGGCACACCAAAAAGTCGCCCGTCGGCGTATCCGTATACCAGCACAGCCTCGTCCGCGCCAACGCCCGCCCCGCAAGCCCCGGCACCATCTCCGCCACCGCCGACCGCAGCTCGTCCTCCCCGTCCTTCGGGATTCCGCGGCCCGTGACGGGGCCGCTGGCACTCGTGTAGCCGAGGGCGTGGCACGCGACTTTCAGCACCCGCCCGCGCGGGGGGAGCACGAATAGGCCCGTGGTGAAGTTCAGTATCACGGGCATGTTCTCATAGCGCCTCTGCTCCTCCTCTGTGAGGTCAACATAGCCCACGACCTGCCCCGTCGGCACGGCCCTCCCCCCCAGATCCACCAACCCCGGCGACCACGCGCCCGCCGCCAACACCGTCAGCTCCGCCTTCAGCACCCTCCCATCCTTCAGCACCACCCCCTCCACCACGCCCCCACCAAGCAGCCCCACCACCTCCCCGACCACAAACTCAACCCGCCCGCTGCGCTCCACCTGCGCACGCAGATACCGCATCCCCGCCTCTGCGTCCGCCCACCCCGACACCCTATTCACATACCCGCTCTCCCCCGTGCTCCCTCCCGTGCCACACGCCTCACGGATCGCCGCGGTATCCGTCAGCGGCCGTATCTTGCCCGCCCCAAACAGCGCCACCACGTTGCGCATGCTCTTTGCGACGTAGTCCGAGTCGTCGCCCACGAGCACAAGCCCGCTCTCGGTGTAGACGCCGCCGGCGCCGAGGTCGGCGCGCCAGTGGGCCTGCGCCTCGGCGGCGAGCGCGGCGTACAGCGGGTCGCTGTAGTCGGAGCGGATGATGCGCGATGAGTCGATGGAGGAGCCGTGGGGGGTGGGGAAGGGGTGGGCGTCGAGTAGTGTGATGTGCGTGCTGGAGAAGGTGGCGCGCTGGGAGAGTTCGTGGGCGGTCGAGACTGCGAGGTTATGTCCGTCAGTGGAGAGGTATCTTTAGAGTTTGGGGGTGCTCGGGGGAATGCTTACGCCCGAAGACGCCGGAGCCGATGATGATGATTGAGGATGGTGCCATTGTGGGTTCTGTCATTGAGGGGGGGGAGGGGAGGGGGACGCTATATATGCCATCTACCCCTCCAGACAGGGCCAGGGATTACGGACCGGTCCAGGGGATGCGGTTCTGGGTTACATATGCCGATAAGACAAGACAGACAGGTATGCGCTCAAGCTATCTATCTGCAGCTAACCGCTAAAGGACATCCAGTATCTACTGCTACAACGGGTAGGTACGCAAAACGCCCCCAAGAGCCCTGCCTGCCTGGCTGCCTACACAGGGTATCCAAACCTTTTCGTGACCCGTGGAAAGAAACGTTCAACACACATCCTGACATTACATCACGGCCACCACAAGACAAACACACACAAAAAAAAAGGAACAAAAGAGCAAAAGCAAAAGAACAGAAACCGTAACACCCGTCCCTAGTAGTAATTAACAAATAAAGCTCCACCACAAACCCACCAAACCACAAGAAGAAGCCCATAAAAAAAGCGAGAGAGAAAAAAAAAGAGGACGTTATATAATGAATATATAAAAAAACGAGAACAACAAAAAAAGCCTCCCATTGTTCTTTTAGCCCTCCATGAGGGCGTCGTTGCCTCTAAGCTCCCCCTCCACAAGCTGCTCGTAGCCCTGCAGGGTGTCCTGGATGTGCACTTTGAACTTGATGATCTCGTTGAGGATCCTGTCGACCTCGCCGTGGAAGCGTTCGCGGAGGGCTTGGGCGGCGTGGGCGAGTTGGTCGCGTCTATCATTGGCCTTGTTAGTGATTTTGTTTCCCACAGCCAAGCTCCCAACTCCAACCTCCAATGCAAACAATCCACCCCAAACCACAATTCCAAAACCCAAGAAACGGAAGGAAGATACGTACTCAATCATGACCCCCTGCACCCTCTGCTCGACCGCCAGCACCCCCTCCCTCATCCCCACCCTCATCCCCGCCAGCTCCTTCTCCAACTTCTCAATCTCGGCATTACTCGCATTCCCCTCGACCGCAATATTATCCTTAATCTCCTGATACTCGCCCACCGCGCTCTGCACCCTCGCATGCAGCGTATCCACCTCATCCGCCTTCTCCGCCAGCGCCTCCGTCACCCGATCAATCGCCTCCTGCGTGCGTATCCCCTCATCCTGCGCCTCATGGATCCTCCCCGCAATCTCCCTCCGCAGCTCCATCAGCGCCGGCCTCACCTCATGCCTCAAATCCCTGCCCACCACCGCCCCCGCCTGCCACCCCGTCGCCGCATCCACCAGCAGCCTCGCCTCCTCCCCACCCGCCAGCGGCACCACCGCAACCTCAAACTCCCTCCCCCCGGCATTCGGCGCCGACGCCGGCACAAGCCCAATCTGGTACGCGAGGGTGTTGTAGCGTGTGACAGCGCGCTCCAGCGCCTCCAGCGCACTCGTGGCCGCGCCCTCCCGCTCCGCCAGCTTCTGCCGCGTCTCGGCGACGCGCGCGGAGATGGCCGCGAGCCCCTTGGACAGCTTGTCGCGCTCCGTCGTCATGCGGTCGATATCGGCGGGCGTGAGGCCCTGTCGGTCGACGGCGGCCTGCAGCGCCGCCTTCTCCTCCTCTGCGGCCTGCAGCTCGGCGTCCGAGGCCGTGATCTCGTCGCGCAGCTTCGCGTTCGTGGCCGTGATCTTTGTGATGCGCGCCTCGATGCGGCTGCAGTAGTCGAGGAACTTCTTCGTGTCGGTCTCGATCAGCGTGCGCGAGTCCTCGACCTTCTTCAGCGGCTCCTCGCCGTCGTGGAGGGCCGCCAGCTGCTCCCGGAGCGCCGCGTTCTCGGCGTCGAGGCGCGCGAGCTCCGTGGTGTATGTCTCGGCGCGCTCGTCGAAGGCGGCCGACATCTCGTCGAGGAACTCGTCGTGGTCGTCGTCGCCGGCGAGCCACGCGCGGTAGCAGCTGACGAGGTAGCGGAAGATGATGCGGTCCGCGCCGACGTCGATGCCCTCCGCTGCGGCGGCGTCGTCGTATGCGCCGCTCTGGTAGCGCTCGACGGTGACGATGAGCTCGAGCATCCAGTGCAGCATGGCCAGGAAGCTGGGCCAGCTGTTTGCGCTGCCGACGGCGGTGAGCTGGCTCTTTGTGATGCTCTGGGCGAAGGGGTAGCGCAGCGCCTTGAGGATCGGGGGCGCCTCCTGCTCGATGGGCTTCTGGAAGCGGTAGTTGGGGTCGAGGCGGTGGTAGAGCCACTGGAAGATCATTGTGAAGTCCTTTTGCGTGGGGCTCTTGAGGGCCGTGGGGGTGAGCGAGTGGCCGGCTTCGAGCTCGAAGCCGTTGGTGAGCAGGTATTCGTGGATCTCTTGGCCGATCTTGGCCTGGAAGCTGCGGTCCTTGAGCGGGCGGGGGTCGCGCTGCGGGATGGCGCTGGTGGAGGAGGTGAAGAAGCTGTTGAGGGCGCCGAGGGCCGCGCCGCCGACGGACGAGCGGCGCATGACGGAGGAGCGGCGGGCGGTGGAGGGGGGTGGCTGCGAGGAGGTGGGGGCGTAGGATTGGCGGGCGGAGCGGGGGTCGCGGCGGGCCGTCGACATGAGGTCCGCGTCGGAGGGGCGGGAGTAGGTTGCGGGGGGTGCGAGGGACATGCGGCTGCTGGAGGCTGGGGGACGTGATTTGGAGTTTGAGCGGCGCAGGGCGGAGGCGGGTTGCGGGATTGAGGAGAAGTTTGAGCTCTGGGAGGCGGTGGGGATTCCGGAGAGGGTCTGGCGGGGGGTGCGGGGGGGAGGGGGTTAGTAGGTGGGCCATTGGGGGAGAGGTGGTGGTAGTGGGTAGTGGGTAGTGGGTAGTGGGTGGTGGGTGGTGGGTGGTGGGTGGTGGAAGGAAGGGATTCTTACTTCTCTGGGCCGCTTGAAGGCGCTGAAGAGGTTCGGGTCTTGAGACATTGTGATGTCTGTACAGTGTATGTATGTAGTAGTGTCTGCCTGCTGTAGTATTACCCTCTTGCTATAGTATTGTACTGTTCTCTGTCTGTGGTGGTGGTGGTCGTGATGCTCTGTCGTTGTGCGTCGTCAAGCTTTGTGCGAGTGCGAGTGCGAGTGCGCGGTTGTGGTTGGCTGGCTGGCAGACAGACGGACAGACGTTGTTGTGTTGTTGTGGCGAGTGAGTGGTGGGGGGATGTTTGGCTGTGTGTCAGTGTGTGTGTGTGTCTGTCTGTGTCTGTGTGTGTGTCTGTGTGTGTGTCTGTCTGTCTCTCTGTCTCTCTCTCTCTCTCCCCTCCATCATCTCCATCAGATAAGGGAGATTGCAGCAACCAAAACAAACACACACACACACACACACAGCACCACCACCACCACCACCACCACCGAATATACACAAAACACCCTCGACAGGCCCTAGATCGCCTGCACATCTCATCTCCCGCACGGCCAAGCTCTCACAATCGCTTTGTGTGCATATTCGCCCTGCCCTCTCACCGTCGACCAGGTGTTTTTGCAGCCAGCAACCTCGGCTCGGCCTGTGTTCACTCTCTCGGGACAGACAGACAGACACAGACACAGACACAGACACAGATCACAGCACGGGGGTTTTAATTGCTTGCCTTGCTGGGGTTCCTCTGCTCTCTTTCTGTTGTTCCTTCTCTATCACCATCTTCTTTCTTTCTTTCTTCTTCTTCTCCCGGACCGAGGAATATATATCACTGCATTGTTAAGCTCTCTCCATTAATACAGTCGTCCTCTCTGCCGGTGCCTGCTATCTGCTATCTGCTACCTTCCACTGCCACTCCTGACCCCCTGGACCCCCTTCTGTCCACACTCCTCAAAGACACCTTCCAGAGCTTCTTCTAGAGCCCCCTACACACCCCCAACCATCACCATGCGAGAAGACCTCATTGCCTCCGCCGTAAGTCGTCTCTTCCTCACTGCCATCCCTTCCCTTCCCTTGCCCTAGCTTACCACACACACGCTAACTCGCCAACCAATCACAGGTCAACTGTAAGTGCAGATCAATATCAAGCTCCCCCTTCACCAACCCCCGAACCCCCCACAACATCCCAATCCCCCCAATTCACCCCCCCCAATTCCAATCCAGCTTAGACTAACAACCCCAAACAGTCCTGTCGGACCCCGCCATCGCCGCCTCACCCCTCGAGAAACGCATCGCCTTCCTGCAGTCCAAAAACCTGACGCAGGAAGAAATCGACGCCTCCCTCCTCCGCGCACAATCAGCCCTCGTCCCTGCCGGCGGCGCCCCCCACCCACCGCCCGTCGGCGGCCTCTACCCCCCCGGTGGCTACTTCGCCCCACAAGCTAGCCCCTACCGCTATGCCCCACAAGAGTATGTCCCAATCCCCACCCCCTAACCCCCCAGCCCACCCACCCACCGCAGACACCCAACTAACCCCCTCCAGACTCCCCCCGCGCGCCCGCGACTGGCGCGACTACTTCATCCTCGCCACCGTGACCACCACCGCCTCACTAACCCTCTACCACCTCGCCCGCCGCTACATCACCCCCCTCATCGCCCCGCCCACCCCCCCGCAACTCGCAACCGACAAAGCCGCCATCGACGCCGAATTCGCCAAAGCCTTCACCCTCCTCGACACCCTCCGCACCGACACCAGCGCCCTCAAGACCGCCGAAGAGGAGCGCAAAACGCGCGTCGACGCCGCCCTCGCCGAGGTCGAGTCCGTCATCCAGTCCCTCAAGGACGCCGGCAAGCGCCGCGAGGACGAGAGCAAGCGCGTCGGCGACGAGGTCCGCGGCCTCCGCGACCTCATCCCAAAGGCCCTCGAGGGCCAGAAGGAGAGCCAGAAGAAGGCCCTCGAGGACCTTGGCAGCGAGCTCAAGAGCCTCAAGCAGCTCGTCATGAACCGGACGGGCGCCGGGCGGGCGCAGTACGCGCCGCCCGGCGGCGTGGCTGGCGGTACGCCGCCGCTGGATCCCGGCGTCGGCGGCGGTGTCGTGAATGGCGCCGGGGGCAGCGGGGGGCAGGGGCAGGCGCTGGGCACGGGCGGGAATGCGCTGGGTGGCTTGGGGGCTGCGAAGGGGAGTGCGCCGCTGCCGTTTGGCGGGGTGGGCAGTCGCCCGGCGATTCCTGCGTGGCAGATGGCCGCCGCGAATAAGGCTGCTGCGGCGGCGGTGGCGAGTCCGGCGCCAGAGAGCCAGGGGGAGGGGGCGAGTAGTGGGTAGAGGAGGAGGAGGGTAGGATGATGTTTTGCTGGTTTTTGTGTGTGGTTTGAGGACGCTTTTTTTTTGGTCATTGTCATTATTATAATCCATATGTGCGGTTTTTTTCCCCCAGTTTTGCTCTTTTTTTTTTTTTTCTTTCTGCTTTTTTTGTTGGCTTTTTTTCGTTATGGAGACGTAGGGAGGGAGGATAAAATGACACGGCATATCATATCATATATATCATTGAGCAGGCGGGATCGAGCGGACATGTAGCAATGTAGCATACATGTACTTATAAATGTTTGTTTTTGCCGCAATGAAGCATCGGAATATCATTATAGACGAATATAGAACTTGTGCATTTTTCTGTTTGATAGTTTTGTGGACTTTGGGGTTCTAGTTACCAGTACTGTGCTGTACTGTGCACGCTGGGGTTCCGATTAGTACTGGTACTGTGCACTATGGGGTTCTAACTACTAGTTTTGCGCACTCTGATTCCAATTGATACTGATGTGCACTCGATATTCCGAAAGGCTTCAATTCCTACAAATTCTACATATGGAAATCTAACTACCTAGCCTACCCACTTACCTAATCTGCCTACCTAATCTGCCTACCTAACTACCTAACTACCTAACTACCTAACTACCTACTACCAAACGAACCCTAATCCTTCCCCCGACTCCTCCTCCTCCTCTGCCCCGCCTCCGCAGCCCTCGCCCTCGACGAGCTCGCACTCTCACTCATACTCCCCAGCCCCGAATCCACGGACACCTCCCTCCCCGACTCCTCCTCCACCTTGATCTCCCCCTCCGTCTCCGTCTCCTCATCATCCGCATACACCTCCTCCCCCTCCGCCTCTCCCTCCTCACCCACCCTCTCCTCCTTCTCCTCCACTTGCGCCTTGCCCCCGCCCAAATACGCCCAAGCCGCCCACCACACCACCGCCATCGCCCCCACCTCAAACCCCCAGAACAGCGCCGTAGCCACCAAAAACGACAGCACCCTCCTATTCCACATCCACCAGCGCAGGCCCTCCAGCTGCGCCGTGAACTCCACTTCCGCGCCATACACGCCGACGCCCTCGGCCTCGAGCACGACCTTGACGGTCGCAATCTGCTGCGGGAAGCTGCCGTCCACGAGCGTGACGGCGAGGCGCTGCGACTGCGACTGCAGGCCCGAGAGGTACAGCGGCGCGCGGAGCAGCGTGTCGAGTGTTTCGAGCAGCTGCGTGCGGTGCGTGAGCGTGGTGGGGCGGCGCGAGGTCGTGATGGCGGCGTTGGTGGGGCTGAGCAGCGTGATGGAGGTCATGAAGTTGCCGAGGGCGAGGTTGGAGGGCGTGGTGGGGAGGTGCAGGTGTAGGGTGATGATGTAGTGTTGGTTTGCCTTTGTGGTGGCGGGGGGGAGCTTTAGGAGAGCCGTGGGGTGCTTGTTGGGGCTGTTGGAGAGTTGTTAGTTCTTAGTTCTAGTTGCGGAGGAAGCTTAAGGAGGGGGGGGGGGGGGGGGGGTGGAAAGAGGAAGGAGAGAGAAGGGGGGGCACAAACGAATACTGCAAATGTAGCATATGCCTATGGCTCAGGTCCGGTATATAGTTCATATAAAAGGCCACATAAGTCGCGGCAGCAACCAGGAGCAAAAACGTCGCCGACGTCGTCAGCAAGAACGTCGTGATATACGCCCTCCTCGCCGGCTTGGAGCTCGCAACTCTCAGCGGAGCCAACAGTGTGTCCTGTTCACCCAGTTAGCTTGCAGTCAATCGTAATATCAATTGGGAATAGTAGGCTTTACCATAGCTGTATCGAGTTTTTGTTGCTATGATGTTGTTTGATGTTCGTCGTTGGTGACCGGGTGATATCTAGTGAGGGGCGGGTGAGTGAGTGGAGTGAGTGATGCGGCATGAATGGGTGACGTCGGAGCTAGGGTGGTTGCCTTGCACGTGATGCCGATTGGGTGGGGTTAGGGTTTATCGGGTTCAAGAATGCATGTGAGAGAGGGCCGATTTCGCCAGAAACGGCTAAATTGGACAGGACGGGCTCTGGGTATCAATGGCAGCTCGAAATTGAGAGGCTGTATCTAATTGAGAGGCTGTATCTAATTGAGAGGCTGTATCTCTCTCAGTCGGAGGGTATAAGACGGCTTCAATTTAGTCGGAATATAGAAAGGAAGCTTTTTCTAATTCTCCGGTTTCATAGTCTCGTATTCATCTAACTTTCTCTTCCAGAAAGAAAGCTATTATGCTGCTGTTCCAGATCCAGTTTCGGTGAACATGAATGTCCCCCAACGGACCGTCTTGCATGTGTTTGTGTTATTTGAACACCCCCGATAATTCCTGGGTTAGATGTATGACCTGTGAAAGTCACGCTTGGTGTAATGTGAATGACTTCAGTGATTAAAGAGGAAGAGTCCTCTAACCGGAAATATATACCAGCTAAGTGGTATCTATATCTGTTCTACTTGTACAGTCCCCGGTGTTCTCTTCTAGCTATGGATACACTGTTACAAGCTATTGACTAACGCTATCGGTAGTCTCGTAACCTGTCCTTAAGGCCTGGGCCTAAGAAATTGCATCTCGAACTTGAGTGGACCTTGCCAATTGACCATATTACACTATTGGCAACGAGGCTTTTCATGAGAGGCATATCCGGAATCGCAAGTCGTCCCTGGGTAAACTGGTTCGTCGGGAATTCGAATACTTCCGAGTGAACTACATACCATCAACGTACACGGCTAAACACCTGAGCACCATGCCGACAACAGCCCAGAATCCAGACCAGACCAGATACCGAATCCCGGGAAGTCCAAGAGACCGGCCAAGGCGGCCCATCCCCGGAACATCTCTCAAACCCCGTCTCCCACCTCACCCCGGCCATTCCAAGCTAGTACCGCATCATGTGACCCCTCCACTACCCTAAAAAAAAGCAGGCTCCGCAATCATTGACACACGCCGACCACACCAAGCTCCTTATCTCTTATCGCGCTCATGATCAGGCGCAGCCACACCCCACACCGCACATCACGTGTAGTCACTCGACCTTCCGTTTTGAAACTAAAACGGTGCCCCCCGCCAGAGTAGCTGGCTGCCCTGCTGCTGCACCCATCACATCATCAATCGCCATGCATTGCATCGACATCTCATCTGATCATGATCCGCGTGTAACGGCCCAAAACGGCGGTGTGGGAGCTGCGGTGAGGGGGGAATATAGCAAAGTGCGTATGTGTATGATGTATATTCTACTTATGGAGAGTGGTGGTGGTGTGGCGCAAATTACAGAGATGAGATGGATAGCTAATATAGAACCGGACAAAAGAAACAACCAATAATAGCAAGCAAGCGCAAACAAAAACCAAAAGAGTAAACATTACCTTCCCAGTTTTTCGCCCGCTCCGTGTGTGATGTTATATACCGTCAGGATTAAGCAGCAAAAAAAGAAAGCAAGAGAAATTAATCACATAGGTACGCCATTTAGATCCCCCCGCCCCGGCCCCGGACAGACAGACAGAACAGAAAAAAGAGCCGCAACAACAAAAGAGAAACCAGAACCAAACCAGAAGACAAGACCTGACTATACCCCTCCCAAGAAACAAGTGTCCATGAACCCTCCTCTCCTCTACCTCTGCCCCGCTTCCCTCTCCCCCGCATTCCACTTACAGGAAACTTCCCCTTCCCCTCAATACCTTCCCGCTCCGGTAGAGGTCCGCTTCGGTTTTTTTTTTCATTCCATTGACTGACTGACCACCTTCACGGTCTAGTTTTTTCCCGTACGTACCATTAGATTATTCGCGCGCATGGTATTATGAATTATTTTTTCCCTCGCAAAAAAAAAAATTGAAAATGAAACAACAAAGGAGAGGTAGAGATTGATTTGCAGAGACTTGAATGAAAAAAAGAAACGAAGGAAAGAAGAGAGAGAGAGAGAGAGAGAAAAGGAAATGCGTCATCTCTCACTCATCGTCCAGAATTGAGCTCGCGAGCGGTCCGAAGAAAGGTACTTCGCATCTGTTCCAAACCAGCAATTAAGCCCACTCGTTAGCCGGCCATTCAGTCAATGGATGGGAGGGGGGGGTAAAGGGGTGTAGAAACCTATCCAATGTATCCGCGTCTCTATACGCGTGCAAACTCAACCACGCAATGAGGCCCAGGTCGACGAGCAGCAGCGTATACGACAGGAACGCCGAGAACATGAGGAGGGCGTGCAGAATCTATTCAATAAGCTTCTCATCCATGCTAGAGCAGATACTAAGGGGACCTACCACAAGGGCCGCGAAGAGTAGTGATGACTGCCATGCGTGGAATCTGTTGAAACCTTTGGTTCAGCACAGTTCATGGTTAAGCTATCAGAAAGGAGACAATGACACACCTAACATAGTCGCTCTTGTGCTCCATGATCAATAACAACACGCCTCCTGCAGGCGGTAACAAAACGTATGCCATAACAGCCTCCCAGTCAAGTCTATTCGCCCCAAGTCAGTACTCCACCCCATCAATCAGAACGCACCCCACGAGAGCCTTTCCATACTAAGGGGTTATCTACCGTATCGGCAAGCTGGTCTCAAACTGATTAACCGTCTCCCTATCCCCGGAGCCCCATCCACTCGGTCTGTAGCCACCTCCAGGCGGTAATATCGGTGGCGGCAGCTGCGACGAAGCTGGCAGCGGTGAATACGTCGATGCTCTGACAGGTGGTGACAGCGGACGATTGTAGGAGCGGGAAGCTTCGGGGGACTCGGATTGGTAGGGCGCGAAATCCATTTTGAAGTTGGCTAGCTAGCTAGCTGAGGGGGAGGGAGAAATGGCGGTTTTTTTACTTTTCTGGCTGGAGGAGGTGGAGGTGAGTTGGTGACGACTACTAGTCTGGTGGGGAGGTGCTGCGCGGTTGGCTTGGATTCCTGGTAGGTATGGTTGGTTGCACTTGTCAGGTAACGGTGGAACGGGTAAAGTTATTGGTGAGCTTGCCGAGGCAGGGTCTTTTGTGGCGCATACTATTGTGTGGCGGTGCGCGAGCTCTACCGAGTGATCTACTATGATTGATATCAAGTTGTAGGGATTTTTTTTTGTTTAATCGAGTTATAGGGACGAATCTAAGCCTTTTAAGCACTTCGGGAAAAGGATACACTACACACATAAGTTGAAGTAGATCACTGACGTTTTTGTGTTCTAATTAAAGACAGCTTTCACCAAAGTGGCCTCGGAAATCTCAGCCCACCCACCGAACCTCAACCCCTCACATATTCCCGATCATAGGAGATTCTCTAAGGGTTCTCAAGGGAAAGTATAGAGACTAATACCGGTAGTATTGTTCTGTCCTTAGAGTCTTCTAAAATGTACACATCATGACCTTGCGGCCTCCTCCGCACTTCCTTTCCTCATGTTATTTGATAGGGCTCGATAAAACATACACCCAAGCTCTCGTCATGGTTACTTGTACATCAAATCGACTAAACACCCAAAATGGCCCCGGTTTTCCCCATGCGCATTAAAGGCCCTTGTATAGAACATCTCTGGTCCTACCAGGGGGAAAAAGAAGATGAGTTTTTACTGCATAGTCATGACTGCTAATTTTTACTAAATGAAGAATAATTTTAAAATAGGATGATGCAATTACTACATTAATATAGTATGGGACCTAGTAGCTAGAGTATACTAAATCAACCGGTATCTCCATATCATTGTCGTTCTACTGTGTCTGTACACATGTACCCAGGGTGTCGGAAAATGATGCACATTTGGTGATATCTCAACCATGAGAGAATTAACCTTCACAAAAGTCTATCTTGAGGTCAATTTAAGTGTGCGGATTTCTTTCATAATGAAAAATGGGTGGGAGGGTCTGTCATTGATACATTTTGGGGTTTTACTGGTTTTGGCTATCTAGTAGTGACTTCTTGCCTGAAGAATGGTTATTTCACATCTAAATAAGACTAAATATATTCTTAGGCATTACCGAGATGTCCTACACTCGAAGCTTGAATTTAGGAAGCGTGTTGCGTTGTGCCAAAATATAGGTATTTGGGGTAATTGGGCGTTGCTAGGCTAAAATGTGCATCACTTTCCAACACGCTGGGTACATGTATACCCGGCCCCAAAGAGGATAATCCCCTTTTTGTACAGTGGACATTTCGAACTTTGGGTGATATCCACACTAGTAATTTTCTAAGTACTACTTGTCGGTATAATTCTAGACAACATACAGCTGAGAAGTGAACCATAGGTAAGGAGTTGAGACAAGAGTATCCAATTGGATGCTCTAATACAAGACAGGGATATGTTTATGCGCCGTGAGTATCCGATGGGGAAATGATTGGCAGCTTTAACACTTCTCACTTTACCTCTCAGTATTTATCAATACCACTCTTCTTTGCTTTTTCTTTCCCTTAAATCCACAGCCTTCCCTCGTAGACGCGGAACTTTACCCCTTCTCAATCAAGACGTCGCATTCCGGTCCTCCCAAACGCAGCTCCTAGTGCATGCGTCCATGGATGAACAAAAACCGCGACGACAGGGAAGACTCTCAAATGAAGCGCCGAAGCCGAAACAAAAGCGAAAGCTCCCAGGCGAAGAAATAGGAGGAGTCCTTGGGAGAACGCGCAAAGCGTGGATGCGAAAGCTCGGTCCCAAATCTCCCACCAAGCTGAACGATACGCGTTTGAAACGAAGAAGCGCAAAGAAGCAGAAGAGCTCGGAGGAGGCCGAGGCCCCATTAGAGTCTACCGGCGTGGAGCCAGGACTCCCAGAAAACGTATCAGAGCACCCGGAAGATGTACCGGAACCGCAGCCAGTAAACAGCGATGTGAGTATCGTTAGAGCCACCAAGACAACCGGGCAGTGCTTCAGAATCCAAAACGTGCCACCAGCATGGAGCAAATACATTTTACTCGACTTCCTTCGGAGAGCTGATGAGTCGCTCCAAAGCTTAGATGAGAGTGATATCTCGCTCTGCCCTGCATTTTCTGGCCCGACACAGACGGCATTACTCTATCCGGAGGAGACACCTGCATGCCTTCGATGACCTGAAGGCCAAGACTCGATGAGACTGCGAGTATCCAATGATTCAGAAAGGAAAAAAGTTGATCTTGAAATCGACTCGAATTTCTATGATCTGACGCCACTATACACACCAACTGGAGGAGAAGAAATTGTGGCCGAGTTAGTTCCATATCTTTGCTCTAGTTATAAACTTGAAGTAATGTGGTTAGTAAAGAAGTTAACGTCGTTGTGTATGAACAAGTGTTGTCGCAGTGACCGGCCTTGCCGGCCATGCATTCGGGTCCTGGAGGCATAGAGAAACTCACGCAATGTGGCTCAAAGATTTTCTCCCCAGAGAGGCCTCCTGCGAAAATGTCAGGATTCTTTCGTACGGGTATAATACCAAACTCGTTGGGAAAGGCACGGTGGACGACACGTTCTTGGATTACAGGAGAAATTTTATCCAGCAACTTGAGAATGCTAGAAACTCGGAAGAGGTTATTATATTAGCAAACGAATATTGGCAACAGTTGACTGATGCTAACGGTCCCATACGAAATTCAGGAGAGTGAAAGGCCTATCATATTCATAGGGCATAGTCTTGGTGGTATTGTGATATTGCAGGTGAGTCCAATTGCCAAGGATTATGAATTGGATCCCGCCTGGGGCTAATAAAGAGTATTATCAGGCATTAAGTCAAGCCAAGAATAGGCCGAGATTCCACGGGCACATCCTAGACTCTACCGAAGCCATACTATTCTTTGGGACCCCGCACGCGGGCCTCAATGGAGTCAGCGAACTGATGGACATGGTTCGAGACATGTCAGGGCATGGAACTCCTTCGAGCAGAATAAAGCTTCTCAGTCTCCTCACCGAGGATTCTGAGTTTTTGGCAACTCTGCGAGATGGTCTGACTGATATCTGGGATCCGGACACTTTGAAAGTTTTCAGCTTCTATGAACTTGGGAAGACGCCAACCGTCCAAAAAGAGGTAAACATACTGGAAATCTTCCCTTGTACACTGAGAGCTGACTTTTTTTCTCTCTAGCTTACCGCGGGCGAGTGGAAAAGGTTTGGAAAGGCAGTGGGGATGGTAAAGAAGATGTCGGCTCTGTTGCATTTGAGGAATGAGATTCCGATTCCTATTTCACGGAACCATACGGAAATGGTCAAATTCAGCTCTGCGGCAGATAAAGATTATCGCACGGTAGCAACCCATATAGGGAATTGCGTAAAAGACATTATTTCTCGAGAGGATAGCGACGAGGATGATAGTGAGGAGTGTGGAAGTGACACTACCGACCCGGACGAACGAAGGAGAAAGAGAAAGAGAAAGAGGAGAAGGGTGATAAGCAGTAGAAACAATAGTGAAAGCGAAAGTGATGACGAGGACGAGAGTGGAAGCGGGACTGAGGGGGAAAGTAGTACTCCTAGCAGTGATAGTTCTGACAGCTCAAGCGAGAGCGGAGAGAACAGTGGTAATATATATTCACAACGATGATGGCAAGGAACCCTGGGAGACAACTCGGGGGAAGAATAAAAAAAAGAAAGACAAGCTGGACCCGAACGCTTGGGAGTGGGATTCAGATGGCCCCGTCGTCAATAAAAGTTCAAGCGACGAAACTGACGATGAAGAGATGTAGGACGCTTTAAACAAGCTTTTTGGTGCACGTGGCAATAGGCTCGATCGCAGGGGGAAAAGAAAACTTAAAAAGTTCGTTGCGAGGAGAGTTAAGGAACAGTTAGGAGACCATTACGGTGGAGAAATAAGCTAGAGAGCTATAAGTATTATGAAACCATGAGGATTGTATTTACATGTCCAAAGCTAAGTAGTCAGTAGTTTGTACTTTGATTGAAGAATCCAAAAGATTTAGTTCAACAGTGGCATAGAGCATGTATGTACTACATGCATATAATGTCAGATGAAAGTGCAAATTGCAAAAGTCAATCTAGCCTCAAATACGTAGTGCTACAGGAATACCGTGGGATTGTCCAAATTGGTCGAGTCTACTCAAAAAGTGATTTCCGGATCACTGACCCTACACGACTTCCGGGATAGTCTCTATTGTGGTACTTTTCATTGACTGCGTAGCCGCTAAGCATTCGACAACTGTCAATGATCAAACATCACATTTCCCTCCTCGTCATATGGTTTCTGAAAGACGCATGTTATTTAGGCACTCATTAAGGCCTCGTGAAATCGTTACAACCGGATGTTTATCAAACTCGGCCCTCACACACAATTCGAAACCCAAAGGATGACTAAAGAATCCGACAAGGTCTGTTATACTTTCAATCATCCTGGTTTGTGGTTCAAGTCTTGATGTGTTTGGATTGGGCCCAGTTGTTGTGTTGCGTTGATATCAGGAAGTCTTTAACACTAACTTCAAAATTCCAACTATTTATATCATCTCGTCAACCGCAAGAAGTTAGTATAAACACAAGTAACAAATTCAAACTTGAGATAAACTTAAGACTGACCTTATAAAAGTTAGCACAACTCTAAAAACAAAATACCATTAATTCGAAAACCCATGTTCAATGCCCAGCCATGTCATGATTGGTTATTCCAAATCATTGGCTACCATGATTCCCCAACCGATCCCCACAACACATCCCGCCTACCCATCCCCAAAACAACGCACTCTCGGGCCTTTCCTTCAGCTGTGAAGTACCTACATAGTGAGACCGGCAGAAAAGCAAAGAAACGCAACCCCCACGAACCTTGCAGAAAGGTCCATGTCCCTCCTCGCCCTGCCCATCGAACTCCTACTCCAAATCCCCACTTACCTCCCCGGCGCCTCCGTCTGCGCCCTAGCCCGCACCTCTCGCCGCTTCTGCGCCCTCTTCACCCCATCTCTCAAAAGGTTCATCCCCCCAGACCGCACCTTCACCCACGCTGGAGCAACAATCTCCTGCACCCTCCACTGGTCTGTCCTCCGTGGCCACCTCGGCCTCTTCAGGCTCCTCATCGCAGACTATCGCCCACCTTGCCGCCGTCATGAAGCTACAACCCCGCTCCTACATCTTGCCGCCTTCGGCGGAAACGTCGGCATCATCACGTACCTCCTCAACCACGCTAGCTTCGCCGACGAGCTCAACAAGCGCGAGGATAGCGCAGATGGGTGTACGCCATTGCACTTTGCCGTTCTCGGTGGCCATGAGGACGCTGCGCGTTTCTTGATTGAGAGGGGCGCAGACGTAAACGGACTTGACGGGCGGTCATTCCCTGCACTACTAGCATCGAGCTCACGGCTAGCAAACACGCACTGGAGCCCGCGAGTATTTGAGCTACTTATTGAATCTGGCGCCAATATCAATAGCCGCTACGGCGAGTTAGGGACCACAGCACTCCACGACGCTGTGATGCGGCGAAATCTCGACATGCTGGCTATACTGCTGGATCATGGGGCGTCGGCGACAATAAGGAGATATAGTGGGGATACTGCGTTGGAGCTGGCTCTGTATAGGGAGGATGCAGAGGTTGTTAAGTTTCTGCAGAAGCGCAGGCTGGTGGGGAAGTTGGAGGGCAAGTTTTACGATGAGAGGCCACCGGTACAAGTAGGTTTTAGGGGCGGGGTGGAGTATTGGCGGTTGGCGTGCGGGAAAGGGTGGAGAAATAAAGTGAGGGCTGTGGCGAAGGCTTTGGTGGAGAGTAATCCACATGCGGGCCAGTGGGAGCTAAGGGAGCATAACGCGAAGGCGAAGGCAAGAATCGCGAGAAAGTCGAAGGCTATCAAGGCTTAAAGTATACTGCAATAAGGACGACACTTGAAGGGATTTTATTTTGCTCATTTCAATTGTTTCGTTCGTTTTATTTTATTTTATTAATATTTTTCTATTAATTGGGCTGGTACCCAGCAGTTAGTTGATTACATGTAGTTAGTGCCGATTTCAGTAAGGTTGACTTAGTAGTAAAGTAGTAGTAATAATGGAAGGTCCCTGTTATGGGTCAATGATCCGTTCTTCTGTTTTCAGGGTTTGTGGCTATCAGTGGCTCACCACACCAAACCAATCGCCCAAAGTAGTTTACCTACTTGATTATGCGCCATTAAACTGTGTCTACCACCAAGCCCTCTAAAGTCCGGCAAGTTGGGAAGTTCGTGCCCGATTCTTGGCAACGCTTGACAGGCTGATTTCCAAACACCATGGATCAAAGAGTAAGGTTAAAAGTCTACTACACAACTCAAAAATTCACAGGATATAATCTGATTCAGCTGTAGTTGGAAATGTATATCCTATATCCGCACCCGCCCCCTCCCCCAATAATTTCTAACCAGTGATATCTTGTGGAAGCTTAAGCTTGAGATATTATGAATTTAATCGTCCTCAGTAGCTTAGCCTCATGGCCCGCAGCTCTCGACACCTATGTTCTCGCAAACCACGCACAATAAAAGAAAACCAACAAAAGAAACAGAAAGGAAATAAAAAAATCTACACCAAGCGCCCATACAACATGCATGCTTATACAACCTCGAGAAGACAGCTAAACCCAAGTCTCAATGAGTAGTCTATCTAAAAACACCCATAAGGCCAAACCCAGCGCGCTTCGTGTCCTACATTCCACTCCTCTTCTCATCTAAGAATTTACTCTCGATCTCTGAGCTCAAGTCATATAATACTTCGGTCCTTCTCCTCCCTGGGGCGTCGTCCAGTTGATATCCTGACTTGGTGCCTTGATATCACACGTCTTGCAGTGGATACAGTTCTGCGCGTTGATCTGGAATCTCACGCCATCCTTCTTTGTCGCATCTTCTACATATTCATACACCCCGGCCGGGCAAAACCTGTTCTCTACACCCTTGAATCGTGGCCATTCCTTTTCCGCATGCTTGTCCCAGTCCGCAACCTGCAGATGCACTGGCTGATCCTCTTCATGGTTCGTGCCAGTCCGCGAGACAGAAGTGAGGATATCAAACGATAACACTCCATCAGGCTTGGGGTATGTGATGGGAGTTGACTTGTCTGCGGTCTTGGTGGCGGCGTAGTCGGGGCCCGGGTGCTTGAGAGTCCATGGAACGCGACCCTTCAGGACATAGGCTTCAAGCCCGGAGTACAAAATCCCGCCGAAGAGCTTTAGAGGGGAGTGAAAACTGGGTCGCATATTGCGAACCTCCTTGAGCTCCTTCCAGATACTGCTCTTGCGCAATGCGTCTTCGTAGTTGTATAGCATGACTGTTCCGCCAGTCTTGTTGGTTTCCAATGCATCGAAGCAGGCCTCTGCAGCCAACATTCCGGACTTCATGGCAGTGTGGGTTCCCTTGATCTTAGGGACGTTAAGGAACCCGGCGGTGTCACCGATGAGAGCTCCACCGGGGAAGGTAACCTGGGGAATGGACTGAAATCCACCCTCGTTGAGAGCGCGGGCACCATATGAGATACAGCGACCACCTTCAAGGACAGAGGCGAAGAATGGGTGGTGCTTCATACGTTGGAATTCGCCATAGGGCGATAGGTATGGGTTAGGGTAATCCTGCGTCACATTAGCATATTGCTGGGTTTGTCGTCAGTTTCAAGGAAACATACAAGACCGACGACGAGCCCAAGCGACACCTTGTTCTCCCCAAAATGGTACATCCAGCTGCCACCATATGTGTTTGTCGGAAGTGGCCACCCCAAGGTATGGCTGACTTGACCCTTAACAAAGTTCTCGGGCTTGATCTCCCACACCTCCTTCAGTCCAATACCGTATGTCTGCGGTTGAGAGTTCTTCCTCAGGTCGAACTTCTTAATGACCTTCTTTGTTAAGCTCCCGTGGCACCCCTCTGCAAACAATGTACACCTTGCATGGAACTCCATACCCCGCTCAAAGCTCGGCTTCGGCTTCCCATCACGCCCGATACCGAGATCGTTGGTCGCCACACCCTTCACACTCCCATCGGGGGCGTACAGGACCTCACTCGCCGCAAACCCAGGGTACACTTCCACACCAATTTCCTCAGCACGTTCAGCCAGCCACTTTGTCAATTCATTGAGAGAAACGATGTAGTTGCCGTGGTTGTTCATCTGCGGAGGCCCAGGCATGGGTATAGCCTTGTTCTTTGTAAGAAAGCGCATGCGATCCGACGTAACCGCCGTGACGTTCTTGAATCCGTTCTCGTTGTCCGGGCTATTCCAGTCCGGGAGGAGCTCATTGAGGGCGCTGGGTTCAATCACGGCGCCAGAGAGAATGTGCGCTCCCATGTCACCCGCTTTTTCAAGCAGGAGAACACGGAAGTCTTCGTTGCCAGCGGCATTGGCTTGTTGTTTCAAACGAATTGCAGCTGAGAGACCGGCAGGGCCACCACCGACAATGCAGACATCAACTTCGTCAGACTCACGCTCGAAGTGGAGGGCATCGTTAAAGCGTAATGAGGAAACGTGGAATGAGCGTAGCGCTGGAAGTCGTGAAGCGGCAGCAGTAGGGAGCGAAGAGCGTAGTCGGGGGATTTGGCGGGGTATCGACAGTAATGAGTGTGCTGGTGAATTCGCGACTCGTCGAATGAGTAGAGAAGAAACTCTTCGTGATGCAGCCATTTTGTGGAATAGTGTGAATTGAACGAAACAACACTAGAATACACAATTCACAGGGGGAGCGGGTATCAATTGGTTTTGTATGTCGTGTCCCTCGGTAAAGACTGAGTCACAATCTCTCGCTCGGTGTTTGGGTTCGCGGATTTTTGTTGGGTTGGAGTGTTTTTTTTTTCTCTTTTCCTCATCGCGCACGTCAGGGCACATGTGAGCCGGGTATAGCCACACTTAACCTTGAATCATCCCCACTCCCTTCTCCGAGATCCCCCACATCTGGCACCATTACCATTCAAGATTAGCCAATGAGGATAGAGATATTGTAACACAGCGTGTGAGAGTACTTGAAGAAAAGAGATCTGTGTACCTAGTCCACGTACCTAGGTAGAGACGGATATTTAAAAGACCGAGAAGAAGCAGCAAAATAGGTAACAAGTGCTCGAAACTCTTTCTCCAAGGATCTCCTTGTCGCACTCGAATACGTCAGGGGCTCCTACAAAACCTAACCCTGGTCTTTGTAAACAACCTTCAAGTCATTCAGGCCAAATTCTCCTCTCAAATTCATCCTCTCAAACGAAGATAGACTACCATTCCCAACGATTACGGTAAGCTGGTATATTGCTATCTCTACCTCGTATCATATCATACCATCTCGGGATAAAGTCGTTCCCGAACAACTACTATATTCATCATCTGTCACTCGGTACTATATCCTCGGTCATGAATACACCGAACTGCTGGCTGGCTTCAGTTGCATGACTGAAATAAGACCAATTAATTGTGCAGGGTCGGAAGAAACAGCTATATAGTGAAAGAAGCGAGCCAAAACCAAACATATATATAGCTGTTTGTACATACAGGACTCCTTTATTTCATCAATAAATATCTTTTCTCCAGTGAGACTCCAGCTAACGGTATCATGCTATATAAAAATCATATTAAGCTATTTCGTGTTGTGTGGCCCGTGGTGAGTGACAGTCTATGATTCAATCAAGGGCTCTTGACTTTCACCTTCACTATTAGCATTTCACGCAAGGTATCAGCCGCATCGCTATTGCAATGGTATGTAGTAAATCGAAAGGAGAGGCCTAGGTGGTAATGCCTCTGGTTGCGCCATTTTTTATGCCTTATGTGACCCCCACGTGACCAATATCTCAGACGAAATTACTACTGTTACATAGTGTCTATTTGTGGTTTGTCGATCTTTATCTTTCTAAATATTTGAAGAGGGATTACTTATTCACTTGAGCGTCCCCAAGGGATATCGAATGCAAAGGAAGATATAAGGTCAGTGATGAGCAAACATTGCACGAGTGATAATACATGGTTTTGTTCTACCAGAGAAACGATGACATAACAGTCACAGCGGGTGGTTGCGTCTACCACAACTTCTACATGCTCCCTCTAGCTTCACCGCTTCATCTTCCAACACCACTACCATCATCACTAACAAACCATCCTATTTCTTTCTCAAAAATCAGTCGCGAGGTCTTTCAGTATTATTCCATCGATCTAATAAAGCCTTTCATAGTATTCTCCCGGTTACGGGCATGTTGTTATCACCCATTACCCTTTCAATATGGCCGTCACCGTTTGTAATATAACTGACACGATTATCTGATCGCTCATACAGTCATATCGATGACTGCCCCCTCTCTTTGTCCTATATGTTTCAAAACAAGACGCACACAACCGGGTACGAGATCCATCCGAAGACTACATCACACTCTTCCATTAAGTCACCTAAGATGTGTCCGTGCTTCCCGCAAAATACAGTGCCCGAAACATCTGTTATCGCCGTCGGTCAACACAGGGTCGATCCTCAAAGACAACAACAACAGTTCTTGGTGCATACTCGTGAGTGGTACAAACAGCACTCTGTAACGTAGCCCAGGTAAGTAATGGGCTGGGCCATTCGACTGCAGGGACACAGCAACGGGACGGCACATCGCTTCAACTGGTGTCAAGGGTTGCTTACCCGAGGACCTTTTAAAAGGACCTCGTCGTTGTTGCTTCGATCCGCGATGTGGCGGAATTTAACACGGTGTACAACAACATGCAGCGTACATCATATCGAGTGATATATTATGAAGGTTCCTCCTCGGCTGCATATAATAGATGGGATCTGATAAGAGATGTTTTAATTAGGACTGACGGAGTATCTGGACCACTCCGAGGGGCGCTTTATTTAATTAGCGATGGTTGATGGGGTCCTCCCCTGGAACATCTAGAAGCCCGATGGACGAGCAGGCATCTATCGGGCGGCGTGTGCTGTACGCATATAAAAAATGCAAACTAAAGTTACTCCACACACATGCTAACCTGCAAACAACAGAGCACGCTGAAGGAAGTTTTTTCGCGTTGTCGAGCAAATTATTTTCCTAAACTACCGCTACTACTACGGGGGAACGCGCACCCTTCCGACCAAGCAGACAAGCACTAGAAAATAAATAGGAGGTGATGTGCTTAACACCGTTGAGGAGGTGATTAACCTAACCTCTTCGAATTGAACAGGTTCATGACGCCTGTTGGCCAATTACAGAGGGGTCGGTTGACTACCGGTTAAGAAAACCAGGGTCCAAATTCAAGGGCTCAACCAGTGAAATGCCGTTTGCGGGAGCGCTGTTGTTGCCGTTTCTGTGAAACAGTTCCCCTCGGCCCAGATCCGAGACATGTCACTCCCATACGAATTCCCCCAAAATGATATCACCGAGTAAAGCAAACATGGAAATGATTACGGCGCCCCTTATTTTAATTCCAAGGACGGAAAAGCAAAGAAAGAAAACCCACCCGTGCTGTGCGGAGAAAAATGCCCCGGGATCATGGAGTTTTCAGTTTAGTCCCCAAATATCAAAACAAGAAGTGGGAGGTTGTGACGCTTGACGAAAAAAAAAAAAAAAAAAAAAAAAAAACGGAGAAAATCCAAAAAAATAATAATAATGCCAGCGAAGTTGATCGTGAGGGGTGATTTCTGGTGATGCACCCCATCATCTACTTATCTATCTGCCCCTCACATGTTTACTTTGCGTTCGCGTGTACATGTCAATGAAGTCTGTGCATGCAGTTCTACCCTGCCTACCTAGTACAGATCTGAGACGCCGTACATAACATGCCGACCCCATCAAATTGGGTTCCCCTCCTTCCACCAAAAAAAAAAAAAAAAAAAAAAAAGCGCGTCCCCATACAGACAAAAGAAAAACCACCCCACCTGCAAAGAATACTAAAATTGAGTACAGCAGAGTTATCCTATAAAAAAAGGAAATAAAGAGTTCGTTAAGTGCAACAGTGCAAGACATAAGTAACAACGTAGCAGCATCAGAGCGATCTGACAAATTCTTCGTAATTTTTTATCCTCTTCATTCCTAGCTCCATAAACTAAAGTAATGATAATAATAAAAAGCATTCTTGAACACCACGATACGGGGCTCTGCCCGTGCCGGTTTTCTTTTTCTCCTCCTTCTGGTAGTACAATCGCGATCCCAATCTAGAAAAAAATGAAAACAGAACAGTAAGGGGCACCAGCAATCATTCCCAACTACTCAATTAAAAGTAGGGCAAAGGGGGACAAAAAGAAGTAGATGTAAATAATACACTGCGCGAGACCCTAGCTAGGCTATGTCGTTCGCTCGAAGAATCATTACCCGCCAATCATAACTGGCCTGATCCAAACTCGTACATGTGGAACAAATGGAGTGAGAGAAGAGCATGATCTATGCATGATCAAGGGGAAAAAGACAAGACAGACATCAAAATATACAAAATTCAAGTCGCAACGCATAATAGCATGATAGAACCACCCAAAGATTTAAAATAGGAAAAATAGATTGAATTTGGATAAGAGATTGATTTCAAAAGTCTAGGAGATCATCCAATTCGTCAAGTTCGACGCTTTCTGGGCTACCGAGATGTCTCTCGAGCTCGCCGCCCCAGTTGCCTAACCCGAGACCGAGGACGGAATCGGTGGCGTTATTAGGTTTCTCTTGATCCCGGTTGTGGTTTTGGGCAGCATCTACTCCAGTGGCACCCTCCACCTTTATATTAGGAGTTATTGTTGTAATTTGTGTAGGCACCACCATAGGGCTAGTGGGAACAGGAACAGCCGGTGCAGAAGTTCCATAGCCCAAAAGCATCGCTGCTGCATCGTTGGTAGAAGATTCAATGTGGCGGTCTTCGCTCACGTCTGCTTCATATTCTCCCCGTGATCTCTTTTTGTCAGACTCCTTGTTCTGGTCAATTTCCCTAGAGGCGGAGCGGCGCACAATGAATATGGCTGACTGGCTGAACTCCCGTTCATCGCCTTCGAGCACTGGTGTAGAAAGAGCACTTTTGTTATCTAATGAAGCGGGAGAGGTGGTCCTCTCGCGCTCAATGATACTAGCCCTAGAAGTGCTCAGAGTGCCGCTGTTTTCCTCAGAAGACTCGTTATCGGATTCATCATGTAGACCCAAATCAATTTCCGGACTAGGCGACATCTCAGTTCTTCTCCTGTTGTCTTCATCGTCGGATAGTGCGGGCGAGACAACACTGCGTCTTGCGGGAATATTGTCGTTTTCATGTTTTGGGATTGGTTGATGTGGGCAGGTAGTAAGGTAGAAGTAGATGCGCCTCGGGTGAGTAGTGATTAGCTGTTTAGCGATGATACAAGGCGTCGAGGGTGTTTTGTCGCGTTTGAGAAACGAATTTAATCGCGAGGAAATGATCGCGTGGGGATTAGCCGAACTGTGGGGAACGTCAGCATTGCATGAACACCAAAACTCAGAACACACTCAGCAGAACTTACTTCTCAACAATATTAACAACACCCGCAAGTTCGGCAGCCAATTCTTTAACTGTATGAGGCCGATTTCCTGTCCGCTCAAGGACATCTACAACCCCAGAAACAATATCATCATTGATACCCTCACGACTGATTCTATTTTCTGGTGGCGGTGAAGGGGGAAGGTTACTGCCATAGCGGTCTTGACGAGATAGAGCGGCTGGAGGGGAATATTCTCTTTTGACTTTTTTCTGGAGGGGTAAATCGCCTTTCGCTGGAGAGGCAGAGAGTCTTCTGGATGCTGTAGTTTGGGGGAGTTGTATTCCAAGAGAGGGTAGAGATAACGACTTTCTGCGAGTATTGTAACCCATTGTATTTTTTGGTAGGAGAGGGATGAAATTAATGTGGTGGAGTCCGAGTGTCGAATGTAGCCTTTTACAATCGAAGAATCACCGGTCACTTGGAAGAAATATGAGTGTAAAGAAATCAATCGAAAAGATGGCGGTTTGCTATTTTTTTTTTTTTTTTTTGACGAAGACAATCTATCGGGGAAAGCAGCCAATTACGCCTGTCGACACCGACTAGGTAAGTCGGATAAAAATGCGGTGTGGTGGTGGTACAAAGAATAATAATATGTTGTAGGTAAACAGCAACACCTGTTAGGCGCGGGAAAGGGAAAAGAGACCCAAAGAGAAAAAAATGGCGTCGCTAGGAAATACTGGCGACAACAGCGGCGAGAAACCGGCAGTTGACAAATAGGTGCGATATGAAAATACTAGTATCGTTGAAAGAAGATGTTGTGCAGATGCTTGTTGAATTTTTAATCCGCCTGACAATACGGGCAATAATCTGAGTATTTGCAGAGATAACCAACCGACAGTAGAGGGTTTGATTGTGTGTATCGTAGAAGTGGAGAAGTGTAGGAAAGAACGGAGGGGGAGAGAAATGAACGAGCTGCTGTAAATTCCTTGATCAGGAGGATTTGAGGATGACGGATGGTGGAGTACATCATCTTGGATTTTTTTGGAGCCGTTACTAAGGTTGGAGATTTGAGGCGCAGAGGAAAACAGGGTGCGTGCAGCAAATGATATCGCCAGGATTATCGATTTGGTTACTGAGGGGTGGTGTCTGAGGTTTTTTTCCTTCCTTTTTTCCTTCCCACTTTCTTTTTCCCGTCGTTCTGTTTCGTGGTGTCACGCCGCTTGGCCCTTTTCCCCCTCTGACCGTGTTTTTTTCCTTGGACCAACGGTAAACCGAATTTTCCATCCCAGCAACCACCCCCAGTCGTAGAACCCACGCCAGAACCCACCACACCCAAAGCCTCAAAGTTCTGGAGAAACTCCCGCCAGACGACCGCCGCCCCGGCAACCTTGAGACCGACCGCCGTTTGCCTTTTCCGGCCGCCAGTTGCGAGAAGGCAACCGCGAAACAAGTAGCCAATCAGAGGTGACGTGGCCCCTGTCGGTGAGGAGTCATGCATGGTTCAAAGAACTTACACCCTCCTAAATGCGGAAAGGCCGAAAATATGCTTCTCCGCTCATATCGGAAAATAAGTTACCCTCTTGCCTAGCTTGTCACCCCCACAACCTTACCTCGATATGGGATGGCCCGATATCGCGCATTCCAGGCGGTTGTTGTTGTTGTGTCGTTAAAGTGCTGCATGCGTCGCAAACTGCCCCGTGCCGAAGGTTCAAAACCCTAGAACAAACCTGCCGTTGGGTCAGATTTATTCGTTTGTTGATTCCTCCATGCTGTGGTGCCCCTTGTTTTGGTATGCGATAAGCCTGCCCCATCGGTTATGTTTATCAAACACACCTTGGGGGGGGGAGCATGGAGTAGAAGGTCCAAAAAGTTATTTTCGTATCTCCAAATAAATCGGCGCGTGTATTTGTGCGGTGACCCATGAAGTACGAAAGCGCCCCTAAATTCGCGGGGGGAGAGGATAGCCACGACTATCACTTCCCTACCGAGGCAAAGTATAGATCGCCACCACAGATCCTCTGGGGGCTTGTTCCAGGTAAAGTCCGACGTCAGAACAACCAAGAGGACACACCGTCATGCTGGTGCTTTTGCCTGATAGGCAGAAATATATCATAATGACCCATTGTCAGCTTCCCTGTAAAGAAAGAAAGTCTATTTTCTGCCTTCTTCACGTGCCAATGATTTTGAGAATGTGTTTTATTTCTAAACATGTTAGCGAATCCCGTTAACGTCCGTCAACCGATCACCTGACCAAACAGTCATTTTCACCTGGTGTAAAACTTACCTTAAGTTATTATACATATTCGGGAGACGTTACCAAAAACCTATGAGTCAACGATTGCTGCCTTCATTTATAAGCTTACGGGGGCGACGATTTAGCTGGCCTTGCCTCAACCCAGTACGTTGTCCCAAAGTGATACCTTGAAACCTTATCAATCACTAGGCCACTTTCCTTCAATATACCTTCGACGTCTCTATTCCACCAGCACCCCCATGTTTCGGCATGTTTGGGGGCCAAAGAGTCAAGGACATTGTTGAGCAAGTCGTAGTGTGATCTTCCATGCTCCAACAATATAATTTTACCGTCGTCTTTGCATATCTTTCCAAGATTTCTTAATAGGTCCACCGGGGAATGATGGGAACACAAGCCCATTGATTGAATGACTGTGTCATAGCCCTTTCCTGTCGGGGGCGGAGCGATGGGTTCAGCAGCATCCTGGACCACAAATGAAGCGTTCTTATACTTGGGATACTTCTCTATACGGTATATGCATCAGTGATATGTTACCGGAAAATTTTATAATATTCGAAGGAAAATGTGGTTAGCTGTTATAGATAGAAAGTGGACTTACTTTGAAATTTCTTCCTTGCCTCCTTAAGCATACTCGCACTGGTATCCACCATAGTGATCGAACTGCATTTTTTCACTGGATAATAATCAACATTCCTTCCAGTCCCCGCCGAGACCTCCAGAACATCGCCCTTGAAATCCCAATCGTGGAGTGAGATCATGTTAGCAAGATCTTAAGAGCCCCAATATATATCCCTCATAATCAATAAGGAAATGACAACGCTTAGGCATATCATGAAGGAAAGCAAAGGATACTCACCTGAGCCCTCTTGCCCAAAGCCCTCCTCAACAATGGCATGCCCATGAAAAACTCGCTCGCCCATATTTCGCGATCATAATCCTTAGCAATGCCCTCAAAGACGTGTGACTTATCAGTTTGATCTTGCTCCTGTGGAACGTACTCAGGAACGTTCTTGAGCGAAAAATAAACGTAGGTTCCGTAGGCTGTCAGTGTGTATGCTGCTATCCCTGCCAGTATAAACGGTGCTTTGTTTCTTGGCTTTGGAGGGGTAGGAAGCTTTGGTGGGGTATTTTGGCCGGCTCTATCAACAATGCGGTTAGTAATATGTCTTAATGAGGATTATTGCATAGAAGACAAATTCAAATGTGAGAGGTACATTGCCAGAGTCAATGAAAACTGTGACTGCCATTATGGAAGCACCGTGCGGACCTCTCCAGGTGTAGAAACTCGAAGAATCAAAGGGAATGTGGATTTTTCAAAGAAGGAAGAAATTTCAAAAAGTAAGAAATTTACCTTGACATCGGCAGCCCTACAGCTGGCAAAGAACCCCCTGGCACAGTTTTTTGAGCTGCAAGATGTGATCGAAGGGGAGCAGGTACGGGAGGGGTTATAGTTGCCCGCACTCCAGCTTTAGAAGCTTTCTTTTTAGAGCGAGTAGTGGTGCTCATGGTCCTTTGAAAAAATTCCTTCAATTGGTCTCGAGGTAGATGTTAGGTCGTGGTGTCGTTGAAGTAGCAGGTCTTACATGTAGGTACCCCAAGCAGAAATTTCCGGGTGAAAGAAACAGAACTCAGCCTTTTATGTAAAAATGTTATAACCTCGTATAACGTGAGCGTACTGAGAATGGAAAAAGGATTTAGTGAAGTTATTGGCCCGGAGCCTTGAGCTTACAGAGGATCAATCAGAGGATACTGCTAGGAAGATCTACGGGTGCGCCAAGACGTGAGGCTCGGATCTGAGGGTTAGGGGAGTGCTTCCTTTCAACGTCGTCAACCTCACCCGCAAGTTAAACTCAATGGTCATCCATGGATATCCTTCCCCTGGGTCCTTAGACATTATGACATCGATGAAATGGACATATCATATTCGACCTATCGTTACCTCCGCCAGAGGCTATGAATCCCTACTATCCGCAGGACAAGCGCTGCATCTTCATTCCAGCGTCTATTGCAGCTACGCGCGGGTTTTGGAGATTGAAATTCTCACTACATATCTAAGATTTCGTTTTTCAAGACTTGATATCAGTCGATCACCGCACAAGCGAGTGGTAAGTGGATTTACGGGCCATCCCAATGAAATCATATGCTATCACTCGACGATTTTAGGGCGGCAAAAGCCATAATCAACGATGCCACCATATTGGCCCTTAATTCAAGGTGGTTTAATAAGGCCCGATATTAAAAAACGGTGTACTAGCCAGTCCCTCGCTGGTTGTCTTCACAGCCGCTCAGAAGAGCAATAGTGACTCTAGCAGGATGGCGAATAAGCCCTTTTACGAGTTCGTTGTCTAACGTCTCTACCCTAGAATAATGGATGCTAGACTCTAGAAGTTTTTCGGAGGCCATTTTAATGATACAGCTCAGAGAGTATTTGCAGAAACGAGTTTTTTTTTTATTGTTATTAACGGCCCTGCGATAATATTATCTGGGTCTTACCGCCCTCTATCACATTACATGAAGCTTAGACAGATCTCCTATCTACTCTATACTTTCAAATTGCATCTGGGCTCTTATTTGAGATTCTAGGATTAACCAATGGCCAATCCCAAGCCAAACGGCGAAATCCATCCTCTTCTTTCTGTCATCCATCCCCTTCTCTCGAGATCTCCAACCGTTCTCATTTCTTCCATTCCTCTCATCTCCCTAAAACCTCTAATTCCAACAGGGGCAAACAATTTTCTCTCTTTGACTAAGGCCAACAAACAAAAACACCAACAAAAACACTAACTGCAAATTACTTAATACTATTCACAAAACTAAATCCCAGCACTGCAAGTTGAGTTTCCAAAGATGCCGCACCACAGCTCATTCTCGCGTTCAAAGATAACCAAGCATTTCACTAATGATGCAAGATTTTAGCTATGAGCCTGTAACACTGGACATCGACCAAGCGACATTTGCAATCTGGGTCAATTGAAGTTCTGGGTATGACTCTGGTATGGACATAACACTAGGCGCACTTGTTGGTGAGAAGGTATCATCGCTTGGCGCATAACATGTTCCAAGAGTTGCTAAGACTGTGACTGGGCAATGGCCAATGCCAAACTAGGGTCAATACCACAGTTCCCAATGCCGGGCTTTCTGGGGCACGATTACAGTGGGACCAGTGCTTGGAGATGTACATCGTGTTCATGGATCTGGATGATTCGCTTATTGCGTCTATTCGGATCTGTGGAGTTAGAACGAGAGCGCATAAAGTGGATCTCCAATACAGATATATTGTATTTCTCGCGTGTACGGCTGAGCACGTTCATGCACATCATGACCAATACCGGGTCAATTGCTCAATTGATGTTTGTCGTCAAAAATAGCTTAGATGACTGATTAAAGCTTTGACTCACCATTATCAATCTATGTTGCTCTCTAATGCAGCGTATTGAAATATTGTTTAATCCGAATCCGCCATACAATTCAAGACAAAAATTAACTTCCATAAGCTACTATTTCTTATTTCACAAATTCCCATCTGGGACCGGACAGGCCACTAGCCTACTGTTTTCGCGACTATTTCTTTATCTTATTCTATTTTATTTACTTTCCTACTGTGTGGGAGGTGGAGGAAGAGGTTGGGAAGTTCTGTGGTAGTGCGATATTATCCTAGACTACGGTCTGCATACAATTAATGAATTAAAAAAAAAAGACAAAAATTAAAAACAAACATCGGAACACAAGGGTCAGTTTGCTTCAGGCCATGAGGTGAGATTTAAGTTTTGTTGTTTAGATAGAGTATACTCCTGCACATGCACACCGTATACATCAAGAAAATGGGAAGTAATGCCATAGTTGAACTACATGTATCTTTATCCATTCTATTTACCATTGGGCCTTTAGATCTGCGTAGCTGGGTAGGATATAGCGAGTGATATGCTATGACGCTTGGGTCACCCCGCTTACCCGGCCTCTTCACCCCGCCAAATGCCCCACCAAAGGGCACACAAGCATAAAAATACAATTTTATACACAGCTAGCTCAACACCGTCCATTTCTCCCACCAACTCCACAACCTACTCCCCTCCACATACACCACCAACCCACCAATCCACCAACCCCTCAATTCCCCACCAAACACAATGGCCCACTCCACAACCCCAGACACCCTCGAGGCGCCCAAGTCCCTCCTCGACATCTTCCCCCCCGTGCGCAAATCCCACATCATGAACTGCGCCTTCGCCACCTGGCACCCCATCTACCGGCCCATCACTCCCAAAGCCCGCACAATCCCGCTGACCTCCGAATTCATGTCCTACCTGCGCGAAGACGGGATCGTGCTCCCCGACGACGAAGAGCAGATCACCACGCTCTCCGACTCCGACACCGAGTCCGACGACGAGACCGAGGACGACGAGGGGGACGGCGAGGCGCCGCCGCAGAGGGTGCTCAACCCAACGCAGCGGTTTCCAGAGCTGCACCAGAAGATCAAGACGACGATGCGCGAGCTGGGCGGCAGCGTGGCGCCGAAGCTGAACTGGAGCGCGCCCAAGGATGCGGCGTTCATGACGGCGACGAATACGCTGGAGTGTCGCACGCCTGGGGAGGTCTACCTGCTGCTCAAGAGCTCTGATTTTGTGACGCACGACCTGGAGCATGCCTTCCGCGACTGCGCCGACGACCCTTACTCCGACGACGCCGACGAGGAACCCACCACCACCACCGCCGCCGCCGCCGCCGCCGACCCAAGCACCACCACCACCGCCACCGTCACCACCACCAACGCAGACTCCCCACCACCACCAAAACTCACGCAAGAAACCATCCCCTACCACCTCGTCCTTCGCAAATGGTTCGCCATCAACCCCTCCCTCGAATTCCGCGTCTTCGTCTCCTCGCGCCGCATCCTCGCCATCACCCAGCGGGACCCCAACCACTACGACTTCCTCCCCGCGCTGCGCCCCACCTTCACCGCCGCCATTGCCGCCTTCTTCACCGAGCACCTCGCCCCCACGTTCCCCGACCCCGACTTCGTCTTCGACGTGTACCTGCCGCACGCCACGCCGCTGCGCGTATGGCTGATCGACATCAACCCGTTTGCGCCGCGCACGGACCCGATCCTGTTTTCGTGGGTTGAGCTGCTGCGGCTGCGCAACGGTGATGAATCGGGGGGCCAGGGGGAGGGGGAGGGGGCGAGGGAGGTGGAGATGCGGCTGGTGGGAAGGGATGATCCGGAGGCGTATCAGTTTGCGTCGCAGCAGTATAGCGCGAGTAAGTTGCCGAGGGATGTGGTGGAGGTGGGGCTGGAGGGCGAGGAGGCGGTGTGGGAGTTTGCGAGGAGGTGGAGGGATGTGGTGGAGAGGACCGAGAGGGAGAGGGCTGAGAGGCAGGCGGCGGCGGCGGCGGCGGCGGCGAGGTAGTGAGAGGGGGAGAAAAAGGGGGGGGGGGATATCTGGCGTTTAGTCGTTTTTTTTCTTTCGTGAATGTTGGCTTCTTTTTTTTCTTGCTTTTTGTTTTTTTTCTTGCTGTTTGGAAGGGTGTATTCCCCTCATGATGATATCGGATCGGTGTGGCTACATGTAATCATATACAGCAAGTGACGTATATTACTCATTTTCTTTCTTTCTTTTCTTCGTAGTTTCCAACAGCTGTATTTCTAGTGCTAAAAATCATAGCAATCCAAGGTCCTAACTGGACACTCCACAAACATTCGAGCGCTGTCAAGTTCACTATAGCAATTCCAACCACTCCAGATATAAATTGCAATCACTAGTATACATGCAGCTATTATTAACAACGGTCATACTAATGCATTTTACCGGTACCAATCACTCACCAAAACCCGGTTGCTACTAATAACTAATAACTAATACATCGCCCCAATCCATGGATGTGCAAGATAATATATTCCGTTAGCATCCATGTCCCAACCTATCTACCGGCTAAACTAAGGAGCCCCCACACCCAAAAAACTACACAACCGGTCATTGCCACCGAGTGACAGCCCATGACGGATGCGCACAATACGAACAAATCAACAACAACCGTTGGCAATAGATACATTTATTGCTGTAACGCCGAACTGAAGTTCACGCCAAGGACAAACGAGGAACGAGAAGTCAGAGGTACCGGACCAATCCCCACTCATCCCCTCCCCTCCCATCGCACCCCACCACCCCACCACCCCAACCCAAGTACCAACACTACCACAATCTACATCTTAAAGCTCGCACCCACCATCTCAACCCCCAACCCCGCCACCCTCTCCGCCAGCCGCATCTTCAACCCCCTCGACGCATCACTACACAGCTCATACACCGTCGCCAGATTAAACACGCCCCCCGCGGCCACACTCCCCTCATCCACCAGCCCCTCCAGCACGCCCCGCGCCTCCTCCAAGCGCCCCGTATACAGCAGACACACCGCCTCATTACACCTCCTACACACCTCGCCCACGGCCCCCACCCCCTCCAACCCCCGCCACGCCTCCACCGCCTCCCCCCACCGCCCATCCGCCATCACCAACAGCGCCGCCAACACCCCCCTCGCCGCCCCCTCCCCCAACTCCCCCAGACACCCCCGTGCAGCATCCACATTCCCGGCCCTCACCCACAGCAGCGCCCTCGCGACCACCACCCCCTCCCCGCCCCCCCGCACACCAACAAGATGCCTCGCCGCGCCCCCCACATCCCCCATCTCCACCAACGCGCTCCCAACCCGCACGCCCAGCTCCACCAGCCGCTCCCGCCACACCCCCGCCGCCTCCCCACCCCCCGCGGCTACAACGGCGCCCCGCGCCTCCCGCCCCAGCTCATAGTACATCGCGACGGCCCTCCTCCAGTCGCCGTAGGCCACGGCCTGCAGGCGCACCGCGAGCACTCGGAGCTCCCACGGCAGCAGACACGCGCCGGAGACGGGGTCCTTGTAGAACGACGAGTTGAGATCACTCAGTGCGCGGACCTCCTGCGCGGCCGTGGGCGTCAGGGAGAGGAGGGTGAGGGTGGCGAGGCGGATGTACCATAGTCTGTAGATCTCGGCGGGTGTGAGGGGGATGGTGGGGTCTGCGAGGGTGGTGGCAGCGGAGATGGCGGCGGAGCGGAGGTGGCCGGATGTGATGAGGGTTGGGAGGGGGGTGGTGGGTGGGGGCGCGGGGAGGGCGTGGTAGGGGGGTGGGAGGAGGGTGGGGGGGAGGGGGTGGAAGAGGGGGGGGTGGCGGAGGAAGGTGTGGTCTTTGGCGGGGGTGAGGGGTGTGTTGGGGATGGGGGTTGGGGTCGGAGAGGGGGAGGGGGAGACGGGGGTGGGGGTTGTGGTTGTGGTTGTGGTGGGCGAGGTGGGGGAGAGCAGGTCGGAGGGTTTCGGGGGTGGGCTGCGGTGTGTTAGAATCGCTACAAGTCACAGGTAGGGAGCAGACAGAGAGAGAGAGAGAGAGAGAGAGGGCTAGCTACTTCTCCTCAAAGTCCAACGGCCCCTTCGTTCTCCTCCGCGGCACCGCAACTGCTCAGCACAGCTCCGTTAGCTCCCACAGCTAGCTCCCCCACGGCTCCCCAGCTCGAACTCACCTCTGCGCTCGTCAATCGAGGGCGTATTCCTTACATGGCCCTTCTTTCCGGCCGTGTCTAGCGGCGGCGGCGGCGGCGGTGTGGCGCTCATGAGGCGAGGTTTCTCTGTAGTGCTTCTTCTGTTTCGGTTGCGGGTCGATTAGGCTGTGAATTGCAGTGTCGGGTCTCGCTAATGATCATTGACGTGAGCTCGGCGGACGGACAGGGAAGAAGGGAGGGAAGCGTGGGCAGCAGGCAGGGTAACTGGCGAGGAGGGCTCAGAGCAGCAGGGAGCGTTTCCCTTCCCCTTCTTTAGACACTCACGACACACCACACAGCTACAGCTACAGCTGCCAACCACAACCCCGACAGCCACAATGGACAAACCACACCACCACCGCCCCGACCGCACCCGGGGCCGCGACAGAGGGCACACCCGCTCCCGCTCCAAGTCCCCCTCCCACAGCCACCGGCGCTCCCACCGCCACCCCCGTTCCCGCTCCCGCTCCCCCACGCACCACTCCCGCCGTCACCACACCCGCTCGCGCTCCCCCCGGCGCCGCAAACGCACGCGCACCCCCTCGCCCTCCCCCGCACCCGCCGCACCCGCCGCACAGGCACCGCTCCCGTTCAACGCGCCCCCGCTCACCAAGCACGGCCTGGGCGCGGCGCACGTGCGCGCAATCTTCAGCGACTACCTGGACATCCAGAAGGGGCTGTATCTCGACAGCCTGTCGACGCGCGAGCTGAAGGGACGGTATAAGCGCTTTGTGAGCCACTAGTATGTGTTCCGCTCTTTCTTCGAAGGGAGGGGTGTCGTAGTGTACCGCAGCGACTAATTGGCAGTAATCGTGGAGAGCTCGCGCGGGGGTGGTATGAGCGCGCCGTGAAGGAGTCTTCTAGTACCGCCGCCAATCCTCCCTCCACCACCAACCCAACCAGCACCACCGGCACACCCAGCGGGGACGCAAAGCGCAAACCCCGCCACCCAACCCCACCCCCGCCCGAAGAGGCCGACACCAGCGAAGACGAGATCGTCGGCCCCTTCCTACCGGGCCAGGAGCCGCACAAGCGCCGCAAGCTCGGCGCCGCACGACCAACGTTTGAGGATCTGGAGATGCAGAAAGGTACCCTCCTGCCCCCCCCCCCCCCCCCTCTTCCCTGCTCCCTGCCCTAGGATACTAACACGCCGCAGAGCAAACCGCCGCCGCCACCGCCCTCGCCCACGCCGACGTGCGCCACGAGCGCAAAGCCGAGCGCCGCGCCCAAACCGCGCTCCTCGACGAACTCGCGCCGCGCGCCGACGCCGGCACACACGCCCGCCGTCTCGAGAAGAAAGCCGACATCACGGCCAAGCTGTCGTCGTTCAAAGAGAAGTCGCCCGGGCTCGAGGTCGACGACGCGACGCTGATGGGCGGCGAGGACGGCGGCGGCACCGAGGGGTTCAAGCAGAAGAAGGCGGCGCTGGAGCGGAAAAAGAACGACCGGGAGCTGCGGAAGGAGCAGCTGCTGCAGGCGAGGATTGCGGAGCGCGAGGAGCGGATGGCGATGCATCGCGTGAAGGAGGAGAGGACTATGGCGATGCTGAGGGCGTTGGCGGGGAGGTTTCAGTAGGTGTGTGTGTGGGGAAGGAGGGGGGAAGGGCGGAGGGCGGAGGGGTGTATTTTTTTTATTAGTGCTTTTTGTGTGCTGTTTTTTGCTGTTTTGCTGTTTTGCTGTTTTTCTGGTTTTGCTTTGGTTTTGCTTTCCGCGCTGCGGCTGCGGCTGCGGATGCGACGTAATGGTTATCTATATATGTACCCACTGCTTTGTTTGAAACACTCACCCGCTCATCAACCAACCCACCCACCTCTCCATCGCCATCTCCGCCCGCCCTACGAGAATCAAGAAGAAGAGAGAAGGGAATATTGGTTTTGTTTTGTTTAATTCATTAAGAGAAGGGAATAGCTGTTGGAGCGGTATCTGTAGCTATAAACCCTAGCTAGTAATCTACTCAGATGGTGGCTATTTTACGATGGGCGGTTATCTGTTGTTTTTATAGTATTTACCGGCTTGGTGGGTCATGTAAGCGGATGGGTACGAGACTACATGTAGTACCGTGTACGGCGCGGGTGCAGTGTGGCCGAGTGAGTGATTGTGATTCAATTGGTTGGGCTGAGTACCAGCTTGCTTTGGTAATTCTATCTCTGGTATGTGTGTGTGCTCTTACTCCCACTGTGTGTGTATGTTTTCTTTAGTCTATGAAGTGCATACCGAAAGAGCGCTATCTAAAACAAACTCCAAATACACCCGCTACAAATACACAATAACCAATCCCAGAATCACAAACTCTCACTCGCCCCACATCTATTTGCCACCCCTCCCCCTCCCCCTCCCCTTCCCCTTCCCCTTCCCCCTCCCCCTCCCCCGCCCCACATCTATTTGCCACCCCTCCCCTTCCCCTTCCCCTTCCCCTTCCCCCTCCCCCTCCCCCTCCCCCTCCCCCCACCACCACCCCGACCCGCAACCGGCTGCACAAGCATCGGATCGATCACCGCCGCCACCCTCGCCAGCCCCCTCTCCCCCGCCGCCTCCCCCGGCGTCCTCCCATTCCCATCCCCCACCTTTCTATCCGCGCCCCCATCTACCAGTAACCTCGCTACCGCCACATGGCCCACCACATGCAGCGGCGTCTCGCCACCCTTATCCTTCGCCCCGATATCAGCGCCCTTATCCAGCAGCGCCTTCACGACGGCCTCGCAGCCGTTCTGCGCGGCGCGGTGCAGCGCACTGCGGCCCTGGTTGTCGCGGAGCGCCATGTCGGCGCCGCGGTCGATCAGGATGGCCGCTACGGGGTCGCGGCCCCCTTCGCAGGCGAGGTGCAGCGCGCTTTCTTGGAAGGTGTTTTGCGCATTGATGGCCGCGCCCTTATCGAGGAGGAGGGCGACGAGTGTGTCGCAGCTGTCCTCGACCGCGAGGTGGAGCGCCGTGGCCTCGGCGAGGATGTTCTGGACAGATATGTCGATGCCGCTGTCGATGAGGAGCTTTGCGGCCGCGCGCTGGCCGGCGAAGATGGCGGAGTGCAGCGCCGTCTGGTTGTCCGTGTCGACGGCGGAGATGTCAGCGCCGCACTGGAGCAGGTGTCTTAGGATGTCTGTATGGCCGTTTCTTGCCGCGCCGTGTAGCGCAGTGGAGCCGTCCCAGTCGCGCGCAGCGATGTCGGCGCCGCTGGTAATGAGCATCTTTACGACAGCGTCGCAGCCGTGGATGGCGGCCTCAATCAGCCCGCTGCTGCCGCCGTCGGTCGTGAGCGATTCTTCGGCGAACTTCTGGACGATCACGCGCTGCACCTCGGCGTGGCCGTTGGTGGCGGCGAATTCGAGCGCTGTGTGGCCGAACTCGGCGCGCGCGGAGATGTCGATGCCGCGGTCGATGAGGAGTCGGACGACGGCAGTGTGGCCGTCGTCTGCAGCGAGGTGCAGCGCCGTCCATTCGTTCCCGTTTCGGGTGGTGATGTCGGCGCCGCTGTCGAGGAGGAGTTTTACTACGGCGGTGTGGCCGTGTAGGGCGGCCCTGTGCAGCGGCGTGCGGCTGTGCTTGTCCTTGGCTGTTATATCGGCCCCGTGTTGAATTAGTTGCTTTGCAATCGTCTCATGGCCATATCTGGAGGCTAGATTCAGAGGTGTCTCTCCCTCTCTGGCTTGGGTAGAGACGTCCGCTCCTTTTTCAATGAGCAGTCTTACTATCTCGTCATAGCCCTCGTTAGCTGCTAGGTGTAATGCAGTGAATCCAGTATCATCCTGGGCAGATATATCAACACCCTTTTCAATGAGTAGCTTCACCACTTCATAGCTTTGGACCCTAGCAGCTTGGTGGAGCGCTGTGTGGCCTTCGTGGGTCTGGGTCGATATTTCGGCCCCGTTATCAAGAAGCAGTTTCACTACATCGTAATTGCCCCACAAGGCAGCTATGTGCAGGGCAGTCCATCCTTCTTCTTCTTGGGCTAGTATGTCGGCCCCGCTATCAATGAGTAGTTGTACTACTGAAGCTGGACCATCACGAACTGCTGCATGCAGCGCTGTAAAGCCGCTACTATCTTGCAATGATATATCCGCTCCTTTATTAAGTAGAGCTTGAACTGCTTGGTAGTGTCCCAGTGAGGACGCCAGATGAAGAGATGGAACGTCCTTTGGATAGTTCTGACAGTTGAGATAGAAATTGAGGTAAAAGTTTTCAATCTCATCATAGCAGCCCTCCACTTGGTAATAGGAAGAAACGTTGCCGGGGCTCTCGCACAGCTTGAGGACCATATCAACCGACAAGGTCTCGTCACATTGCACAAGATGATGGCGTAGATAGCGCACTGCATAGAGGAGAAAAGGGTGCGACTTGACCCGGGCCATAAACGAGACTTTGTCCGAGCAGGGCCCTTTTGCAAGGATATCAAAGGACAGGAAAGTAGTGCAGGCCATGGCAAGTGTGAATTCTGCGCCCTGGAGCACTGAGTTCTCCAAGATGTATTCCTCCACGGTGTAGTGGACCAGACGGATAGTGTTGCCGTTTTTGTCAAACATGGCAAGACCGGCACAGACATCGAGAATCGTTGTCATTTCTACCAGCAAGTTTAGATCGTCGAGCTCATACCGTCCTGGCTCTACTGATATTGCAACTCGAAGTTCTTCCAGCGTAAGTGGGCGCCTTGAGTTGACCAGCCACGAGAGCACGTCCATCCCTAGCTTTGCCCGTACAAGAGTCTGCCCGCGAATTGTCTCCATAGCTCTTCTGTATGTGTTGTCTAAAGGTCTCCCATCGGCCGAAGATGTTTTTAGCTTCTCAAGAGCGGACAGTATCTGCCTCCCAGTCGTTTGCTGGCACAAGTACTCAACGTGGAAATGGACCATCAAAAACCTAAGACAAAGCATGAGAATGCCCAGCAGAATTCCAACATCCAAACAAAACTACTTACATCCCGTGTGCACTTTCAGTAAGCTCGGACACAATCCGTTTCTCGCATTTTGCCTGTTTAATAAGACGCTTTGCTTGCAGATCGTTGTTGATGGTCTGGCGAATATAGGTGGCAATGTCTTCACCGTGTGCTGACAGTTCAATCTTCTGAGCTTCACGAAAGGATTCTTGGATATCACCTGGGTGCTGGCGGCTCGTCACAAACATGTTAGCTCCATCGTTCCTCATACGATGAATCAGTTTAAGAAGTTCTGTCCGCTGCTCCCTTTGGTCACACTCGTCCAACGCATCAAAGATCAAGAAAGCTTGGTTAAATGATTTAAAAAGAATGTTGAGGATATTGTAGAGTTCCTCGAACGTTGGCCTGCCCTCAACCGCGTTATCCATGCATCTATCATAGAGCTTGTCGAGCTCTGCTGGGAGAGTCTTGGTTTGAGATGCAAGTTGTTTGACCAAGCTAGCCAGGGTGTGCAGCGGCGTTTGCGTATCTTTCTCTTTGAAATCAAAATATACATAGGCTACTCCATAATCTTGTGCCGCTGCTTTACCCAGGAAATAGTCGATTATAAAGGAGCTATGGCAATTGCTTTAGTCGCAAGAAACTCAGGAAGAGCTGTTATCGCATACCTCAAAAACGATTTACCAGCTCCAGCTGTAACGATTGCGCTTCCAGTCAATAGCCGTCTCCAAAAAATGCTCAAGTCGGTCAAACATACGAATGCCATAGCCCCAGAGTAGTTGAGATCCAGATCCTAGACTAGACGCCTTCTCAAATGCTTTAAACTCAGGCGTTTCAAAGATCCATCCCCCAGTGTTCGGATGTCGCCTGCTAGTAATGTGAATCTGCTTTGTGACTGTATCATAAGGGTGCAACCAGTGGAGAGTCTTTTGATATTTTTTAGTCTGTTTTTCCGCTGATGTGCAAGTACTGGTATTAGCAGGGAAGTTCTAATAGTAAACACACTAAAATACAGGTTCTTACCCAAGCGGACTTTTTTCTCTTCCTCCGCCTGGGTTTGAAGGTCTCGGATGGCTATCTCCGTTTTGCCTACAGATTCTCTGATTTCAGTCGATAACGACCTTGGATTAATGGTATTAGTATAAGTTTATTCTCCCGACCTCTATCCCCCTAACTCACAGATGGTCAATATTCAAAGCTGTGGTCAAAAGACTCCTCTGTCTTTGAATTCGACTTATATATTGCTGGGTGTCTCCTTGTACAAGTGGCCATTTGAGACGATGCAAGAATCTTCTCCATCGTCCCTGTTCAGACTTCGAACGCTCCAACTTAGTCTTGAGATCATTTAACATATCGAGACATTGTGGAAGAGGTCCATCGACACCATTGATGCTTTCACTGAGTTTCCGCAGAGCCGTTGAGTGTGGGCTCTTTTTGGCCACCTCTTTCAGAGCGTTAAGTACCTGGCTAAGTGAGTTCAGCTCATCCAAAAGCTCCTTAATCTCCGTTGGCGCTCCCTTCACTCCTGTATAATATCTGTAACTTATTTCGGTAACCTGCACAGCAACTGTAGCTAGGCCGACGATGCCCGACGCAAGTCCTATAGCTTCAGCCATTCTATGATCTTCAGGGGCCTAGGACGGGCGCTAAAGCCTGATCGTGTCGAGTGCCCCCAGGGAAAAAGAGCTGTCCGTTGAAAAAAAAAAACTCCTTTTGTGTCGAAAGGCCCAGCTTGTATGCGGGGTTAGCTGTCTCGACGGGCTCAGATGCATGTCTTACCCGCTCATCATATTGCGGGGTTCAGGTACAGAGAGAGCGAGTTGGATCGAACCGGGCGGGTGTCCGTGGGGGCTATTTTCCCACCCAAGCTGCTGTGATTAACTCAGGTACCTTGAACACATTAAACTTTTTTTTGCTCCATTCTTGTCATGAAACACAAACATGCACAGCAGCTGTCATCTATGTGGTAGCCAGTGGCTAATATGTACCATGACGTGATTTTATTTTCCATCTAAACTAGCATAAACATGTAGACATCTTTAAATTAAACCTACAAGAATACAGTACCTACATGTATGTATGTATATTGCGAGCTTTTTCTCATGTATCTAATTGTCCACGTCCCATTATTTTTCCACATGCGGTGTTGCTACTTTGTATATATCGGATAGACAACCTCTAAGGTAAGGGTTACTGTGGTATCACTGGTATTTAGCTACCGTACATCAATTGCCTTAAAACATATTGCCTGGTACAGCTATGAGATGCCTAACCCTAAGTATTTATATGAATCCTGGGGTAATTTGGATAAAACAACTTTGACTTTGGCTCGAGCTACATATGTAGGGTGAAAGCTCAACTTGAGCCTGCTCATCAACCACCCTACCGACTAGGAATAAACCAAAGTTTACCTCTCCATCTCCAGCTGGCCCTGAAGCGAAAGGGGAAGTCTGCCAAACAATACAAACTTGAATTTCGAGTGAAGACCAAAAAATCTCCCGCCTCTTATTATAGCAAAAAAGAGAGCTTTATGTGATTACTTGGGTCATGATCATGATCAGAAAATAGATATTTACCGATTTATTTCCTCCAGGCTCCGTTGAATATAATAAGGGAATTTGATCATTGACCCACTAATCATTAAGCGAGGAAGACATTCCGCGTCGAGTACATGTAGTTTGATTGAGCAGAGGCAATGGAGATAGAAGAAAAAGGGTAGGTACACGCCGAGTGAATGTAAACCGCATAAGACTAAGAAATATGAAGGATATATAAGAAGTAAAGAATAGAAAACACGCTAACAATCATGTTCAAAAGAAAGAAAAAAAGGACTGAAACGTAGTGCCCTACTACATGTAGATACATGTATCTTTGTGAGTACATGTATGTATAAACTGGTTGCGCTTGTTTTCGCTAAACCCATCCGCCGCCCACTGCACACCGAACAAGGAAAACCTAACCCTCACATCAAAAGATATGGAATTGTATTCAACCAGAATATCTTCATGCTCCTGTATCCCAAAATGGTGTATTCGTATTCTCACGCTAAACCACCTAGCAATTTTGGAGATAATTGCTTGGCACCAAACCAGTTCTGCCCTGAACACCAACAATCTCCGACTCCCACCACCCGTCTTCTTGTTCGTTTAAAATGGCCAATATATCACCCTTTGCGAAAGATAATTCTACGTCAATGGTAGCTTGGTAGGGGTATATTGCTCTCGCTATAGTAAGGAATTAGTAACAAGATCTTTACCCAGAGAATCTAAATAACTCACCATAATGTAAGACAAGCCTTCCTTCTCTAGTGTACTTTCTGCTAGTATCGACAACGCTCTTACTCCTAGGCCGAGCGACCTGTCCCTGATATGCCGAAACAGCTCCTATCTGACTTCCACCCTGACTACCTTCATAGTAGCTTTGCCTTGAGGTATTCCCTTCATAACCACCTCTAACACTCTCCGCATTCCTCCCTCTTGATCCGTAACTGTCATTTCTGCTGTGATGACTTGGAGCAGGTGAATGGTTTCTAAAACCATTAAGAGCAACCTCCTGTCCAGATGGCATTGGTGACATAGAACGATGCGAATAGGCAGTGTACTGGCCCTTGGAGTTTGCTGTGCCTGGGCGAGATTGTGTGTAAGGGTTTGGAGAATTTCCACGGGAGTAACTGTTCATTGGTTGAGGCTGAGGTGAAGTATTGCGATATCTATGGTCTCCATATAATTGCGGGCGTGGGCTAACACTTCGGTTTGTCGGAACAGGGCTGACCGATCTGTTATTTTCCTGTCGATTTCTAGGTATATCATGGGAACTTTGACGGGATTGTGCACGATTGCCAGCATAATCCATGGTATTTGCTCGTTGTCGCCCAGAATTCCCTCGCAATGAGTTCTCTGCTGCTGCAGCAGGCATTTGCGGGGGCCCATCAAGCATTTGGTCTCTTTGATTGACATATCTTTTAGTTGACTCAATCATCTGAGCAGAAGTGAAAGCTGGCGGTGGAAGACCAAGAGCACTTGATTTTGGTGGGGCATATCCTGGGAGAGGTGTTCCGCGCTGAGAGCTAGCCGTTCCAGGATTCGAATTTGGTGTGGGAATCGTGCCTGGGGTAGGAGTGGCCAACCCAAAATATCTATCTGCAGTATTTCTACTGCTAGTTGAACCTTTCGTCACACCTTTCAACTCTGCCAACGCTTGTGCAATAGGGTCGAGGTCTGGGACCTCCTCCTCCTCCTCCTGTGGCTTTTGCAAACTCCTATCTTTAATCGCGGGCGTTGACACATCAAAAACATTACCCCCAACATTCAATGCTAAACTGGCCCTAGGGTCAATAGGTTCAGGGCTCTCATGACGATCATTACCGATCAAAAGTTCCTGCTGGCGTCTATTAGAAGAGCCACTTTCGTATCCGCCCCTATTTTGACCACTCTGTGAGGCGATCGTGTTCTTAGTAATTGTCCCTGGTGCCCAAGTATTACGATTGCTCCTCGCACTTGCAGAACCCGTGGGCCTGCTCTGAGCCTGTTCTTGTTGTCTCTGAGCCTCAATGCGGCGCTGTTGAGTTACCTGCTGCTGCTGCTGAGCCTGCTGTTGCTGAGCCTGTTGTTGTTGCTGTTGAACCTGTTGCTGCTGTAATTGTATCTGGCGATTCGATTCCTTTTCACTTTTGCTCTTCCTTCTAAATGGGCCACCGCTACTGAAGAACCCGCTCCTGCGTTTTTGTGTAGGGTCGTCTTTGGTGATTTGTTGTTGTTTTGTCGGAGACCCTCTTCGGTCGCCGCCGATGCTAGGAGGAGGTACAACATCGCCGAGGCTCGAAACGGACGTTGGATTCGAATAGTCGCTTCCTGAAGCATGACTACTAGGCGGTCGGGCAACTGGACTTCCACTCGAGCTGGCAGCGTCAGAAACAAGGGCACCTGGGCGACAATACATGGTCATCCCGTCCAGAGGATACTCATTATGGGGTGTTGACTGACGTTGTGAATTTTCTCTTTCGTATTGCTGAGATCTTGACGCAGTAGATGAACTCAGAGCATATTGTGTATCACGGCGAGACCTTGAAGAAGGTGTTGCGTTCTGAAGTATCTCTCGGTTGGCAGGCGGAGTGAGCGGTTCAGCAGATCGGAGACGTTGATCACGACTATTACGACGGCTGTGTTCCCGGTGTTCAAGTTCACGTCGCTCAAGATCTTTCCTTTCTAGCTCTTGCCGTTCAGATTCTCGACGCTCATGTTCACGACGCTGTCTATCTCGAGATCTAGCGCTTTGAGACTGGGCTTGTAGCTCGGGGGTAGATTTGCTCTGGATACGGGACATTACCTCGGATGGTGGTGTAGATCCAGACTGAGAAGAGGACGTCATTGAAGGGTTGGGGGAAGAGGATCTATATGCTGGATTTCCTGCTCGAGGGAATTGAGCTACGCTGTAATTTTCCCCCCCAGCTTCCGAAATATCATCGTCCGAGACATCGCCACGACTGAAGTTGATATACTTGGGGGCATCTTAGTTCTGTTAGTATTCGGCTTTGAGTTAGGCAAGTCTATCTTACCAGGGATATCTTGTCCAGTTCCCCTATCCAAGATAAAGGAAGTGATGTCTTTTTCAACCTCACAATCTTCCAGGGACATTCGGACTTTCTCACAAGACTGTTTGCGGTCAGCGTAATCTTGTTACAAGTCTAAACTAAAGGATTGTTTCGGCACTTACCTCATCATCATGAACACAAACAGTGGACGATATATTCGCGAAACTCCACAGGCTAACCTTGAGGAAATCAATCCTCTCCTCTTCGAGATCTTGAAATTTCTATCCACAAATATTAGTAATAAAGTCCAACACTTGATAATGCTGAACCCACATCACAAGCAGCCTTCCAGTCCCTGTTCCATCGCGTGGTAGTCTCCTCTAACGCCTTGATAGCGGCTTCGTATTCTGCATTTGAGCCAGCCAGTGCAGCTTGGGTCTTCTCAAGTCTAGCCTTATTCTTCCGCTCTTCTTGGCCCATAACCATATGCCCTTGGGCAAGGTATCCTTTGATCTTCAAACAATCTTGCTCATAACGATCTCTTGTCTATTATAATATTAGTGCTGCTGTCTGCTGTCGAGAGGCGATGGGACGAATGACCTTATTTACTTGCTGGGTTTGCTGCATCTTAAGCTTTAGAATCTTCTCACAACCTCCTTGCACAATTTTCCGCCTTTCCCGCATCGTACTGGAAAATGCCGTCAATGGTTCTTCTAGTTCCGTTTTCATCTGGCTCGCGATACTTTGGTGCGCTTTACCCATGCCTTCCACCTCCAACCTCAAAATATCCATGGATGCCTTCAAGGTTCCAGTTTCACTAGAGCCTAAAGGCTTCTTAGCAAGAGCCAATAATTTTTTGGCAAATTCCTCCTCAATAGCCGCACGGGCTTTAATCTGTCAGAGGTAATTTTCAATACAGGTGAAAATCCTGGAGTTAACGGTTACCTGTGTAGAAAGTCTTCAATTCGTCGCAGGTAGTTTTGGCATCATGCATGCGCTGGAAGAGAGGACCGACGCCAGCGTCATCTTTACCCCAGAAGTTATTCGCAACTATGAGGAATTGTTAGATGTTAGGATCTTGACAGGCAGCAATGTGCTCGAGGGAGGTAGGGGAAGCGCACAAGATAGGGTGGTTGATTCTGTTGGGGCAATAGACATAGCGCAAGACTTGTGCAGGATGTCTGTGGGTTAGTACTGATGGCGTTTAAACGTTAAATCGTGACAGTCGTAATGGTAATAAGGTAAGTAAGGAGTAGGATATCGTAGTAAAACCCAAGCAAGAGAACTAGAAGAAATGCCCCAGGTATATGAAGCGTTTGTAGCAGAACTCTTAGTTAAATGGACACGATCGCACTGAGGGGAAGAGGGACAATAGGGCTGAAGAGAGATGAGCGAGGCCCAAGAGCTAAGTTGTGGTTCGCGGTTGAGATGTTACTGCCTATCGCCTATGATTGCAGCCTGGGCCACACAGGTTGGTGATGTTGCCGTGGAAACGTCGAGCTACTATGAGTAGGGGATGTCTTCAGCCCTTCCTTCCTTCAGCTTCAAAAACGCACACAGTATGCGTTATACTGTTTACATGAGTAGAAGCCAGAATAACACTAGCCACAAGACGCCACCACCGCAATGCAAAGATTGTAAAGAGCAAGTGCCAGTTTCAATCTCAGTGTAAGAAAGAAGAGAAAGAAAGGCTACACAGTAAGCCCTGCTGCAAACTAGCTGGGAGAAGGTGAAGAAGGCTCAGCACTGTATCATCGCTTCGCTTCCTTATTTATTCTCTTTTGTCATTTCGATCACATCCTACCTCTGTCTACACTCACCTTTATCTCTTCACAGATCTGTCTTGTCTTCTCACCAACACGGAAATCCCTGTTGACCTTCACATCACATCGTGACAAGATTCAGTAGTAGAAAAAAAAGAGAGGAAGAGAAAGAAAACGATTCCGAATTCTAAAGACGTACGAACCTACCTACCGGCGCCCCTCTCCCCCCTCCCTAGAAGCCTACCTCACTCGTCCCGCTTTCTACTCTCCCACTTCCTCTAACCCCGCTCCTTCCATACCCACATTGTCCTCGTCTCATCCCTTTGCATACTCCCCATCCTGCATTTACTGTCCGCTCTTGCGAATAATGAGCATCGGACCTCTCTGTCGCCAATAGAATGACAGCGCAGAATAGTTCCACGCCTCCAAGTAATAATACCACTTCTAATACCCACAATTACCCTCATCAGAACATAGCACAACTACCACAACCGCAGACAATATCCGACCACACCTCCGGTGGATCTTCTCATCTTCTTCTGTCCCAGCAATACAGGAACGCCAGTCACCGGAGTAACTCTGACCTCCGTCAATCATATTCCTCTGCCAATCCGTCCTCCTCCTCTGCCTTCTCGCTATTTTCATCCGCTGAGCCAACATCACGGCACCATTCTACTAGCTCATCCACTTCTAGCCACCCCATCCATCATCAGCAGCATCTATCATCTCAGCTGCTGCCCACCTCGTCCTTCACGACGCCACAATCAAATATTTTTCCGGGTTCGGTTGCGAAGCCCGCTGGAGGCGGTGCGGGAAGTGGGAGTGCGGGGTCATCGCACTTGAACAATCTAGCTATTGCGCAGCTCAATCTTTTGATAACTGCTACGAACGAAAAGAATTACGACGTGAACATTAAGGAGATACGGAAGGTGTGTATTACTGACGCTACCTTTCTGCTTTAGACCTTAGTGTTTATCCTGCTGTCATGTACTTATTGACATTACCTGCAGCCACTCATTTGCTAACCAAGAATTGACATGATAGCTCCGAAACGAAAGCATGGAGATCGATCAGAAAGTCATGCGGAGAATCATCACGACTAATTACACTTACATTATGTCATCTTCGAGTAGTCGGTCTTTCGAAAACTCGCCTAGCAGCAGTCATCGAATGCTTGCAGAGGGAATTAAGGAGTTGGCTAGCTTACCACACCAGGTTAAGGATAAATTCGTTGATGTGATCACGCCGGTGACCCCAGATGGAGAGGTGTTTAGAGATTTCGACGTATCTACGTTTTTCAACCATTTCGGCCTGGACTCCTTGCAGAAATGTATATTGGCTGTTGGTTTGAAATCTAGTCCCCGAGTTGATTTGCGGAACAAAGGTTAGGACTTTGTCTCTTCATTATCTTTATTCTTTCTTAATTTTAGTGCTACAGGTCACGATATCGTGAGCAAATCATTTCGGTCAATGCTTGAGATCCTTGCAAATCCCTCTAAGCATCCTGAGATGACACCCGAAGCGGTTGCCCTATTTGTCGAGCAAATGCTCTCGGAACCCGCCTATCAGTTCCTTGATAATGTTGAAAAACTCAACCTTTCATACGCCGCAAGATCGCGGTACAAGAACACCGCATTGCCTCAAGAGGTTTTCAACATCACAGAATCTATCGAAAAGCTTCGTCAGCAAGAATCCCTAGTTCAGATATTCCAGCAAATAGGACCTGAGAGTACAGCCTCGCTAGAAAAGTGCCGGGAGGTGTTAAAGCGGAAATGGAGGGTCCAAATTTCTGAGAGCGAAGTCACAGACGTTTTGGTCCTCATGGCCACAAGCCGAAATGCAATTGCCTGGCATGCCGATATTTTTGTGCAGGCTTTACAGCAGGAGAACCTGGCTCAATCGTTTGATTGGGAGAGAGTTATTGAAGGTTTGGATCGGGAGGACTTCATCTTGGAAGGCCCAGAGGGGCTGCATGTCATACTGAGCGCTCTGCAGCATGGAACTAGCAGTGTCGAATTTCCAATTTATAAGCTCTGGGGCGGACGATGGCAGCATCCGCGGGCGCAGTGGTCGGTATTAAGAGGCTATATCAAGGCGGACACTTTGGATGTTACGAGGATTCCTGGGATTAGGAAAGTCTTCTCCTCTGCGGATTTCGCCACGGCTAGTAGTGCCCTTAAACTCATGGTTGCTACCTTCGAAACTCACAAGTTCATCTCCTTTGATGCTGTCGATGTTCTGTTTTATTTGGCTCTAAATGAAACTATTCCCCGGGATATACAACAAGCAGCACAAGCAGAAATGGAGAAAGCTGCAAAATTCACGCCAGAGCTTCTGCTTTGTGGAGCCTTGATGATCCCAAAACCCTGGCCCCAAACGCTTGACCGCATAGTTTCAAAGTTGCTTGACATTTTCTTTGAAGGGCACACGAGTCACCAGCTAGTCTTTTGGAGATTGTGGCAAGTCGATAAACCATTTGTCACTAATCGATTCCTTGAATATCATGCTGCCAACAACTTAAATATCACCCGGATTCTCGATATTTCACAAGATCTGCGATGTCTAAGCGACCTTTTAGAAGCTCAGAATGCCATATTTGTATTGGATGTTGCGTCGTTGGCGGCTAGGAGGGAATATCTTAATTTGGAAAAGTGGCTTCAGGAAATGATCAACAAATATGAGGGGGAATTCGTGATGCAGTGTTATAGATTTTTACACATAAAGGCCGATGCAGAATATACCCAAGCAAGAGAAGGTGGCAAACCAACCATGGTTAGTCTCCGTGTAGGACCTGTGCATACATTTCTTACATTGCTTGACAAAAAGTAAGCCCTTTCACAGATTGGCACCCCTTATATCAACTATACTAATGTTCTGCTAGTCAACCACCGATGACCCAAGAGCATCAGGAGCGGGTTACAGAATGTCAACGCCTTTGTATCCAAGCTTATCCCCGTCTAATAAACCTCGGCTCTGGACTGGACGCCATTATCCTGCAAAATAACGCTGAAAGCAATGGATTTCCGCCTCACGTTGATAAGGATATGCAGCAGAACTACAAAATGATGTATAGTCAAGAGACTGAGCTCAACGAAGTAGTCCAATATCTTCAAAAGCTCAAGATCTCCGTTGTCCCTCAAGAACAGGACCTCTTTGCTTGTATGATTCACGGTCTATTTGACGAATACCATTGTTACCCTTCGTACCCCCTTCAAGCCCTTGCTACAACCTCTGTTTTATTTGGGAGTATCATTCTATACAAGCTGATCGACGGTATTCCATTGCGCGTTGCTTTGGCAATGGTATGGCAAGCTGTACGCGATCACGAGCCATCGTCTACAATGTACAAATTTGGTCTCCAAGCACTCTTGCACTTCAAGGACCGGTTGAAAGAATGGAAGGAGTACTGCAAATTGTTGGCACAAGTTCCCGGTCTCCAGGGGACAGATATCTGGAATATTGTACAAGACGTCATCGCGGGTACAGCTGATAGACAGGTTGACCCACAACCTGTTAACGGAAGTTCAGATTCTGATGACCTTGCTCCTCCCTTGACAAACGGCAATTCCTCTGTTCAACCCCCGTCTCCCGTCCAGCCATCCCACCCGCACTTCCAGTCTGTAAATGCAGACCCACCACTTCGCGATCAGTCACTGTACAAGGACCCAGATATCGAGGTGCAGGATAAGGTCTTGTTTATTGTTAACAACCTTTCACATACAAACCTAGATAGTAAACTCAAGGATCTCAAAGACGCTTTACAGGAGGAACACCACCAGTGGTTCGCCGACTACTTAGTTGTCAAGCGCGCAAAGATGGAACCTAACTACCACCCGTTGTACCTGGATCTATTGGACAAATTCGGTCACAAGGGATTGATGGCAGAAGTTCTGCGGGAGACGTACATCAATATCATTGGAATGCTCAACGCAGAAGCCACAATGCAAAATGCCAGCGAGAGGACATACTTGAAACAACTTGCGAGTTGGTTGGGAGGATTGACAATTGCGAAGGATAAACCCATAAAGTTCAAGAATGTGTCTTTCAAGGACCTCATTATTGAGGGGTACATCACTGAGAGACTCAGTGTCGTTCTGCCATTCACACGCAAGGTTCTTGAGCAATCGACAAAATCCACAGTGTTTAAACCCCCGAACCCTTGGTTGATGGCTATTATTCGTCTCCTAGCAGAACTTTATCAGCATGTTGAACTCAAACTTAACTCAAGGTTTGAGATTGAAGTTCTCTGCAAAAACCTGGGGTTAGACATCAAAACAATTGAGCCTGCAACCGATATTAGAGAGACTAGAGATAGGCCTGTTGTGAAAGAAGAGGAGACGTTGCCGCCAATAGAAGATCTTTCTTTACAGCCGCCTCAAGGTTTCGCACCGATCACCGACCCAGTTCCTTCGGGATACGCAGACGAAGTTATAATAAACTCTCTAATCCAGCATCCTGCTTTAAAAAGGATATTGCAGACTGCAATTGACCGCGCAATTAGGGAAATCATCGGGCCAGTCGTTGAGAGATCTGTTACAATTGCCAGTATCTCAACTTCAGAGCTTATTCAGAAAGACTATGCTACGGAAGGCGATGAAAGCAAGATGAGGGGTGCCGCGCATAATTTGGTCCGACATCTCGCTGGTAGTCTTGCACACGTAACTTGCAAAGATCCACTACGCATGAGTATGACGAACAATATCCGTTCACTACTTGCTCAGAACGGATATAACGAGGCATCGGTTTCAGATCAAACAGTCACCATGTGCGTTAACGACAATATTGATCTCGCTTGTAATATTATTGAAAAAACAGCGCAAGATCGAGCGATCCCTGAAATTGATGATAGCTTAGCTCAAGCCTATCAAACGCGCAAGCAGCATCGGGAAAGAAGGCTTCAGCACCCGTTCATGGCGGCAAATATTCCTCGAATCGCCTTCCACCTCCCGGATCAGTTTAGGTTAAAGCCTGGGGGAATTACACCACAGCAAATGAGTGTCTACGATGATTTCGGCCGGAGTTCGAGGATAGCAAGTCATGAGGCAGCAGCAAGGAATTCCTTCACGGACCCTTTCCCGTCAGAGTATATGTCAGGTGGGGCGCAATCAACTGGGATCGTTGACATACAAAGGGCCCAGGAACAACCTGCCAGTGTTCATCAGCAACTTCAAATTGATCCGAAAGAGCTAAACATTAAAATTGGGGTAAGCAGTTTTTAAGTCTTTGCTTACAATGTTTGGGAAATACTAACAATTACAGTCCCTTTTAAGCGAAATGCGAAGAGCTGCTCGAAGCAGCGATGAAGAGCACCTTGAAGACATCAGCACAGAACACCTTATCTTCCATTTCTGCAATGCAATTCTGCAGAGTATCTCTGCCAACCACCCACTTCTCACGCGCCCTGTGAAAGATGGTTTATGTTCAGCAGTGGCTTCTCAAATTTGTCAAATCCTATTCACCGATGGGCAGGATCAGACTCAGCTAGAAGTGGAAGCGTTAGTTTATCTCCTGCGGAAAGTGTGTGAGCTATCGGCGAGTACCAGGCAGGATGTTGTGCTATGGCTTGCTCAGCCACGAGAAGACGAGGTATGAGTTTCGATCAGGTTTAAGATGATATTGGCTAATAATGTAAAGCGACTCTTTAACGCCCCTGTTACAGTCATGCTCCTGAAGACGGATTTGATTTCGGTTACACATCTAGATACCACCATTGCCAAATCTCTCAACACCAGAAGACCGCGTACGCTAGAGTTCTTGTCAAGGGTGATGAAAGAAACAGTTTTGGGCCCAAACCCGTTGGTCCTGAGATCCGATTTCGCGGCATCTCTTGATGCTTTGGGCCATTGGCTGAAACAGGAGCCAACAAATAAGGTTGCTCTAGATCTGGTCAGAGAAATTCAAGGGCCGGAAGAAAAGGACGAACAGGATCAGCTCGATCTGGAGGATCGCGAGAAGAGAGATCAGATGGAGTACATTTTCACTGAATGGATGCAGCTTTGTCAACATCTCTCTACGACGGAGAAAAATTATTCAGCGTTCATCATGCAACTGCATCAGGGCAAGGTCCTTGCCGACATGGCATCTTCGTGCGAGTTTTTCCGAACCTGTATTGAATTCTGTATCGGCGAGTACGAGCAGACTACCGTCAATGGTGGAAGCATCCAAACCAACTGCTATATTCCTATTGATGCACTAGCGAAGCTAGTCATATTACTGGTTAAATATCAGGTGGAGGACGATTCAAAGGGCCAATTCTTGGACAAGGCGGATTATCTCAACAGCATCCTAGCTCTGGTCGTCTTCGTGTTTAATTTCCACCATGAGACTCGCGGGGAGCATTTCTCTCAGAAGGTCTTTTTCAGATTTTTTTCAAGTATGCTGTACGAATATCATTGCATCGAAAGCCAATTGGGAGCATATCAAGAAAGGATATTAATGGTCTTTTCGGAGTGTTTTTTGACAATTCAACCAGCTTTCTTCCCAATGTTCAGCTTCCATTGGATGACCCTGGTTTGCCATCGGTATTTTATGCCAAAGCTCCTGACGCTGGAGGGTGATAAAGGCTGCTCTACATTTGCGAAAATATTAGAGACGATGTTGATATACATCGGCACTCTATTAAAGGAATTGCCCATTCCTCCGGTCATCAAACTTCTTTACAGGGGTGTTCTCAGGATTCTTTTGGTCTTGCATCACGATTTCCCGGAGTTCCTTGCTGAGTGGCACTTTTCGATTTGCGAGGTCATTCCAGTACATTGCACCCAGCTGCGCAATCTCATCTTAAGCGCATACCCCTCCACGCTTTCGGACCTCCCAGATCCGTTTACTGCGGGCTTGAAAGTGGACCGCCTTCCTGAAATTCGGATCGCCCCGAAGATTTGTGGGGATATTCTCAAACCTCTCGTCAAAAGTGGAGTTAAGGAGTTGGTGGATTCTTGTTTAGCTTCTACCGATGGGCCCAGTAACACCGCAGTTCGTGGGATCTTGGAGAGGCTCGAAACCGAACCAAGGAAAGAAGCAGGGCTAGGCTTTAACACTGTCACTATCAACTCGAGCATTCTCAACAGTCTTGTTCTATATGTTGGTATGGAGGCGATTAAAGATATGAACGCGAAGGGTTTATCTTTTCAGACGGCAAGTCCCCATGCTGCTCTATTCGCAAGACTAGCTGCAGATCTGAGTCCCCAAGCACGTTATTTCTTCCTAAGTGCCATTGCGAACCATCTTCGCTATCCGAACAGCCATACCCATTACTTCAGTTATCTGCTATTGTTTTTATTCGGGCCTGTTCAGAACAAGTCTACCGAGTCAGACGTTCGCCAGCAAATTACGCGTGTTTTGTTGGAAAGGTTGATTGTTCATCGACCACATCCATGGGGACTGATCATTACTTTGCTTGAGCTACTCAAGAATCCAACTTATGATTTCTGGAACCTACCATTCATCAAATCAGCACCAGAGGTACCGAATTCTCCTTTTTTTTTCTTTTTTTCCCATGTACTTGTGCTGACCCCCGAGACAGATTGAAAGGCTATTTGGAGCTTTGTTCCAACACATCAACAACTCTTCGTCACCCCCCCGTCAGTAAATCATGCTTCATCGGTTCAATTACATTGCGGAACTTCTTTCTATTATTTTATTTTACCTCTTGATCATTGGTCTCAATCTGGCGTGAATCCCCCCCCCCCCCCAAAAAAAAAAAAAGAAAAAGTATGTTTGTGTAATTAGATGGATGCGGAAGTCTTTCCGCCAGTAAGGTAGGCAGGTTTGAGTGGGGCCGGGGAAGAGGGAAGGCCCTCATCTATCTTTTCAATGTATCTTATGGTTTGTTTTCTACTGCTTTTTTTTGTCATGGAGTTATGTCATTTGTGTTCTGGGGATCCCTTTCGTCGCCACTCTGCCCATTCCACATTGTGATGGATATATGTCTGCTCTGCGTCGACATTTTCGCTTTCATATTCAAGGTGTTACACCATAAACGGCACGTTGACGTGGGGAGGAGTCGGAAGCGGTTTAGTTTTTTCTTTTTTTCTTCTTTTTTTTCTTCAGGTTTGCTATGTCGGGCATTGTATCTTGTTTCTCGAAGGGTTTAAAATGGGGACAATGAGGGTCATGAGGCGGGCTACAGTGGCATCAAAATGGGGTTGGGGATCCTGAGACGGTATGTATTATATTAGTATACTGATAATTGTGGTTCGAGAATGATGAAGACTTCATGAGAGATCAAGAACATTTTCTCCAGGATAAGTACCTCAATTATTCGGTTTAAGGCGTAGCGAGTTTGCGCCCCATTATGGTGGTCGACACGATCGACACCAGGCTCGTCCCCAACCCTGCTTCCATCCTTCCAGCGAGAGCGAGATGCTGCTAAGTAGGGGATGGGTACGAGACTAGATTGATATCGCATCTAGTTCTATCTCTTCTGATGGCCAAGGACCCTCGGTTTTAATGTCCCCAAAACATGTATACTACATGTAGGCATGACGCCCCGGACTCTGACTTTATTCTAGGGGTAGTCGTATACCCTGAACGAAGGATTTAAAATGATTTATAAACAAACGCCTCCTAGCTCGTAGTCGGAACCCCGCATCCTTGCGCGATGCTTGATTTCTCCTCGCTCGTAAGGTGAGGGGGGGTTCATATTACTGAATATTGTTATTTTGGGTTAGGGTTGTTGTCCAGCGGAGTAGCCAACCAGAGATCAGCGATATAAGCTCTTACCCATAACCCTTCACTCCATCCAGGGCAACTACAAAAGCTACTGCAGTAATTGTTCAAACAACCCCCATACAACCAAGGAATTAACAACAACGTCAGGGACACGAATGAATTATCAATCAAATCAACCAAATCAATCAACAACTTCGGAAAACGATACTGAGCGAGTGATATTACATGATCCAGGTTTAAAAATGCTGATGACTAAAAATGCTGATGACTAAAAGATCTCATACCTGCAATTTTCACCCAACGAAAAAATATATCTGAATAAAGAACTGCGACCAATTGATAAATATTTACTAGAAGATGTCAGGAAAAGAAATCCATAACGCCAGTGCCCAGAATTAAATAAGCTCCACCTCCCCGTTCAATACAAACTCCCTAACTGCCGAGTATCTAACGACATAGATATCCCCTTTTTTGAGCTCAAACTCGGCATCTGTCCCTAGAATCTTGACTGTCCGATCTTCGACATCTCGTACAACCTTACAGAATACTGCGCCGTCAAGGTCAGGCTCCTCAACCATAGATATACCTCCAGCTTTGTCGTCAAGGCGGCGCAGCTGCTCGGGGAAATTACGGAGGAAGGATGACAGGTAATGGGAGTTGAGTATGGCGAGGTGGGACTTCAGATATGAGAGTTCAGGGGCGCTGAGATTACCACGAGTAGTAGGCGTGGTGAGGATGTGAATTGCGTGCTTGTCAATCTAGTGGGGTAATTAGCAAGGCTTGGAAGGATGAACCGCAGTGGAGAAGTACGAATACCTTATGAATACGCGCGCGCAGGTAGCTACGAACGAGGAATTTGACTCTTTCGAGCTCTGTCTGGATCAGGATTAAGCTGAAATTCGTCTTTGGGTCCAGGTCTCCCGTTTGAGTTTCAACTAGTTCAATCTGTTCTCAACGAGAAAAGTAAGACGTGGAGTAAGTTAGCTTTTCCTCCATGCCCCTGATCCCTCATCCATTCTTAGAACTACCGTACCTGCGCCCGTATCCGCTCCATCAGCCTCTCGAGTAGGTCATTCTGGTAGGGCAGAATCTCAGGGGCCGTCCGTTCTGCAATCCATGCCTGCGTGAGGTCATTAATATCACGGGTTCCGGCAGGAACACTCTTATCGTCGAATTCTTGGAGGAGGTCATCGATATCCATTTTGAAGTAGCTGCCGCGTGGGGGCAGGGACGCGAGGAGTGAACGCGTGTGGAGAAACTGCGGGGAGACGTGACGTATTACCCGGACGAGAAATGTTGGGGAGGAAACTTGGCAGCGTCATCCTGTATTTTGAGAGTGGTCTGTGCCTTGATATTTCTGTATTTGCCTCACCACCTATCTATACCCACTTACACCCACAATCGCCTCTCCAAATCCTCCCATACTGCGTCTCCTACGTTGTTTGCAATAATGAAGGTCTCCTCGACCCCTCTAGCTTTTCTTCTCTTCCCTCTCGCATCGAGTGCTTTCAAGCTCCCATTCACCCTTGAGACGATCAAGACGCGCTTTGAATCTATTGAGCTCCCACAATTCATCAAGAAATATGCAGACCCAATCTCAACTTCTCCGCTGCTCTCCTTGCACAAATCCCTTATCGATATCCCATCTATCAGTGGCAACGAGCGCGAGGTCGGACAATGGCTCTCAAACTATCTCATCTCGAAGAATTTCACAGTCGAAACACAAAGTGTATCAGAAGATGGCGAAAGGTTCAATATCTTCGCGTATATCGGTCAAAACCGCACAACTCACACCCTCGTAACCTCCCATATAGACACCGTCCCGCCTTATATACCCCACCGCGTCTCATCGGGGAGCATCTACGGCCGCGGCTCAAATGATGCAAAGTCAAGCGTTGCTGCACAAATAACCGCCGTCGAAGAGTTGATTGCATCATCTACAATCCACGAAGGCGATGTCTCCCTTCTATTTGTGGTGGGCGAGGAGACCACTGGTGATGGCATGAAGGCAGCGAACGAACTCGGCCCCACGTGGAAAACGGTTATTTTTGGCGAACCCACGGAAAATAAGCTCGCTGTTGGGCACAAGGGAATAATCATGTTTGATGTCATCGCCGAGGGTCGAGCAAGCCACTCAGGATATCCCGAGTTAGGGGTCAATGCAAATAGCCATCTCATTCGTGCGCTATATAATCTCGAAAACGCGAAGCTACCGTCCTCTGATCTCCTTGGAGAATCGACTATGAATGTTGGAAAGATTGAGGGCGGCGTTGCCGCTAATGTGATCTCTCCTCACGCTATAGCATCTGTACTTGTCAGAGTTGCCGGCGATCTCGACGAAACTCTTGCCGTAATTCAGAAGAGCGTTCGGAATCTTCCTGTGGAGATAAAATTTCTAGGCGTCACTTATGGGCCACAGGTGCTTGATTATGAAGTTGAAGGTTTCCAAACCATCGTATGCTCATACGGCACTGATGTCCCCAACCTTCACGGAGAGCATAAGAAATACCTTTATGGACCTGGTAGCATCTTAACTGCACACTCTGACAACGAATATGTTCTTAAGTCTGACCTTTTTGAGGCTGTTGCGGGATATAAAAAGCTCATTAAGGAGAGTTTGTGGCCCACGAAGCGGGTTCCATCAATCATTGAGAAGACGGGCCTTGTCGAAGAGGAGGTAGTTATGCCAGTTGAAGCTGTCAGCAGCAGTGCTAGCATCAAAGAGACGGAAGCTGCCAAGCCTGAGGGTGTAGAACCGAAGACTTCTGTTGACGGTGAATTGTAGGGGAAGACTTGAAAATGATGACTTCCTTTCTTCTAGTTTCATTACGTATTACCTGTTTGTTTATTTTGATAGCGTGAGCGAGCTCCTCAATTTTCTTTTTCATTGGTCAAATTAAAGCGTTGAAGGGGTTATGGATTTATGTTGCTTTCTCAAAGCCGGGACAATAGTTTTTGTATGGGAGTCGAGGATATATATCAGGTGTACTCATCATGCACCATCACTCGAATACTGAATCATCCTTAGTTAATTGCTAGCGGTACTCTATTTATGACCCAAAAAGACACTTGTACGTGGGAGCAATATATTGGATATTTACACTATCGCGAGTTTAAAGGATGGGTCCGCCGTCTCTGCATTTCAACTGACAATGTGCAACTTGAGTACATATTATAGTCAGCTGCAGTCACGTACGTCACCCCCCCAGAATGTTGTCTGAAAACAGAGTTACATGTACATGTAGCTTTGTGCATATCTAGGCGTATTTGCGGTTTAGATGCACAACCAGTAACATAAAGCATTGGACATTGGGATACCGGTGCTGGTTAACAGATACCTATAGGTATGCACAATATGTGCAGCCCCATGGACATACCTTGGCATGTGTATGTAGTATTCTTTTCCCATATAGCGATTTTCCAAGATGCACGATTTCACGAGGGTACGGTGCTTTCCTCTATTGCGAGAAGGAATCGACGAAAGTAGGAAAGTCAAGACAGCAGAAGTCTTTATTTGGGATATTCGTGCTCATTTTTGACGTTCGTAGTTGCACCATACCCCAATGAAGGGGTCTACTTAGGCGTCGCCCAAATTTCCTAGATAGACTACGAATCTAAAGTTTAGAGAATTGTACTGTGTGCGTATGAAAACTGGCCAGGCATGATCTGGTAGCTCTCCTGCGGGCTCCTACGATCTGAATTTATTTTCCCGTCGAAGCTCGTGGCCTAGTACATATACAATATATCAATGTATTACATGTATGTTCTACTAGATCAGTACTGATCTACTCGCATTTTCCTGACGTTTAAACGTTTTTAAACCGGCGGGATGCAATAGCAGTCGCGTTCAGAAACGTCAGAAGTTTACGAGTACATGTATATATCGTAGACGTCAAGAAAATATATGCCCCTGCAGGC